AAACAAAGCCCGTCTAAAAAGGAAGTTGACAAATCAAGCTTTCAAGTTTCATAACGACAAGTTACACTGACACCACGAAACGTTGTTGTCTACTTGGATTTCACCATGATAGACTTGGATGGATAGATAGATACCTATATAGTATTTGAAGAGTTTTACAACTGTTAAACTACTAATGAATTCATTTAATGAAATCATGAATCAACACTTGACCGAGATTGAAGCCAAGTCCTCATAATGTGAATCTTATGACACTTCGTCTATTTGTAATGTGATAGAATGAAGTTGAATGAAGTATGCTAATTTCTTATTTTTTATTTTTTTAAAAGTGATATTAAGAATAATAAATTGTTTATAAAACGTGTATTTTATTTATTACTAAATACCGAAATTAGCTCCTAATATTTTTTCCCAATGGGTAGCTTCTATTTTCCTTATTAAGATGTGTATTATCTAATCCTGCGTTAGGTGGTACCACATGAAATCCTAGCTCGTGCAATATCTCTTCTACCTGCCTTAGTAACGACGCGTCCAGGTGCAAGACGCGATTAACATTTCGGTGCCCACACCAGCAAGTGTAGAAGCCTTTTTTGTTTGCTTGGGTATCCAACGTCTCTATCTTCTATTCATTTTTGTTATCAGTGTTCCGCCGTCTTGCAATATGCACTCATAAATAAGGGCCATTGAATGAAAGAGGAAAGAAAAAGGGCAACAGCCGCTACCGAAAGAGCTACGTCATGGAGCAGGTTCAGCGTATCCGTAACATGTGGCAGTTTGCCAACTTATGCCAATGGATATATATCTTTGGTGACGCTGCTTCAATTGACGATTCGGTTGACATTGAAGTAAGTGCTGGGTTCTTTTCCCTTTGCTCGCGGCTGCATCCTAACTGCTGCCATAGTGCATTGAGGCAGAGTGTCTCAAGCCGAACTCAACGATTCTCAACGATGTTGCATTAGCCCTCCTCAAAATGGTGTCTTCACAACGTGGTCTCACGTAAGTGTTCTTCTCTTCATCTACCGTTTCTGGTCTTCTTCAATGCCTTGCAGCGGCTAATGTTTAATGCCCGGATGAAGGCATGCATCATTCGATGACCAAGCTCGACGACAGTACATCTTGAAATCACCTGACTCCAATCCATTCGGCGACGAAGACGAGCCAAAGGCCTTTGCTGACCTCGATATATTTACCAAGGTAAACTCAACCTTGGGCTCTTATTTCCCTAGGCATTGATATTGACCAAATCTGTAGATCAGAGTGATGCAACAATTCACCCAATGGATCATGATTCGGCCGGAACTCCTTCGGGAGAAAATGAAGGAACAAAAAGATACAGAGCAAACGACCTGGGTACGCATTGCTTCCTTTACAATATTCACATTGTCTAATTCTCTTGGTAGCGAATCGAACCGTACGGCTGGGATAGCGAAGACCGTACCTACTACGTTCTTGACGACAACCGAGTATATCGGCTGTCAGAAGCCCCTCCGAGCCAAAAAGCTGCCAGCTCCAAGCCTACTCGCCAGCCTCGACGTTCAGGCAAACGACGACGAATATCCGAAGCGATCGACGATGATACTACTCTCGTCAGTAATGGGCCCGAGGCGGACTTGGAAGATAGCCATCTAGGGGGTATGGTTTGGGAGTGTGTTGCAGTGACTCTTGAAGAAGTCCAGGCCCTCGTTAACAGCATGGCTTCGTCACGAGACGAAAACGAAAAAATACTCCGAAGACAACTACGGGACCATCTGGTGCCAATTCTAGAAAAACAAGAAGAGGATCGAAACCGCCGGAAGTTGAAACGCGAGAAAGAGCTGCAAACGCTCGCCAAGTTGGCCAACGCTAAACGGTCAAGCCGAATTGCGATGAAGGCAGAGCAGCGACAACAAGAAGAACATGCAAAGATTGAGCAGGAGCAGCTCAGAGAAGCAGCCGCAATTCAGCAGCGTGAAGAGCAAAAACGGGAAAAGGTTCAAAGGGAGCTTGAAATGAGACTCGTTTCCAGAGAGCAACGGTTAAAGAAAAGAGAGGAGCGCCGCCTCGTCCGCGGCGAGAGCGGTACACCAGCTTCGGTAGATGAGGGCAGCGAAGCTGCGGCACCAGATGGAATGTCTCAACAACCTCAGACTCAGCTTGAAATTGGTGCGAACCCACTGAGTACCAAAGAAAAGCAAGAGGAGGAAGAGGGGTGGGTGTTTGATTGCTCATGCGGCTTGTATGGGCAGGTTGACGATGGCAATCACAGCGTCGCCTGTGAACGCTGCAATGTATGGCAGCATAGCAAGTGTCTAGGCATCAGCGAGGCAGCTGCAGATCACCCAGACTTTCATTTCATTTGTGCTTCTTGTCGTCAAAAAGGCACGCATGACGTGGCACCGAAAAGCCTCTCGCCACCCAAGATTGAAGTCAAGCTTGGCGTTGAGCAAACTACTGAACCCCCTGCTGTCAACCTTGAGCCTGCTGCTGTCAAAATCGAGCCTCCTATTATCAGCATTGGGACTAATGCTGTCAGTATCAAGCCTATTGTCGTTGATGCTGAGCCTACTGCTGCTATTCACGCTGAACCTGTTGCTGCTATTACTCCTAAGCCTGCTGCTCCTATTGCTACTGAGACTGTTGCTCCTATTGCTACTGAGCCTGCTGCTGCTACTCACAATGAGCACGCCGATGCTATTCATACTGAGCCTGCGGCTATTAATACCGAGCATAGACCTATCGGCACTGGTTCCATCTAGCATCGAACTGCTTTTGGAGAGGCAGCGTAACGCTTGCAACTGCTGCCTAGCCCATCGACAATCCGTCTGTCCCCATCTTCTACAAACAACAAAGGACTTGACAAGACAACGCCACCCTTACTCAAGTCGAGCATCCCTAGATCAGCTGCTCATGTTGTTCACTAGTGTCAGCACCCAACCGAGAGCCCATTCCTTGGGAATCATCTCGGTTGAAGAGAGACATTCATCATTCTCGGAACTTGACTCTCATCAGATATGCTTCTTTTCAGAGGTGTTTACACCGTCATTATTCTCACAATCTTCAGGCTTGCCAAGTCAACTCTTGTAAATGCGATACGCTTTTTCAAGTACATAACTCAATGCTTAGGGAGATATTTTTAGAGACGCTAGTCTTCACATGCAACGCCTTCGGAGACATGATCATTCAAAGGATGCAATTGCCTTGGTTTACACAAGCCGCTTCGAGTTTCAGCCACTCTTGTTAGGTTACACAACACTGCACAAAGACAAAAGCTGAATTCGGACTTTGAAGACGCATCTTTGATTTCTTTGATCGGTCACGAGCAACTCGCATATCTCCACCCTGTCTATCCGATCTGCTCTGGTTCGTGCGCTCATTGCGCTGTATGGGATGATTTCCTCGCGGTGTTTCTGCTTGAACCGCAACTACATGGAAAGAATATTATCAATACCTTGATATGATATATCAAACTAATATCTGATCATATCCGGCACTTTCCCCGGAATATCTCCACGCTTAGCTTCTATGTGGAGGTAAACTTGCTCGGAAACACCCACGATGATGCACAATACTGGCTGAGGCGCACTGATCTAATTGGCCCTCTGAATGGTGAAGAGCAAGGGTCTTTGTTTCTTGTATGCCATGACTCACGTCGGAGGAGATGATCATCCAATGGAGTTGTCTCCTTCAAGGCGATGCCGTCAAGTTGATGATGCGTTCGAGCAGCCATAAGGGTGCACGGTCAACATCTATTATTGACGCGCATTCCAACAGTTGCGCCGCCTAAAGACGGCTCGATGCATAACAGATACTTGCCCAAGGCACCCTCTATTTACCCTTTTCGGCTCTTGGCTGCATGTCATAGCGTTGGCAAGATGGTGTTTTGGGGCATCTTCGACTGAGTTTAGACCCCGTGTTTACTGCGACGGTTCACAGGGTGGCCCATGAGGCAGGGGATAACCAATTCGACCAAGATTTCAGTACCGCATGCGGCGAAAGCTCTGATGTTCGTTTGTTTGTGGCCTTGATATGGAAGTCATGTGTCAAGATCGAGGTTGTAAATCATAGAGTTAGATGTGGAAATGTGCTGCCTGTCAAAGGGTCCTAGTCTTGGGACAAAGATAACAACTCTTCTTTCCTATCAGTCCGATTTATGATTTATTTCATGCATCCCGTCTACTCTCACTACACCGGATGATTGAACATTGTCTTATGTTACAACGTGTTTTACTTGCAAATTCAAAAACCCCCCAACGCAGTTGTCTTCTTCAGAATCTTACACGCCGGGCGACATGACTGCCAACGCAACCATCACCCGCGACACTTTGCATTCATATTCGCCCGCTAGAGGTGTAGGCGTGATTGAACGCATCAAAGCCGAACATGAAGCCCAGCAGTTCCCGAGTCAATTGATTCCAGAATATGATCAGCGTATCCATCCTCCTGCCCACATCAAGGGGTATGGCGATGGAAACAGGACAGGATATGTCCAAATCCCTGGCTACCCTGGCCACTGCTATCCAAGCCAGCTTCCTATTTCCGTACGCTGAACCACTATCTGAGATCACTCTGCCTGTTCCACAATGTTAACAATTCCTAGCCCCCCCTCTCACGAGAAGGCACAAGAACAGATACAAAACACAATCTGGTGGTAAGAGACATGATCTACGGCGCTTCAAGCTGCTGAACCTTCCCCTTTATGCTCAAAGAAGAGTGGCAGCTAATAAGAATGACAGGCCCCGTCGCAGTATAAGTCGGAGGTGTCACCCTTGGACTATTCCCACGTGAATGATGGTGTTATGCCATCCGAGGGGCCAGACGATGATGCCCTTGAGGAAGAATTTAGCGAGCCTCCAAGGAAAAAGCGAAAAACGCAAAAAAACAAAAAGCCAGCAAAGCTACCCGAACATTTGTCCCATTTCAAGTCAGCACTTTCTCGGATTGCAGCAGCTGGAGGCTATGGCCAAGCTTTGCTTGACGAGGCTGCAAGACACGTCGCCCGCTCAACCCAGGTACGACTCAAGGAAGAATTGAATCCTGATGGAAGACCCAAGCGCACTTTGAATTGTTTTTTTCTTTACCGCAAAATATATCACCCTCTTGCCCTTTTCCTTCTACATGGGAATGAGCAGGAGGCTCTTGCCCTTCTAAATGACCGGGAGGCTCTTGCCCGTCAAAAGAAGAATGAGCAGGAGGCTTCCACACTTTGTGGAGTATCTTGGCATCGTGAGTCGGTGGAATTTCAAGAACATTTCAGGGTACTGGCCAAAAGAGATTCAGCCAACAACCTCAAAGCTTTCCCCGACTATAAATACGCACCCTCTAAAGGCGGTAAAAACCACGACAAACCCGTCAAAGGCCGTGCTTCTACCAAAACAGGTCGGGTGACGCGCAGCAGGAAACCCGCATCCAAGACCAAGAAACTTCACCACTTCAGCGAAGAGGTGCTCCAGCGGGCCATCCACGAGCAAGAGCAACAGCATCTCCCAGCCGAAGCCGTTCATCATCAGCCTTACTTGACCTCTGTCGCTGTTCAACCTCATTCCACTTTATATGCAGAGGGGTATGAGGCGGGGTACTCGTATATCGTTTATCCTGACCCTGATCAATATCAGAGACACTACATAGCAACATATGGCGACGTCTATTCACAGAGCAGGATCTCACCCCCGGTTGTTGTTCATGCTCTATATGAAGACACAGAGAACCCTGATGTGAACTATAATGAGGGTTTCATCGATCCAGCACTTCTCCTGGATCAGTCCGGCATGCACAACTCAGCCAGCTGCTCAGTTGCGATTCAACAACGGTCGCAGCCGGCTCCCATCGAAAGATCACGCGCGGAGACAGGCATATCCAGCTGGGATGGTGATGCATCTGCACCGTATCTCAGTGGGGGTTGGGAGGTCGTGCAACTGGATGGGGGTGAGTCCAATTACGAGCAACTGGAGGGACGTGAGTCCAGTTTCTTTGGGGATGCTTTGATGGCCCAGGCCCAGGAGGTGTAGTCGAAAGGTGTATGGGGGGGGATGTGTGGCTCTTTTGGAACAGATTGTACTTGGGTAGATGGTTTTCTAAAGGGAGTTTGTCGTTGCTTTGGGATGAATTGGTTGATGAATCATGTCGGGTATAGAGGAGTCCGGGGCGCATCTGGAATGGATTGTACATGTCGCTTGCTTTGATCATGATCACGTTATAGTTTTACTATAGACAGGAAATAGAATGAATATCTTACCCTAGAGTTGGCTGTGGTGATTTGGTTTTTCCCTCTTCTCTTCCACTATCGGGCGGTATTCCAGCGAATGGGTGTGTGAGATCCTTGTGAGGGGGTAGCAGGGATGAGGGGAGAGGAGAGCGATTGATGGTGCCTGTAGATGGCGTGGGTGGTGTTGAAAGAAGAGCCTACGTTGACAAGCTTACCTCTTTGTTCCGCAAGCCACGAGTACAGTATATAAGAACTATCGCCAACTCAGTACACTACTAATTTAGGCAACACAATTATTCTTCCAACTAGGTGACAGCTTATCAAGTCTGCCTAGAATGTAGATGATGATGGCAGTGCCGTTTGTCCTCTGCAAGATTCCCAGTACAGTATTCAGCATCCATAGCAAACTCGGAGCGTTGTTAGATAGAGAGCAAGCTTTTGGGTGCTGAATGGCCGGGCGCTCCCTTGATTCCACACTCAGGCTAATCTCCACAGCGCCTGTACCCGCCCCCAAGCAGTACCTGGAGTACCTGTACCTGTTAGTGCTAAGGTGTGGTACCTGTACTAATCTGTGCTAGCACATGGTACGTTTGCTTCCAGCTGCATCTGTGCTCTCCTTGTGCCTGAAAAGCTATGACGACGGCTTCTGTCCGTTTTCCGTGCTGCTAGGCGAGCTGATGAGGGGTATATGGAATGGAGGTTTTAATGCGCTAATTACAGATTCGTCAGTTGAAGTATCCTATCCTGCTGTATCGCATGGAATCGGCAGCGTTGTGTCAAGGTGATTGATGTTATATCCAAGCATCATATATAACAATGCCTACCTATATCATAAATGCAACAAGGCATACACCAAGAATATAAATCCAAGATAAACATATACAAAATATGCTCTCTATAAATAATTACTATATATACCTATGCATAGCTAATTTACCTTAAAATTCCAACTTACCTATTGAGAATTGGGGGGCTGCTACAAATTAAACCAAACAAGGCTGAGGTAATAATTACTATAGGAGACTGGTGGGCAGTGCTGCGTGCGGTGGATCCTCCAATAGCATCTGGGTAACAAGGTCGTCGACAGGGGGTCGCTCCGTACTCCGTACTCTTCATCCCTCTCGCTGTCGCAACCACGGAGTGCTACCTTAGTAGGTATGGAGTACACTCGCTAGCACTGCTAGGGACTGGCTTGCTTTTCGTCACTCAATACAGACAAGACAGCCCTCTTCACTGCCAGGCCACGCAACGAGGTGCATTGCATTCCACCGCGTCGGCACAATCCGCATTTCGAGCGTCGAGCTGCGTCCATCGGGGCAACCAAGGCGAAATGGGCTTCCTGGGAATCTACCGCGCCATCTATGACTACACTCCTAACGAGGATGCCGAGTTAGCCATCAAGCAGGGCGACCTGCTGTACATCCTCGAGAAGAACGACGATGACGGCTGGTGGAAGGCCAAGAAGAAGGCCGGCACCGATGACGAGGATGAGCCTTCTGGCTTGATTCCGAATAACTACGTTGAAAAGGTATACCTATTATCGCTCCCCCGTGCCCCCGAGTCCCCGTGTCCCGGCCCCATCTCGATCCTCGACTCGACCAACGTCAGCTTGTTCAAGAGCTGGCCGAGCTGCGGCTCCCCGTACATTCGCGAATAGGCGACTTCACACTGGGATGCGCAAGCCAAGCTAACCATCGCGTCCGCAATTTAGGCCGAGACGGTGGGCCATGCCCGTGCCATCTACGAATATACTCGCCAAACCGACGAGGAGCTGTCCTTCTCCGAAGATGCCGTGCTAGAGGTCTTCGACACCACTGACGAGGATTGGATTCTTGCCGGAGTGGACGGCGAGTATGGCTTTGTTCCCGCAAACTATATCGAGCTTCAGGCTGCTACTCCTGCAAGTGCGCCATCGGTGCCGGCGGCCCCAGCATTGCCAAGGCGGCCACCATCCCAGAGCATCGCGACCGATGACAACACTCCCCCGTCTGATGAAGCACCGGCTGCATCTCCTGCGATTGCAGCTCCTGCGGCTGCCGATCCAGCAGTCGCCCTTGCCAGCCTGATCCAAAACCAAAACCGACAATCCACAAGGGAGCCCATGACACTCAGGTTCAAAGAGCCGGAGTTGTCCGATGAGGAGTCTATTAGGTCACCCGCTTTGCCCTCGCGGCCACGCCCACAGTCTCAAGCATATTCAGTGTCGTCGGAGCAGCCAGCCAAGCCAGAGCGAACCCCCGAATCTCAACCCAAAGGGCATTTGATTCCTGGCAACTTCCACCTGTATAACATCAACGAGATGGTATCGGTCATGGGCAAGAAGAAGAAAATGCCGACAACTCTGGGCATAAACCTCTTGACTGGTACGATCCTTATCGCGCCCGAACGAGCTGAGAACGACCCCCCTCAAGAATGGACTGCCGATAAGATGACCCATTACTCTCGTGAAGGCAAGCACGTCTTCATGGAGCTTGTCAAACCAAGTAAGAGCATTGATTTTCATGCCGGAGCTAAGGACACTGCAGAAGAAATTGTATCTTCTCTCGGTGAGCTTGCAGGTGCTTCTCGGGCAGAGGGACTACGAGAGGTGATTGCGGCAGGCTCCCAAAAGCGTCAAAGAAAGGGAACCATTCTCTATGACTTCATGGCACAAGGTGAAGATGAGGTGACCGTTGCTGCAGGCGATGAGGTGGCCATTATCGATGATTCAAGGAGCGAGGATTGGTGGCAAGTTCGCCGCCTAAAGAATGGCAAAGAAGGTGTTGTCCCGAGCAGTTATATCGAATTCTCAGGCACAATCACGCCACCACTCGTGCAGTCAGCAACAGGGCCGTCTGGAGGCAATTCCGCTAGATCGGCCGTTGAGCAAAATCGCCTGGATGAGATACGACTTACGAAAGAGGCGATAAAGGCTGCTAGCAGGGAGCCTCAGCAGCAACAGGTAGGCCAAGGAATGCCTTTACCTCGAAGAGGTAGCAGTCTCATAGCTCCGAATGATGGTAACACTTTGGGACAACAGCGGCCTCGACGCGAGAATGGACGAAACGATAGTGGCAGTCATGCTTCAAGCAAATCCAGTGAGTTTTCTGTTTCCTCCCAAATGAGAATTGCATAACCAAAGGCATTGGCGGAAAACTGACACTCATATGATAGAACCTGATGCATCCAAAGTCCGAGTATGGACAGATCGATCAAAGTCATTCAGTGTCGAGGCTCAATTCCTTGGGCTCAAAGATGGCAAGCTACACCTCCACAAGATGAATGGCGTAAAGATTGCTGTACCAATAGCCAAGATGTCGCACGAGGACCTTGTATATGTTGAGAATCTCACCGGAATATCTCTGGACGATGAGAGACCCCTTGCCGATGTCAAACGAGCGTCAAAAGTCCCGGAACAGCCAAAGCCCGCTCCCGTTGGAGCGTCCGTGGACAAGGGCCCAGAATACGACTGGTTTCAATTTTTCCTTTCTTGCGATGTCGCTGTTGGCCTTTGCGAACGTTATGCTCAGGCATTTACAAGGGATTCTATGGATGAGAGCGTCCTACCAGACGTTGATGCCGGCGTCCTACGGAACCTGGGCTTGAGAGAAGGAGATATCATCAAGGTAATGCGTACTCTGGATGCCAAGTTTGGACGCACCAAAGCCAATGGCGATGCCGATGGCGGTCTCTTTTCAGGTCCTGGCGGTGCTCTGCGGAATAACACAAGGAAGGGCCGGCCAGCCCCTGCAGTCCAAACCGGCGATGTGGTCGATGCCGCCGTTTTCTCAACCAAGGAGGCACCTAGCTCTGGCGAGACGGCGGCGGCGAAACCGGCGTCTCCTGCAAGTCCGGTGAGGGAGCCCAAGCGTCCTGCGGGAGGATTCGACGACGATGCCTGGGATGTGAAGCCCACAAAACAAGAACAGCAAACACAACCGCAGCCGGCAGCGCCAGCAGCGGAGGCCCCAAAGAATGTAGAGCCTGCTCCCGCCCCAGCTCCCGCTCCCGCGCCTGTTGCCCTTACCGGATCTCTACAAGAGCTTTCCTTGCTATCAACACCATTGGAGCCTAGCAAGATCGAACCAAAGCCTCAGCCTCTGGCTCCGCTGCCGAGCGAACCGCAGCTGTCTGCACCCGCGTCCCAGCAGCCACTCCTCGGAGCAAGCCCATCCTTCTTTTCAACAATGCCGCAGCCCAACCAGGTTTCAGCCCAGCCCTCGCTTACTGGAGTTCATATCTCTCCGAAATCTCTAGGAAGACAGCGGCCTCTGGCGCCGTCTATCTCGCCGCCAGTCCAAGGCTCGCTCGTTGTACCGCCACCACCACAGCGACCTCTTTCTGCTCCGCAGTCGACTCTTCAGCAGGGCATGTTTCAAGCGCCCGCGCTCGTCCCTCAGGTCACCGGTCTCGTCCAAGGCCAGGTTGCACCACCGGGCCAGAGCCTCAACGACATTACACAGGCCCGGCTGCAACAGCAATATGCAGCCCAGTTGCAGCAAAATATTCAGCCAATTCAGCCGATGCTGACGGGATACATTGGACCCCAACAGCAAGGCCTCCCACAGTTCCCTCAAGGTGCTCCCGGGCCGTACTTGCAGCCTATGCTGACTGGTGCACCTGGCTATATCGATCCCAGCCGCATTAGCCAATATGGAGGACTTCAGCCCCAACCAACCGGCTTCCAGCCGTCTCTGGGCCAGTCTCCCTTTGGCACCGGCAGCATCAACAACTATCTACCGCCGCCTCTGCAGCCCCAGCAGACTGGATTCCAGTCTCTGCAGCCACTTCAACAAGGAGCCAATAATGAGTTGAAGGCACCCATGCAGCCTCTTGTACCCCAAAAGACTGGACCTCCTCCGCCAGTCCGATTCGGCGTCACGCCGGAAACGAAGAAGTTGACGCCCCAGCCAACCGGCCGACGGGCCAACCTGTCCCAAGCGAGTAAGTTTCTTTCTTCCTGTGCTCCATTGCTGCTGTGACTAACAAGATTCTTCTCTTTTCTCATAGCTCCTGAAAATCCGTTCGGTTTCTAGACGGAATATCCCACAACCAACCACACTTGTTATATATAGCTACTTATATAGTCTGATTTAACGTAACAAAACTGTCTGCTTAAATCTAACCTTTATAATGAGTAGAACGCTAGAAATAAGATTCTAAATTTTAAGTAATTTTAATATGAAGAGATGTTGCATAGATGATTTTGTTGAATGTCTGATCGGCCCATTTTCTCAAACATAGAACGATATGTAGGTGCAGCTGGAGACGCAATGCGGGAGAGTCCATGAGTGTCGGTGATCAAGGTTAGCACTGGGGCGGCTAAATTTCCAGGGGCCGAAGGTGCTAACGATTAGCACCCTACAGTTACAGTACAGGAACCCATTGCTAGCAGTGCTGTACCCGCGGTTTCCCCTGTGCAGCTTGGTATGCGCTACGTGGTGTTATTTGATTGCGATTTCTACTCGACTCTATCTTGATACTCACCACCCATTGCCTCACCTCACCTATCAGCCCCCTTTCAAGCCTTTCAACCCCGACAACCAATGAATATTCTGTAACACTGCATTTGCAGTCCCCCGTCTCCCGCCATGGCAGAAGCATTGCAAGACCTGCTGGGCATTGAGCAGAAAGTTGATGCCACAACGTTGGATTACATCTCATACCTGGCAGGACAGCCCGTCGATGCCCTACGGTCGTCAGAACGCCAGCTTCTCTCACAGGCGTCCAACTCGGCCCTGCTCTCCATCCAAAGCCTCTCCAAGAAGTCGTACAAGGCCGTCGTTGGCTCAGCTGACAGCCATGCGTCTTTGCGAGAGTCAATTCCCGCCCTGTCGGGCAACGCGGTGCAGCTGAGCCGGCTCATCTCCAACCTGGACTCGCAAGTCGAGCACTTTTCCACCAGCGTCAGCAAGGCTGGCGACAACAAGTCGATTGCGCGGCGGAAGCAGGTGCTGAAGCTGCTGGAAAACGCCGACCGCCTGACGGATCTCATGCAAGTGCCTACTCTACTGTCGTCTACCGCCAACATTTCCCCCCTTGGCTTCTCATCCACGCTGGACTTGTATGGCCATATTCGGCGGCTTGGAGCTCTGTATCCAAACTCGCAGCTTGTCTCTGACGTCTTGAGGGAGTCTGAAGCTTCTATTCATCGGCTTGCTACTGATCTCGTCAACACCCTCAAGGCGCCGAATCTGAAGCTTGCTGCGACGCTGCGCACGGTAGGGTGGCTTAAACGTGCTATCCCCGACCTCGTCTCTTGGGCACCAGCACAGGACATGATCCCGGCTGTTTTCTTGATATGTCGTTTCATCACACTAGCTGCCACTCTTGATGCGCTGGAGCCTCTGCGGCTACTGGCAGAAGATGAACGACTCAGTCAAGCAAAGCCTGGACAGTCGCGGCCCAGCGGCCAGCATACAGAACGATTCCTGAAGCGTTTCATTGAAGTTTTCCGAGAACACAGCTTTGGCATTGTCTCCATGTCTAAGAGCGTAGACACAAACCTGGGAGGCACAGGGCCCGATAGTCTTGATCTTCTTCATCCTCTGCCTTCAGCGCTATCTACGTTCCCCATCCACCTGGTCAACATGCTGCTTGAGCCACTTCGCATCTATCTGCCTGTTGTCAAGGATAAGGTTGCTCGAGAAAGTATCCTAACTCAAGTGCTCTACTGTGCCGGCAGCTTGGGTAGGCTAGGCGCTGACTTTGGCATGCTGTTAGCCATGATTGGGGTCACTGAGTGGGTGGATTTGGTTAAGCGCCATAGGCTCCTCGCAGGGCGACTGGAGTCTGTTATCGGCGATTACCGGTAAACCCACCAAATGCCTCGACTCGACTATTTCCATTTACACACTGTGTGCGAATGCGTCATTGCAAACCTCGGAGCTGTGAGCATTACAAACCCTCTGAACAACAGTAGCTACGACAACAACCGAGAGCGAGCATGAGGGTCAGGGTCTGGGTCTGGATGAAGATATAGATATCATGAGTACATCATCGGCATCACCAGCAAAACCAGCTGCGGCAGGTGCGCACTTCACAATGGCATGTTCTCTGCAAGTTTCTCATCACAGTCATTAGCGCAACACTTTGTCTTTGGTCTTGGATCGGGAGTGGCATCTGCTGTTTTGCTGCAGCCGCTGGACCTCCTAAAGACACGAACACAGCAATCCGGGCGTCCCTCGCTGCTCATTGGCATTTGGCGAGAGCTCACACAGTCACCACAGCCGATTCGAGCCCTTTGGAGAGGGACACTGCCTTCCTCTCTTCGCACGGGGTTTGGGTCAGCTTTGTACTTTACATCACTCAATTCCCTTCGCCAGTTCCTTCAAAAGTCCAATGCCTTCAGCCAGAAGATTCATGCGCGCAGCTCTTCGTCCAGCTTGCCTACGCTGACGCCAACGGCAAACATGGTTTCAGGAGCAGTGGCACGCACATGGGCGGGCTTTGCCATGATGCCTTTGACAGTCATCAAGGTCCGTTTCGAATCTAGCCTCTATTCCTACCCAACCATGTGGGCTGCTGTGAAAGACATTCATCGCCAGGGAGGACTCAGAGGCTTCTTCGCCGGCTTCGGTGCGACTGCAATCCGGGATGGTCCTTACGCAGGCATGTACGTGACCATCTACGAGGTGTTGAAGAGGAGGCTCTCATCCTTTGCGTCCCGCAACGCTTCCTCGGCCGAGGGAACAAAGAGCATGACCTCCTCCATGGCCAGCTCGGTGAACTTTGCGTCGGCGATTCTGGCAGGGACAACCTGCTCAGCAATATCAAACCCGATAGACGTCTGCAAGACGCGCATCCAGCTGCAGCCTGAACGATATCGGAATTTACTCCATGCCGGTTACAGGATGGTGGTGGAAGAGGGTTTCCGGTCGCAGTGGCGTGGCCTGGGCCTGAGGATGAGCCGAAAAGCATTGAGCTCGGCGCTCTCGTGGACAATATACGAAGAACTCATACGGAGGTATACTAGCAGTTATGGCACAAGGCAAAGTCTCAAATCAGTGTAATGAATGCGAGCGACGAGAGCAGGTAGAATATTACAAGTTGTGGCAATTTAATAGGTGACAAGAACTTCACTCAATTGTTTTTATGGCCAACACTTAGAAGTAGCCTCAAATCAATCAATAAATTCATAAATAAATAAATCAATAAATAGCAGTAGAGAGTATACGGACTACATAAAAACAGATAAACTTGGCCCGCACATTTCGCAATACATGGTATCATGTCGTGAAGTCATTAAGACGGGCGAGCACCCGCCAAATACATGAGCAGCGCCGGCGACTTGCTCCTCTTTCGGTCGTGCTTGCTGCTGTGCTTCTTGCGAACCCACTCGAAGTCGGGGTCGGAGTGGTGATGCTTCTTCTCTTCGACCATGAGCGTCTTGGTGCGCTTCTCCCGAAGGATCTTGGTGTGCTGCCAAAACTGGTCTTGCTCCCACTCGGGAACCCATCGCTTAATCAAAATATAATCGGGGTCCTGCGTAGAAGGGAGTGTGTCAGTGTCTGCCTGTTCATGAAACCAAGAGCTGGAGTCAAAACTTACATTGTCATATTCATATTCGATCTGGAATGTTCGCAGCGTCTCAATCGAGAGGTACCTACGAGCCATTCTGGTGTAGGTCGGGCGTTCCACCGAATGTTCTGGCGCCGGAAGAGCGAGAATCGGGGGTCCCATTGGGGCATGAGGGGACATGGGAGCATGAGGGGCCATGGGAAGCTGAGGGGCCGCAGGAGCAGGCGAGGTGACCTTCTTGTTGCTGAGGATGGCCTCAATAGCATGCTCGTCGAGGCCCGACTTGAGAAGGTCGTCGTGCAGGCGACGCTTGTACTCCTTGTCCATTCGCTCCTTTTCCTCCTTCTCGCGGGCAATGCGGTCCGCCTCAGCCCTCTTGTACTTCTCGACGGCTTCGTGAGCCTCCCTTTCACGTCGGCGCTTCTCCTCGAGAGCTTCTTCCTCCTCCTTGAGGCGCTTGAGCTCGAGCTCCTTCTTGATGCGCTTCTCCATGTCAGCTTCGGCCTCGCGCTTCTTGATGCCTTCAATCTGTTGATGCGCTTGGCGAAGCTCCATCTCGTCACGATATTCTTTATCGCGGCGCTTCTTCTCTTCGGCAGCCTTGCGCGCTTCTTCAGCGTTGTGCTCCTCCTCCTTGAGGCGCTTGAACTCGAGCTCCCTCAGCATACGCTTCTCATTCTCGGTATCGGCCTCACGCTTCCTGATGATGTCAAGCTGTCGCTGTGCATAGCGAAGCTCAGCGTCATCGCGGAACTCCCTTTCAAGCCGTCGTCTCTCCTCAGCGGCGTCAGCGGCATCTTCCTCCTCCTTGAGGCGCCTATACTCAATCTCCTTGGTTATGCGCTTCTCGACCTGCATCTCAGACTCACGCTTCTTCATCTCTTCGAGTTGTCGTTGCGTAAAGCGATGTTCTGCATCTTCGCGGAAGTGGCTTTCGAGCCGTCGTTTTTCCTCGGCAGCTTCAGCAGCATCCTCATCTTCCTTGAGGCGCTTATACTCAATCTCCTTGGTGATGCGCTTCTCCACCATCATCTCGGATTCACGCTTTCTGATTTCATCAAGCTGCCGTTGGGTGAGACGATGCTCTGCATCTTCACTGTACTGCTTTTCAAGTCGTCGCTTCAATTCGGCAGCTTCTTCGGCAGCTCCCATTTCCTTGAGACGCTTGTACTCGTACTCATCTCTGATGCGTTTCTCCACATCTGCCTCAGCGTTGTGTCTCTTCATCTCATCGAGCTGTCGCTGCGTAAGACGAAGCTCCGCTTCATCGCGGTACTCCTTTTCAAGCCGCCGTCTTTCCTCAGCAGCTTCCCCAGCAGCTCCTTCTTCCTTGAGGCGCTTGTATTCGAGTTCCTTGGTGATGCGTCTCTCGATGTCTTCATCGTGAGTGCGCCTCTTCATATCCTCAAGCTGTCGCTGTGTAAGGCGGAGCTCTGCTTCCTCGCGGTATTGCGCCTCGAGACGGCGGTGCTCTTTGTCGCGCTCAGTGCTGATTCGCATCTCGTCCAGCTGACGGCGGGCCGCCTCTGCCTCCCACGCTTCTCGCGTCATGTGGCCCGTTCGAGACTGCGAGCGGGAGCTGGACCGAGAGCTGGAACGGGAGCGGGAGCGGCGGCGATAGACATTACGGCGGCTGCGGCGCGGGCTGTCATCGCTCAGGTCCTCGTCGGACGAATGCTCGTTGTAGATGCGGTTGTTGATGATGATGGGAGCAGGCGCAGGCGCAGGAGGGGCCGGAGCGGCAGGGCCCAAAGCCGTGCGGCTATCACGAGGGCTCTCGCGAGGCGGCGATCGAGTGCGCGAGAGAGACCTGGTGATGGCCGTGGTGCGTTCTGTGGTGCGAATATCCGGCCTGAGAAAGCTGGGCCCGTCATATTGAGATCCCCGCACCGACGGGTTCGTCACATAACGGACTCCCGGCGGCGACTGGCGACGAGTGACATGGATGTTGTATCGCTCCCTCTCCTCGTCGGAGGAGTAGCGGCTAGCCATGGTGAGCTTTGTTGTCAAGTTTCAACCATGCGTTTGAAAGAAGACGACGAAAAAAGGGACAAAACAGCAGATGAAAGACTCAACTCGAGTCACCTCACAGAACAAAACAAGGCAGATAACAAGGCAGGAAATGTGGGGGGAGGGGGAGGTTACATGGCCGGTGAAAAAGCTGCTCGTACCTCTTTATACTGGATGCGGCTCAGGATCGGCTCCACAGGGTGCCAAACAGCAGCTGCATGTGCAGGCATGTGCAGGTACCGCTTCGTGCATGATTCTGGAGGTGAAGCGTCATTTGTTTTGTCGCAGTCGCCCTCATTAGCGCTTATCGTGATGCAGCAGCTGAGGGTGGGCGTGGTGGTTGGACGGATAGGATTGGGTGTGAGGGGTTATGACATAGTGGAGCGGGAGGAGAGTCGATGGCCTTGATTTTAGTCAAAGAAAGGGAAATGCGAAAAAAACACACACCACCCTCGGCAATTTATGCTATATATAACATAGTAGATGCGATGATGTAGACGACGACGATGGTGATGATGATACTTGTTGATGTTGTAAATAAAGGAAATATTTGGTGGCTTGTTACACAGTATTTATTTACCTGTGGTCTGATTATTCGGGGGATTTTCACAAAACAACATAACCTTAGTACCACCAACAGGTACAAGTACTAAAGCACTGTACCCGGTACCTGTAAAATACACACAGTGTGTCCTGTTCACATGAGTTGGTCCAAGTTACTCGCACGAGTACAGTATGTAGCTAGCAAATGTCGTCAAATCAAGACAGAATCGCTCCGGCTGCACCCCTTGCCGCTTCCGTCCTAGCCCATGCTTAATGCAAAGAAGCCCCTCTAGCGCTGAGAAAAGTCCCCTGTGGCAGATGACCCGCCGGCCCGTAAGGCTACCAAACTCTCACATCCTCCCCCCCATCATCTTCCCGAGGCTGGGTGAATCATATTGCGCCTCTCAGAAAAAAAAACATAAGATCGCCAACCTTATATATACCTACATTCCCGTCTCTTATACACAACACACGCCATATGGCTGCTCAGTTTGCTTCCCATGGCCGCGGCGGCGCGGGCAACATGGCCGATGCCGCACAGTCACCAAAGATCAACCCTTCGGATCTCGAGACCCCCGTGCTGAAAACGGCGGTTGTTACGACTGGTCGAGGGGGCACTGGCAATATGGCTCAGAACAACGACCCTCGCGAGACTCGTCTTCGCCAGGACGTTAAGGCGTAAGTTTTGGCTCTCCTTTGCGACAGTTGCCCTCTTTCCTATGCTTTGTTGAGGGGAGGGGGAAGAGACTCTCTAGTACACTCTGAATCATGCATGCAGTTTCTAACAAAGAGTGTTGTTTGTAGTGTCCCTCGGCGACTTAGCGCAGGAGCCCAGTACGTTGGCCGTGGCGGCGCTGGCAACGTATTCAAGGGCGAGGACGAACTCGAAGAGCTGGCGCGCAACCGTAGCGTGGAGCAAGCCATCGACGAAACCCCCGAGAGAGAGTCGGACAAGTCCTCTGACAAGTCGGCCGAAAGGACTGAGAAGACGGAGACAAAGAGACGATGGCTGTTTGGCAAGAAGCAATAAAGCGTCGACGAATTCCTCTATTTCTGCCTTTTCCCCCTCTCTTCCCCCATCTTCTCTCTTCCCCTCTCCTCATTTCTCTCTCTCTTTCGCTTTTTCAAATTCCCCGGTTTTTTAGGAACTACTTTATTCATGGTGTTTGGATTTCGTAGGGCGCATTTCGTCATGGTTCGTGTTTAGGTACGGAGTCTTCTCGGTGGTAACCAAAAAAAAGATTGTTTGTGGGCTTCAATTAGGAAACGGCATCCAAAACCAAAAGGGTATTTCAACAGACGGAGCGATTCTTGGTTTTTAGATCGGGCTTACAATACAGCTTGTCATTTCAATATACTATTCTGACTCTGCCGCTGAATTGAGAGCCGGCCGCCTTTTTCACTTTTTTTTTTTTCTTTCACTTTCTTCGTTTTATTTTCTCCTCTCCTTTGCCACAGCATCAGGGCTTGGTCAGGCGATGGATTTCCTCAAAGAAGAACTTCAGGTTATCGGGGTTGACACCAGGGGTGATACCTGTGGACAATATGATTTAGTAATGATAAAACGTAATAACGGTACTCCGAGTGTGTATATCTTACCGTGACCCAAGTTGGCAATCCAGCCCTTGTTACCAGTCCAAAAGCCCTTGACCATGGTCTCAACAGCCTCGGTGATGGCGGCCTTTGAACCATACAAGCATCCGGGATCGGCGTTGCCCTGGAAGACAACGTTCCTGTCTCCTCGAATCTTCACAGCCTCGGCGGCGTCTTGCAGCCAATCCATGCCGACGACATTGTAGCCCAGATTACAAACTGAGTCGAGAGCGTACCAGGCGCCCTTGGGGAACACCGTCATGGGGACCTTCTCCAATCCCAGCTCTTGCAGCTTCAGCGGTAGCTTTTGCGCAATGTGAGCAAGGTAAGGCTCGGAGAATTCCTTGAAGGAAGCAGGAGACAACTCTCCAGCCCATGAGTCAAACACCATCACCGCCTACAAATCACTGTTATTAGCTACTTCGCCGAGATGGATGGACATAAATAAATAAAAGGCTGAAAACAAAAGTTGGGGTAAAACCATACCTGAGCACCAGCCTTCACCTGAAGAGCCAGGTGGTCTACACAGACATCAGCAATCTTAGCCAGGAGCTTCTTCGACTCCTCCGGGTACTTGTAGATCCATGTCTTGACCTGGGCGAAAAGCTTAGTCCCGCCCCCCTCGACCATGTAGCAGAAGAGCGTCCAAGGGGCGCCGCAGAAGCCAATCAGGGGAACCCGGCCGGCCAGCTTCTTCCTCGTTAGGGTGATTGCCTTGTAGACGTAGTCGAGCTCGGCGGCAACGTCCACCTTTCGGCCGAGCACCTGCTCGTACTGCCCGTCCGTGGGGCTCTGCAGCGGGTTGGGGAAATGGGGTCCCTTCTTGTCCACCATCTCCACCTGCATGCCCATGGCCTGGGGGATGACGAGGATGTCGGAGAAGATGATGGCGGCGTCCAGCAGGCCCTCGAAGCGCTCAACGGGCTGCAGCGTTAATGTGGAGGCGACCTCGGCATCTCGGCAGCACTCGAAGAAGTCGCGCGTGCCCTTTGCTTCATGGTATTCCGGTAGGTAGCGGCCGGCTGCATTGCAGAATCTCATCAGTTGCCGCTCCCTCTTTCTGCACTGCTCTCGAACGCAAAACATACCTTGGCGCATCACCCACATGGGAGGTCGTTCCACCTTCTGGCCTATACGGCGCACACAACGTATAAGCACACAACTTAAACCTCAATTCGCAGCATAGCGAGTCTACCGCAAAGGACAGATGAATGGCAGGAACCCACCCCACGCCGCTCGCAGCAGCAGGTCGTTCTTCAATGGCTCGAAATTGTGCGACATGGCGGTCAATGAGGAAAAAATGAGACTGGAATGTTGCAGGTGCAGAAGCTCTCGTCACTCGGCCAAGTATATAAAAGTAAGCCGCTAGCTTTCCGGTGTTCTTGAACCCCACCATCAGTCGGACGTCGGATGCCATCGGCCCGTCATTTTTACGCACTGTGAAGTCCCGCTCTAGCCTCACTCAGCAAGCTGTCTCTACATACAAGCTGTCACCAATCGTCACCACATATTTCACACTCATCCAAGCGCCCACGCTCATCACCACAACAATGTCGGAACAGGAGCTTCAGATCAACCCCATCGTCCAGGACTCAGTCGCGCACAACACAAAGGTACGTTCAATCCCCTGCCTCGTACCATGGTGTCGTGCCACCATTCTGACTTGTCTAACCTCATCTCCGCGGAGCAGACTCTCACCAATCTCCACAGCTTGACGGCGTCCCTCTTTGGCGTCGGTGCTGGAATCCTTGGTCTCGAGTCTTACTATGGCTTCTTATTCTACATTGCCTTCTCAATAACAACCAGCCTCTTGTTCTACATCCTCCAGATTGCACCAAGCTCTCTGGGAGAAGGTCGCACCGTCCTCGACTCTGGTCGTTACTACAGGGGCGCCTTGGAACTCTGGACTAGCGGCATCTTCAATGGCTTACCCGGATTCATATTGACTTGGACTTTATTCTACGGCTTAGTGCGAGCTTGAATGCTCCTCAGAAAGGGTTGGGTGGCGAATCAAAGTACGATGCAGACAAAGCGATTATTCCTGGTGTCAACCATAATCTATTAAACATAATGAAATAACCCAAAATGATATGCAACTTTCGACATGCATTCCCATGTCAGCACACAAGCTCCGTGATCTTTCCAACAAAACCCTGCAAACCCGATCCATCTTGACTACTATTTCCCATCATGATGACTGATGTCCCTAGCTCTGCCCACTTTCGACTATGAACGAATTCCACTGACACTTTGGTCACGGTGTCTCCCGCACCATCTCCGGCCTCACTTGTTCCGGCACGATGCTGAACGAATATGTCGAGGATTCGGGCAGCAGTTCTGACACAAGCAAACAGCACATTAACTGTTGTGCCCGGCGGAGAAAACTGAGCAGCACCTTCGTCAAAAGTCGCCGTAAACCCACGTGAAGCCTGAATGGGGATTTCATTGCCAAGTGTATCAATTGGTAGCGTCGCCATCACCATCCCTCTCTGAATCTGAGGAGTATCCGTCAAGGGAGTGAGTTCGGCTTGGCTTGGCTCAAACACGAGGCCTATTGATCCAACTTGGCCAGCTTCCAGTGTTCCTACAGGCAGTCGAAGGTTACGGATGCTCACGATCCGCCCTTTCTGCCATTCATCCGCCGCAATGGATGGTGGTGTACCATCCGTCCGGGCGCTTTTGACATGTTCGGCTAACGCTGCATTCAGCATTGGCGATCCACGATCGTCGGCCGATGAATGACCTTCGGAGCTCGAGGTGCGATTTTGACCCGACCAGAATGGTCCTACAACGATGGTTTGCCCGACAGAGAAGCTACCGAGTCGAACATGGCCGGATACAATGACCCCTTCAGCAGATGGTGAATCATCCAACGATCTAGACAAGCTGAATGTGTCATCAATATGGAAAAGGTTTGTCGGTTGCCCTGGCTGCAGAGTTGTTTCTGTAGAATCATGCGCCGGTAGAGGCAGACTTGCTAGTAAAGCATGAACAAGACCGACGCCAACGCCCTTCAAGACACTCGTAAAAACAATAGGGACATGCTTCAGTAGGCCTCCATTCTCGGACATGCTCTTAACCAGGCTATTCACTTTGTCCCAGTCCGTCTGTGGAATTTCTGCCAACTGATCCTGTGGCTGCTGATCAGGCTGCAGGAGCTTCGGTATGCGATGTGCATCTCTTATGGCGGCGAGGATTTTTGTCATAGTCTTCTGCAAGGCTACTTTAGACGCGAGATCTAGTTTCGTAATGACAATAGCTAATGGGACATCGAGCTTGAGCGACAGATCCAAATGGGCTTTCACCAAGTCAGTATCTCCCGAATCTATTGCAGAGGAAGCTGTTTCATGAGCTCGAGGAGTCACCTCGGCGTCATCTGCAGCAATGCAGAGAACCATCCAATGCGGCGCCCAATTCATAAGCCCGCGGAAGACTGTATGTCGATACCTCGGGTGGCCACCCGAGTCAGACATAAACACAAGTCGGCCATTGCTAGAGTAGTCATGAATGTCAACCCATGATTCAATGTTACGATGAGAAAAGCTGAATATGTGCCTTCCCTCGTATCCGATGAGCTCTTGTGCAATGGAGCTGGTCATTCCGGATGCCATCTCATGGCGATGCTTCAACAAACTCAAGCGACTTTTGCCTCGACCATTATCCAAAGTACCCGTAGATAGCGTTCCCAAGAGACTTGATTTCCCTGACGCTATAGGGCCCGTCAAGGTAACTCGCAGCTGCGGAGTTGTAGACTTGGCATGGCCTGGAACTGTGTTTGACGTAGAAGATTGCAGAGGAGTTCCACCATTAGATCCTTTGTAGCTCCCGCTCTCATTGAAATTTTTTGAATGCTGCAGCTCGGTATTGGGCGTTATCAATGCTTCAGCCACCCAGAGTTTATCGTGTTTAGAAACCTGAACTGGGTTCTTGGTAGCATTGCCATCGACCTCTGCTATTTCAATCCATTCACAGTCACCCACTATTACCATTCGCAGTACGGTAATGCCGCATCCAAGGCTCGCGGCCATGATCCTGAGAGTAGCGATACTCTCATCCAGCTCATCTTTGGTGAGCCCAATGAGTGTTCCGTCATCAGAGACACCTATCTCGTACAAGGCACCCTGCGACTCTTCAAGTCCGGGGATCTGGGTGCCGTAGAGATCCAAATTGGCATCATCTTTGCCGTCTGATAACTTTGGTATTCTCACTTCTCTGGAGCTTGTCGCATGATACGGCGACGACTGTTGCAAGCGCCATAGCAGCTGCGTTGTAAGACGCTGGAGACGCTCCTGGCGCGGTTGATTCGACGATGCAGGAGACGCAGAGTACATTGCCGACCCATCCCCAGGCTGGGCATGAAGCCTGTCTCTCTTCGGATGCACGGTACTCATGTACACATAGCTGCGCCGCGACCGCAAGAGCAAATGCAGCTTGTATTCGATTGGGCCGGTCTGCGGCTCAGCTTCAAGCCTCGTGACACCATACTCAGACAGCAAGCCGGTCTGAGTCACCGCCGCTCCGGATCCCTGAGGGCTGTCTGCATCGTCGGCCAGAATCCAGGGCGAGGAGACCCGGGGAGGGTCAGGGTCGTATGTGAAGACAGAGGCCATTGAAGCGGTTTGAAAAACAATTCGATCTGAAAATATCCCTACTAGACTAGTACAATTCAATTCATACTCTCATGGTCCGATATATATGCACAAAGCAATGTCGAGCAATGAGAATCATTATGGGGAGCGATTGCGACACTGTGCAAGCGATGCGAAGAGCCTCCTGAGGACCAAAGATCACACGTATGAACAAAATGATACGATGAAGGACTGATGGCTGGAAGAAGATGAAAAACAAAAAAGAATAGACGGTGTATATACAAGAATTTAAATCAGGCCATCAGGTGAAAATCAAGACGAGGCCATTCGCCATTCGAGCAGAACCAAGCCACTGACCAGCTCAAGTGTGACTCAAGTCTGATGTCTGCCTTGTTGGTAAGGGGAAAGGGATGCCATGCGGTGACATTCTGATGTAACCGGGCTGCAATAGGAATGCAATGTACCTCGAAAGGAGAGCTTAAGAACCGACAGATGCCGAATCCAGCTAGGTAGAATTCTCATGACTAAGATGGCACGGTGCTAATAGCAGGAAACTCGCCCAGTCTCAATCTTTGTTGGAATTGGCAAAGATGCAACAGTATCGTCACTGGAGCTCTCCATTGCCAGCATTTTCATTCTCTGAACAGCGTGAAGCCAAAAACATCCAACGTAATACATAAATCATATAATTTATATAACATATCAACTACATCATATTATGAAACAACCATTGAAACATCGCAGCAGTCTATCTAGACCTTGAGCCTCTATTAATCCTTTTACCTAATACGGGCCAACCGTTCTCTGTTCATTCTCGTAGCATCATCAACAGCATCGCTCTGTGACACAAGACGTTAGCCATCCGATACCGGTACCATATGAGTCAAAGGGGGCATGTGACAGGGGTTCCAGGGCTGAATTACCTTGTTCATAATCCGATCGATTTGCGTGTTCTGAGCATCCACCTCAGCGCCAATGGCTCGGCCAACCATGTTCATCATCTTGACCTGGCCTTCCAATTCGGTAAGGCCGTCGTCGATCTGGTCTTCGAGTTCGTCGGCGCCTTCTTCGTCGTCCAAGTTAAACTTGCCATAATCCTTCTTGCGGCCCTGTGCCCGGCCCATAGCCGAGCCCCCAAGTTGGCGCATGTTTTGCTCCATGCGCTGAGTTGCTGCATAACCATCCCGTCGTGTCGCCTCTCGTTGCTCTCTCTCAGACCGGTGGCGATTCAGCACTTCTTCATCGGCCTTTTGTTGTCGCTGTTTGGACGTAAAGGGGTTTCCGACGTGAACTGCAAACATGCTGCCGTTGAGTGTCTTCAACTCTGCTGCCCTGTCCTGAGCGATCTTATTCTGGTTGGCGGCAAGGTCCAAGTTCTTCTCGGTATTGTGCAGTCGTTCGCCCTGTGCGCCAAGACGAGCCAGAGTGGCACGTCCGACTTCGTTGGCTTGCCTGGCCATCTGTACTGAGCGTGATACTGATGCCACACTGTCCTGCTGAACTTGTCTCTTCTCAGCAAGAATAGCCTGGTAGTCGGCCTCCTCTTGCTCCTCCTCTGTCAATTCCCGCTGCTCGCCATAGCCTCCGTAAGAACTTCCAGAGGTGCCCGACTGCTGGTTAGAGACAGCCGGCGGCTGCTGCTGTTGGGGCCCCCCCTGTGCTCCGGCGAAGGGCGCATCTCTGCTGCTGTCGGCACCACCGCCAAAACCACCGTATCCTCCAGGGCCTCTAGCCCCCGCTGAGGTATTGTTGTTCGGAGTGCTGTCGTAGCGGTTGGAGCCATATCCACCGCCTGAGCCGTATCGGTCGCTGCCATACCCTGGGGCTGGGGAGGGAGTCTGCTGAGGGGGTGGACTCTGGTATGAGGCATAGCCATTTCCAGCGGGTGGTCGAGAACCGTTACTTGGGGTTGGAGAGTAGGCTGGGGCTGGAGAGTAGGAGCCCATGTTGGCATATTTCGTTTGCTCGGCATAGGGATCATTGTTGCCCGGGTTGGCATACGGATTGTCTGACGGAGCAGGCGAGTGCTTCTCGCTCTTCTTGCCGAAACCGAACTTCTTCATCGTGATTAATTAGGAATGGATTATTCAAAGACAGTAGTGTACTTTTCGCAATCAACAGAACAAAGACAAAAAAGGCGGTGCGTTAGGGATGCGAGAGAAAGGAGATGTCACGAGAGAAGAACAAAGACGCAAGTGAGGCTTGGGTGTCAACTCCCTATCTGAGCCACTCCAAGTCTACCCCGTAGGAACGGCTAGCCTAGGACCCTGTTTCAATACTAGGCTCACACCGCCGCAGGCGCTGATGCCCCTAAATCTATATTTAACCCCCCAATGCGAGCCATAGATCAGGTTAAAGGCATATTTTACTACATATTATTATATAAAAGGGATTTTTTCTTTATTATTATTTTTTAAATAAATTGACCGAAATTTAATGATTTTTAAGAAAGAAAGAGCCGTAGTGGGCTTAGGAAAAAGGGAATTTACTTTACTTTACAGTTTTGCTACTTATAACGGGGCAGAATTTTCGCAGACTCGCCGCTATCGATAAGCTAGGTCAACGACAAGTTAGCTCAGCGTACCTTGTCCAACATGTGAAATTTTGACGGGCATCTCAGAGCAGAAGAAAAAAAAACAATGTCGAGTCAAATCTTCTGCGCAACCTCTCTATAACATTCCGCCAAGCATTCTGTTTACCAACAATGGCTGCACCGAACGCCGCAGAACATGCGCCCAAAAGACGAAAAACTCGGCAAGATTCCGGATCCGTCACAATTGGAGGCAAAACCATCTCAGTAGCAGGATATCTAACATCTGCCCGGCCCAAACAAGTCGAAGCAAACGGCCTCAAATCAACGCCGCAAACCCCTTCGCAAGAGCAACCTTCGAATGTTACATCACAGTCACAGCAATCGACGAAAAAGCCATCTTTCGAAAGTAGTGGAACAAATAACAAATCTCGAAACCCAAGAGGAGCCAAGGATCATCCATTGCTCAAAGCTCGCCGCGAATTGCCGATATGGCAGCACCAAGATGAGATCCGAACGGTCGTCAAGCGTCTAGGCACCGATGTTATTGTGATAGTTGGAGAAACTGGCTCTGGTAAGAGTACTCAGGTGCCCCAGTTTCTCTATCAGGAGTCCTGGTGCAAACGGCACAAGGTTAAGCTACCAGGCCGGGAAGAGGATGGATACGTGGGAGGCATGATTGCTATTACACAGCCGAGACGTGTTGCTGCCACAACTCTGGCGCATCGTGTTTCAACCGAAGCGGGCACGCCGCTTGGCAAGGGAAGGCCAGATGGGCTTGTCGGATATTCGGTTCGATTCGACCACCAAGTGCCACGAGGTGCCAGGATCAAGTTCTTGACTGAAGGTACTTTACTGCAGGAGCTTCTCCGAGATCCATATCTGAGACAGTATAGTGCTGTTGTCATTGACGAAATCCACGAGAGAAGCCTGGACGTCGATCTCCTTGCCGGATTCTTGAAACAGATATTGTTTGGGGATAAAACACAAAGAGGAGGCGTTCCACTCAAGGTGATTATCATGAGTGCTACGGCCGAAGTGGGTGTCATCCAGGACTTTTTCGGCAATGCAGCTATCCCTGGAAAAGAAAAGGCGAGCAATGTTGAATTACTTCGAATTAAAGGTCGGCAATTTCCTGTCACGATCTTATACGAACCCCGGCCGGTGGCCGACTTACAAGACGCACTTTTGAAGAAGATTTTCAAAATTCATGTGGAGGAGCCGCTGCCTGGGGATATCTTGGCCTTCCTCAATGGTCAGGAGGATATTGAATCAGCTCAGCGGCTGATTGAGGAATATGCCACGAGCCTTGCATCCAACGTGCCCAAGATCATCGCCGTGCCGCTATACGGACAACTCTCCATTGAAGCACAGAGGGTGGCTTTTCTGCCAGCCAAAACCCCTCTTACACGCAAAGTCGTGCTCGCTACCAATATTGCTGAGACATCCGTCACGGTTCCCGGTGTGAGATATGTCGTAGATTGCGGCAAGGCCAAGGTGAAGCAGTATAGACCACGGCTTGGCATGGAATCTCTTTTAGCCAAGCCGATATCTAAATCATCCGCCGTGCAGCGCGCCGGTCGTGCAGGCCGTGAGGGGCCAGGCAAATGCTACAGGCTCTACACGGAAGATGCGTTTGACAGTTTAGAAGACTCAGACCTGCCGGAGATTTTAAGAAACGATGTTCTCGGGGCTGTTCTTACGATGAAAGCCCGCGGCATCCAAGACGTACTCTCTTTTCCACTGATAGACGCACCAGAGCCCGCAGCTATAGAAATGGCGTTGCTTCATTTACATTTCCTTGGGGCTCTGGCGGACGACGGCACCATCACACCGGCGGGCGAGATGATGGCTAGATTCCCCCTTTCAGCTCCCCTTGGGGCTGTTCTCCTTGCTGCCGCAGGTCCTGAGTTTGACTGTGTCCTCGAGGTGATTGATACCATCTCATGTCTCACGTCAGGAGACGATATCTTCATGCATGTGCAGTCAGAGGAGGCTGCAGAAGAAGTAGAATCATACCGCAAGGATATCCAGAGACGAGAAGGCGACATTATCACGTATCTGACAACCATGCAGATGTACACTGCAGAAAATTCGGATAGAATGGAGTGGTGCAAGAGGCGCAAAATCAACATCCGAAACATGAAGCAGGCGTTGAACATCCGCCGACAGCTTCGAGGGATGTGTTTGAAAGAGAAGCTTCTCTCAGAAATGCCGGCGCCGGATCCTCAGCCATTCACCCCGCTGTCACCCGAGAAGGCAGAGTCGGTTATCAAGTGCTTCCTTCGAGGCTTCGCAATGAGGACGGCTATGCTGGCGCCGGACGGAAGCTTTGTGACTGTCCACGGCAAGCATGTGGTTGCCATCCATCCCTCTAGTGTCATGCATGGGCAAAAGAAGGAAGCCATCATGTTCCTTGAGCATGTGTACACGAATAAGAATTATGCAAAGAAAGTGAGTGCGATCCAGGCAGCATGGATTGCTGAGGCCTTGGGGAGGTAGATGAGCGATGAAGGATATACCCTCTATATTTTGATAGATGCTAGATATATATACATTTGTTAAATTTACAATCTAATTCTACAATTTTTAATGTCCACAAGCCCCTTGCTAAAGGTCAATCATTCAGTATCTTCTCCGTTTTGATGCTTTTGAATGGCCTGCATCAACTCATACAACTGTTGGATTTGCTCGTCTGAAAACGTTGTGCTCAGGTTAGACATCTGGTTCATCGCAAAGAAAACTGGCAAACTAGGAGATCATGTATAACGCTTACCGCTCATCTTCGCCAATTTCCCTTGATCAATCTTCTCACCCACCCAGGATTCGCCCTCAATCTGCTGAGCATACATCTGCCATTCCGAAAGGAAGCCAATCTACAAGCCGGGAACAAGAGAACAAGTCAGCAATACACACACGCAAAACAGACGAAGAGGATAGATCGTCATCCTCCTCCTCTGGCCTTCTTCTCCCTTCATCGCATTCACACGTACCAAATGCGCAGGATTGTCCACGTTCCGATGAGCTCGAAACTCAGCCTTGACATACTCGTCTCCGAGAAGCCGCATTTCCGTGGGGAGGAATTTCCTGTGGGCGCGCAGAAGCCGTCGGTACAGCGGAATAGGAGGCAGGAGGGCCATTGGCTTGGGCCGCAGGCCGTTTTGCATGGCCGAGGCCGAAGCCAGCTTCGCGAGAGACTGGCGCATGTTTCGGGCGATGGGTGAGAATGAGATGATGCTTTAGATAGACGGGTGTGACATCAACGTTTTCGGGAAGAAGTATGCGATGGTGACAATGGCCAAATGACTACTATGCTGTGGGAAATGTATACAATATTGGCCTTTAAAAAAAACAAGTTGCAAAATACAGCAAAGGAGTCGTTATTTTTTAAAAGACGAGGTCTACATTAGACCTCGCAGCCACCGCAGGTATGTCATCTAGCCTGAAGTTCCCGTCCCTATAACCGAATTAGACGCGGGTGCCCTGTAAGTTTTTTCTTCCCCTAACAAATCAATGGATGCAAGTCGATTGGCCGCCCCACCAACTACCAACCAGAGGGCACGACAATTGAATCTTTGAAATATTTCCTCTTATCAGTTAATTATTTCAACATCCTCTCTTTACACTCACTCAGCCTGCTTGGATATTACTTATCTTTCCCACCAATTCTCACTTACAATAAGCTCATCTTATTCGTTTTATCAAGTTCAAGAGTAAATATAAAAAGAAAAGAAAACAAAATACTCACAAGGAAAAAAACCATGTCCTTCTCATTTGGCTTTTCGGGAGACGACATAGACCACGATGTCGATGTGTCTCAAACACAAACACAATCCCCAGCCATCACAACCCAAGCTCAACCTCCAGCATCATACAGCGCCTTCCCCGTCGCCGGCAAGCCCCAGCTCCCAGCCACTCTCCACAGCCTCTCCGACTTCCTCTCACAGCTGCCCTCCAAACTCGCCTACGACCTGCTAGACATTGACGTTGCAGACGACGGCGCCAGTGAGACTCGCCTGCGGCTGCCTCGCCGCGAGCTCTGGGATGTCAGAGTCCAGCTCATGGCTGAGGATGACGAGGTTGTCAACGGTGAGGACCGGGTCGACGATGGCGGGCTGGGCAAGCATGATGTCAAGACGGGCATCTATGAAGGCGGCTTCAAGAGCTGGGAGAGCAGCATTGATCTCGTCAAGGTGCTTGCCGCTCAGGACGAGCTGACGGCCGCTCAACAAGCTTCGTCGCTTCGTGTAGTCGAGGTACGTAAACCATTCAAAGAAAAATCTCTCCTCTGTCCTCTCCTAATATGCTGTCATATAATAATATCTAACTGGCTCAAAATCAACAGCTGGGTTGTGGAACTGCTCTCCCCTCCCTTGCAATGTTCACCTGGATCATGCAAAGACAGTCACGCAATCAATGGCAACAAAATCCCTGCTCATTCGTATTGGCCGACTACAACCCATCTGTCCTCCGCCTTGTCACCTTACCCAACTTTGTCCTCGCCTGGGCCCTCCACAACACACACAACCCAGTTCTCCAAGACGCCTTCAACATCGAAGGCGAGCTTGAGCTGTCCCCTGAGATCGTCCAAGCCTTCGAGCAGTTCCTCTCGTCCAGCGGCATTCACTTGTCCTTCATCTCCGGAGCTTGGTCCCCCGAGTTCATCAGCCGCCTGTACGATCTACCAGCCTTCTCATCAGGCCTGCCAGCACCAATCACGCTCATGGTGGGCGCAGAGACCATTTACTCTCCGTTCGCACTGCAGGCATTCACACAAACCGTCTTTACTATCCTTAAACGAGAGCGGGGTTCTGGTGCTACAGCAGCTGCATATGTAGCTGCCAAAAGACTCTACTTTGGAGTCGGTGGCTCACTGGACGACTTCATCGAAGCGGCCCGCTCAAAGGGCGCCACAGTTGCAGAGCTAAGAGAAGAGAGCGAGGGTGTACGACGTGGCGTTGTTCACTGCATACTGCAGCAGTCATGAGACCTCGCGATTGTGCCAAGTCAAAGACGAATGGCGGAACGAAACTCTCATCTTACACCGAGAATCCTACATGGAACTCACTAACAAGACAGCGTACAGACAATGGATTGTCAGCTAAAGTTTTGTAATCTTAAACTACTCACGCAAACAAAATTACATGGTTTTCTATTTCCCCTTTCGTTGAAACTTCTCAGTACACTCGGGACAATACCAAGTGCCATTGGGTTCACTTTTCAGCCCAACACACGACCAATGAAACCACTCATAGGGGCAATTGTCGTTGTCGCAAGCCACCATGTCGCCATAGCTCACGTTATGGCACAGGCAGTATCGTTTGTCATCACCGCCGTCTTCGTCGTCATCGGCGTCTCCGAGCACTTCATCCCCATCTTTGCCATCCGCCATGGAGGCCCTCGGCCGTGATTCCATACCATCTTCCTCTTCGCCGCTGCCGCTTGCAGCATCCGACAAATCACTATCCGCCGTCGATGCCGGCGAATTTCTGTTTGAGGCCTTCTTCACCCGTGAAAGTGACGATCTGTTGGGTGGCTTCTTCCGACCACTCATTGTCGGGGTGCCTCTGCGACCCGCTACTCCGACAACCCCTTTGACCGATCCTGCTCTCGGTCCAGCACTACCTGCCCGGACAGCACCGCCGGCTCCCAGATTGGCTCCAGAGCCGCTCTTAGGTATACCAGGACCAAGGGATGAATGTCTCGCTAAGCCGCTTGACGTTGTCGGCAGATTTCCGGGCCCTGTAATAGACCGTGGCCCTCTCTTTGTGGCCGGGCCCGCTGAGCTCTCACGCTGTCTATTTAGTATGATGCTTGCGGCTGGCGTGGCTGGTGCGGAGGATGGGTGCTGATGATATTGCGCGACATGCTGCTGGGCTTGAGTATGTCTAATTTGAGGGTGGTTGGGTAGCCGAACCATGGCTGGGTTGGCGGAGCTGGCAACCGGGTTGCGAGGTGAAGCTAGAGGACCAGCTGAGTTGATGTTGTTGGAGAGGTTTAGAGTCCGAGCTGAGGGAGCGCTGTGATTAGTCGCACTGGGGCGGAGGAGTGAAGGAACCTCGTCAGGGTCTGTAAACCCAGGTTCAGCACGATCGTAGAGCAGCTTGATTTGGACATCCAGATTCCGCAGATGTTTGTCCATAACGAGCTGTAGCCTTTGTATCAAGTTGATCTTGTCTTGAGCAAACTGATCAGCGCGAGCATAGTTTTCGCGAATCTGGGCCCGTAGCATATCCTCCTTTGGGTTGGGCTCATGGCTCCCATTCGTCTTTATCCACTTTTGAATCTTTCCATCACGATCCTCAATCATTCGAATACACTCATTGTACTGGCGGTCCTTGTCTGTGATCTCTTCTTGGATGAAGCGAATCTCCTCGGGGAGATTCTGAACACGGTTGATCCAATCATCGAGGATCAAGCCGGGATCTAGAGGCTCGGCCTGCGGCATCCTCTTGACGAAGTCAATGGACAAATCGTCTCTAGGCATGATGGTTAACGACTTGGCGACGCCGAGTCCACAAATTTGACGATGAATAGATGATAGATGGACAACAATAACCAGCGATGAGACACCCAGGCTAGCAGATGACTCTTTAAGGCTGATGTGACTTGATGAAAAACAGAAAGGCTTTTAAACGGGATGGTGTAAACTTGTTTGTAAAGACTTTAAACAAAGTAGAGAGCAGAAGCAATAGCGCAACGCTGGGGGTGGGACAGGAATAGATGGACCGAAAAAGTAGGCCACTGCTGAAATCAGGCCATATGCATCCAAGACGCAACTATTACGGCCTCATATATTCCGTATCCACCGTATGAGAGAGATGCTGCAAAGAAAAATAGGCAGGGCTCATTAAGAAAAGAATAAGAGGAAAAAGAAAAGGGCAAAGGCCATCTAGTTGGGGACACGAAGCAGGCACAGCAGATGGATAGGCAGACGAGCGTGCATGACGGTAGTAGCTCTGCAGCAAAGAAAAAGCAATCACCAGCTGGCCAGAAGTCCCCGCAAGGAGACGTCCCCAACGAATGATTGAGTCCTCCAGCTGATGTGGATGTGACGGGTCCAACCAGCCCTATCCCAGAGCAAAAGCCGTTGTCAAGAGCAACGCAACGCAACGCAGAGCAACGCAGAGCAATGCAACGCAAACACGGGCGCAGAGCGACTCGATAAATGGGCCGGGCTCACCTCGATGCCACTGGAACTGCGGCGCCTGTCCTGCTAGGGGGTCGCTTTGAAGGATGATGGAGATGGAGATGAGGCAGCGCGTTACTCGGCAGACAAATAAGTTGGGTTGGCTGGGCTGCCGGTTCGGAGGAGATGCAGAATTAGTGATGGGCGGAGCTTCGAGGTTTATGCAGGCCTAAGAGAGAGCGGTGCGTCGAATTGGGGCGGGTGCAGCGAAACCTGTCTGGTGGCGAAATCCCGAGGCTTAGCCAGAGAGCCAAGGGGAAATGTTCCGTGCTAGTTCCAGTGGAGCTGGGGGGAGCAAATCTGGTTAATGGGCAGTGTGAGTGAGTGAAGGTCAGTATGAAGGTAAGTTTGAAGGAGGTGAAGAAATAGACAATCAATGTTAAAGAGCAGCCACCAAGAAAGATGCCTTGTGCTTACTCATTATATTAGGACCTGAGGCCAGTCAGGACCTGCAGTTTCCCTTACATGGACATGGGACACACTCCTTCCTCAGTGGATTCGATAAAACCTTATCTCAGCAGTCCATAAGCCCAGCCGGCCTGTAACTTTTCATTCTCACGTGACTCCAGCCAGATTGGCAGCCCGGAAGCTTTTTGGTGGCGTTCGCTCACTCTTCTCTCTCAGTCCGTTCTTCATACCACCATCTTCAACTTTAATTTTATTTCTTACACGTCCAAAGTGTTCAAACGAAAAGGCTAGGCTGGCTTCCACAAATGCCCTCACAATCTCGACCGCTCACATTGGGATGCATTTGATCAAGCAGCATAATGCTTGCTGTAGCTGAATCAGCAGCCTCACCCCTTGACCCTTGACCCTTGACAGTTATAGCTGTTGTATCAAATTCATCTCATTCATCTTCTCAACGCTATTTCCTCGGTCGTTGATGTAATAGCCATAGAGCGCCAAACCGACGAGGATATTCTTTATACATTTTAATCACCCAGCCGATTCACCTCTCCGCCCACCATGGACAACTACAGGTTTCGTGTTCCGAAGCCAAACTACCTCCCTCATAGACCGGACATTGACCCCGACGGCGACATAGTAGAGGAATATGTCCAGCCCCTCGGCATTGCCAGCGATGCGGAAAACGCAAAATTCTACCAGCAGTGCAAACGCCTAGCTGAATCGTCAGGCATTACTCGCCCCAAGGGCTACAATGTGTCTTTTCATTGCAATCCCGAGATGGAGAAGCACCACTTCGGCATGACACATCCTATGAAGCCCTGGCGCCTGACGTTGTCCAAGAGTCTGATTTACTCATACGGCATGTCTTTTGCCATGGATAACTACCTGACCCGGGCCGCTACGTACGAGGAGCTGGCGTCTTTCCACTCCACCGACTATCTCGACTTTCTGGGCACTGTTCTCCCAGAGGCAGTTCCTCGAGATCTTGAGAACCAGAACCCGGACCTGAAATACAACTTGGGAGGCTCCGATTGTCCTTTGTTCGACGGCCTCTATAATTACTGTTCCATGTCTGCCGGCAGTGCGCTTGATGCCGCCCGGAAAATCGTTAGCAAACAGTCTGACATTGCTATTGCGTGGGGAGGTGGCTTGCACCACGCAAAAAAGGCCGAGGCCTCTGGTTTTTGCTACATCAACGATATTGTCATCGCTATTCTGGAGCTGCTGCGATTCTACCCACGTGTTTTGTATATTGACATTGATGTACATCACGGCGACGGTGTGGAGGAGGCCTTTTTCTCAACCGACAGAGTCATGACAGTCTCCTTTCATAAATACGACCCAAACAACTTCTTCCCCGGCACTGGTGCGTTGGACGATAATGGGCCTAAGAGCGAACATAATCCCGGAGCCCATCACGCCGTCAATGTTCCCCTCAATGACGGTATCACAGACGAACAATATGACATGCTCTTTAACAACATCATCGGCAAGATTGTCGAGAAATTCCGACCAAGCGCCATCGCACTCCAATGCGGTGCCGATTCTCTCGCGGGAGATCGCCTGGGCCGATTCAACCTTCAAGTGCAGGGGCATGGTGCATGTGTTGAGTTCTGCAAGAGACTCGGCATTCCCATGATCCTCTTTGGTGGTGGTGGTTACACCCCTCGAAATGTTGCACGAGCCTGGACATATGAGACAAGTATAGCTATCAACTGCCAGGACAAAATCAGCCCTATATTACCAGAGCACGCTCCGTGGAGAGAGCAGTTCCGCCAGGACACCCTCTTCCCGACCCTCGAACAGATTTTGGGCGAGCCGCGACAGAATCGCAACCCCCAGAAGCGTTTGCAGGAAATCATTCAGCACGTCACAGAGCAACTACGTTTCGTCGAGAGTGCGCCAAGCGTACAGATGCAGGTCATCCCTCCTGACTTGGGCAGCTTCAGAGATGATGTAGAGGAGAGGTTAAAAGAGGACCAGGAGGAGAGGAACGAGCAGCTACGAAAGGAGAGGGAATCGGGAGTAGGAACAGCCATGGAATTCTAATTTATCAAAACGACTCATCATATCTTCACCCCAGGACCAACTGCTGCGTGAGCAGACTCTTTAATTTGGAAATAACCCGTAGACAACAAGACAAAAAAGAAAAAAGCATTAAATGAGATCCCAAGTACTGTACACCACCAGAGCAAGGCGTATGTCTACTAGTATATCACACACGACAGCATGGCGGCCATGCAGCCAGGAATAGCAGAAGAGAGGCGCAAGTGCATTAGTGGAAGGCCGCATTGTCTTCGTCCCCAATGGCCTTCCTGGTATCGCGAGTTTCCTCCCTCGACCCATCCCCCAGTCCTCTATCTCTATGACTCGGGGGGTTCAGCCATTTTCAACCCCCCTTCCACCAATGTGCTGCGAGGAAACGAATATGCACACGAAAATATCCAATTATATGGTACTCGAAAAATAAACCAAAAGTAGGAAAGTCATTCCGAAGGTACCGTTTTAAAAGTATCGGATAACGGCTGAGCCACCAGCGGGCATGGCAGTCTATTCACATAACAGTTAGCTTTTGATCTCTTCTTTACCATGGGAAAAAGGGGATGCTTACCGTGCAACCGTTGTTGCCGCCAGTCCACACGCCGTTGATGTACGAGCATTTGCTGTTGACATCACCAGTGATTTCAATGTTGAAGTCCAGCAGAGCAGTGCTAGTGGGAAGGTTCTGGAAGATGGAGAGGAAGGTCAAGCCACCAGCGGTCTTGCCAACACCAAGGATGACAGGAGACCAGTTACCAGCTCCCTTGGGGTCCAGAGGGCTGTTCCAGACGCAAGCATCTGCAACTCCGTAGCCCTTCTTGTTGACGTAGTACTGGGCGGAGGTGCTCTTGCCATCCCACACATAGTAGTCAGACTCGTCGGGGTTGCAGAGGGGAATGGTCTGACCGGCAGTGGCACAGGCGGGAATAACCATGCTCTCGATACCGGGGTAGTCGGTTCGGCACGTGCAAACGGAGTCGTCGAGGTCGTTCTGGATGGTAACACCGCCAGCACCAGCCTCGCAAAGCTTGGGGTGGTCAGGGCGAGTCAGCTCGAGGAAGCCGTCCGAGTTGCAGTAAAGACCGCCAATGGATTGCAGAGTCGATCCCTGGGCTGAGGGCCACTGGGTCTTCTGGTAGCCGGGAGGGCAAGCATAAGAGCACATGCCTCCTGACTTGCACGAGTCGCCAACAACACCGGTGATGATGTCGCTGATGCTGAGCGAATCCGCTGTATAGCCAGGAACGAATTGGAGACCGGACCAGCCGCCGGTGCCTAGCCAGTTGAGGGGCACGGCGCCATAATCAGACGGGAAGTGAGAGCACGGGATCTTTCCGCTGGGGAAATCGGCGTTCAGTCCGCTACCGCCAGAGGGGGTGCTCGGCTGGGCAGGCTTCGAGGACTTGGGAGGAGGAGGGGCAGAGCTGCTCGTGGGCTGCGCCGTGGTCGTGGGCGGCGGCGGAGGAGCGGAGGTGGTGGTGGGAGGTGCGGACGAGGAAGAGGGCTCCTCGATGAACTGAGCCTTCATGCCTCCGGCGCTGGACGTCGTGGCCGGAGTCGAAGATGGGGGAGGAGGCGGCGGCGGGGGAACGTAAGTCGGGGTTGTCTCTCCAACAACGACGTATTCACCGTCAGCCAGGCCAGCCGCGGCCTTGTCGGCATCGAGAATCTTGCCGTCGAGCTGGTACACGGTAGCGGTAGGACCAACGACAACCTGGGTGACAGCATCCGGCGCACGCTTCTCGACCTTGTTAGGAGCGTTCTTCTTCGCATGGTGGTGCTGGTGGTGGTGAGAAGGCGAGGCGGCAACGCTGGCGGCCAGTGTGGCAGCCAGGATCGTGTACTTCATTTTGGCGGCTTGTTTCTAATTCGTTCTGCTCATGGATTGCCACGGGTTAGATGGAGTTTCAGACGTTTATATATCGTGATATCAGATGGCGACTGAATTGGCGGGAGGTGGTGAGATGAGAGCACAGCCGGAGTTGTTCGTGGGCTCCCCGGACGTCGTTACTAACCTGAAGACGGTAAACAAGAGCTGCCTGGAAGTCGAGAAAAGGAATATATCAATACGAAAGTGAGCGGAAGTGAGATGAGCCAGACTTTAAAAAGAGTGTAATGGAGAGCAGACAAAAACTCTCAGTTGGAAAAAAGGGCCCAACGCAACTGAAGATGATGAACAAGGACGAAGCGTTCAAAAGGGAGGACAGGACAGGTAAAACCCGGAGCTGCAGCATGGGGTTGGGGGCCCTTGTCGGTCTCCATGGCATTGACCCACGGAGATCAATAACCTAAGGAGGCCAGGGATGCAAAGCGAGACAAGGGGGTGCCACTCCTGAGAAGGGGGTGGCCTCTGGGAAATTGCCCTCTATCACCGGCCTGGCGCCAAAAGCGCTTTTCATTGTGCTACAAGTATTGCTACTTGGAGCTGAGCGCCGAGCTGTATGCGAAGACAGATGCTAACGCTGATGCTGGTGTGGCCTGTTTTGAAGCATCGCATCAAGTGTGTGTAGCTGTACACGTACTCTCGCCTGCAAACACAAGATGCAATTTGCCATGCGGGGAGGGAGAGTCGCAGTCGGTCATCTCTCTCTCCATCTCTGCAGCGATCATCATACTCGTAGCACCGCTGCTCCGTGTTGCTCACCGCATTCCTCATTGCCTGATGCCGGCACGGAGCCTGTTATCCGGCGGCTCGCATCAGCCGTGGCCCGTGATGCTGTGCCGGATCCCAAGGGGGAGAAACTTGCTTGGCCGCTGCTCTCTGCATCTCTGTGTCGATTTCTCGTATGTACAGAGTAAACGGAGTAGTGTAGAGGAGGCCTGCGTACGAATACAGCACCGTGTACAAGTATGCACCAGCGCTTGCAAGGAAACAAGCATTGACGGCACGGCCAAGGCGCTTGGCACAAAATTCCCGTCGACGTTTGGTGCAGCGTTTGCGTCGTTACGGATAAAGAGAGGCTTCGTCAGAGTGCTGAAACGGCCGGGCCTACGCAAAGAGGCCGCTAGCACAGGCACCACCAGCGTGTTAGCACCGGTGCTAGCGCACGATCGTCGCCAGAAAAAGAACCAGGGGTCCGTCCAAGCCTCCCAATAGGGTCGACGAGCTGGTGAAAAATGATGCCAATCCTGTCTATTGGACAGGACGAGAGGCGACTAAGGCGGAGTACTCACTAAGGCGCCGGTGGTGGCACGAGAACACAAGCAGGTGCATTTCGCTTGTGCCAGTTCATTTAATAAGGTATGAGTGCCAATGTGCCTGTGAATAATAAAAATGGGACTTCAACGCGCCAACAAACCCACCGCCTGGCAAAACGGTGCCGGCGCCCTTGTAAGTGTACTCGTACGTTGGTCGCTGGCGAGTCCATATGAACATCAATTACCCAGTAGAGGCAATGAGGTAATTTACTGTAGTATGTATCAATACTGACGGGAACCTTGAACATGAAAGAAATGCTGTATTCTTAGGTAGCCGTTTTAATGTCCGTTGTTATTACAGTCCTGTAGATTTTTACATGCATTTATTACGTAGCTGAGAGCAGCAACAAACGTTAATTTTGCGATGGATACGCGTGTTTGTGCGCTTCTCTGTGCCTTGCACTAGTGGCGCATGTGCCTGGAGCTAGACCCATTCGAGAACATCCCGCCTTCTCCTGAGCTGGGCTTCACTTCGGGTACGGAGGACGCCGGTTTCTCAGCTGCTGCACAGGCGGCTTTGAAGCCCGAACCAGTCCAAATCATGAATCGATACGAGGCAAACACGGCTTAGGCCTAGGGTGCGAATGCTGCTGGCTATGTACCCTTACTCTAGGTCTGACTGACTCTTCGCTGTAAATGTACTAGGTGTAAGTCAAGTATTCCGTCAACGTCAAAATCAATCGAGTTCCTTAGTGCAATGCGCGTCAGCTATGGTAGCATCCCTATTCTCCGATCTATTGGATTCCAAAAGAGAGCTGAGTGATGGCATTCTGCGAAGCACGCCGCAGCTTTCAGCTATTATGTAATTCGCGCAGCATCAGCCACGCTCCATCTCGCGTGTATGCTGCCAAGTAAGTTCTAGACCAAAGGAATGGATGTGGGAATGGCGCGCTCGTTTTCTGCACATGCGGCAAGTCTTGGCTCGAGCTCAGGGGACACGATCGTTCTTTTCTTCTTCCTTTGCTTTGTCGGGGGGGGATTTGTCTGACTGTGGGCTACCGGCCTTTGTCTGCGGAGCAGAGCATACTAAAACCCCGAGACAGGGCACAGGGCATGCCAGATTTTTGCTAATAATAACAACACGCCATGTTGGGAGACGAAATATGGAGCGCGAGTTTGTGACACAGACCGTACAATCACAGAATCTTCTACGCTGTATATGGGTACTAGGTGTATATCACTGTTGATAGTTACTCGGCCTATCAGAAAAGGTGGTGGGCACACTGGTTGCGTTATGTGGTGTGTAATTGAATTGAGTAGGTATTCCAGAAATGTTTGAGATTTATAACGAGAATCTACCCCATATGAGATACGGGAGTTGTTGTTAAACGCTTATTATGTGCCGACATTGGCGCTTATCGGACAATGTCGTCAGGATTATGACATCCGGAGAATAATAGAGCCCATATAGGAAATGTCTATAATAACACTGGACTGTAAATGTCTACTGTAGTAGATCAACATTGTTCAGTAGGCGCATTGAATATTTATTCATATGAGTTGGCAAATGGACAGATATTCCACACATTCTCTAGAGCTAATCAATCTGCTGTCGCCGTACCCGGTAGTTGTGTCACTCATCCGTATTAAACAGAATGCAACAAGCCAGGATCTGCTGCAGAGTGATCCGTTGTTTTTACTCCTGTTCTTGGCAGCAATAGGGTAGCACTTTCGACCGAAAAGGGGATGCCAGCAGCCTGTAAGATGACGTCGCTCAAGTGGCTGAGTCAAGATCCATCTGGTTACTTGAGCCGAGTCCTGTCGGCTCTGTGGCTGGGCAATGCGACGGACTTACTCGCACACGTGCTGATGTGGGATGAGAACATGGACTCTTTTGACACAAACGCTTGGGAAGTACTCATGCAAAGAGGAGGCTGGGACGAGCAACAACAACAACAGTACACAGGGAGTAAACAGAGAGAGTTGCCGCGTTTCTGACCACCTGCGCCCATCTGACGCCTCGGCTTGAGAGGCTCGGTGGAGAGCTCTCCTTCCAAGTGCCAGTGGCTGGTGTTCGGCCGCCTGAGCTAGTGGTCGGCCGTCAACACCGCCACGAAGCGACCCAGTTTTGTAGGTACGGTGCTGTCTATGGAGTACAGTACGGAGGCTTGGGGAGCACGGAGAGCGCAAGTAATCTCGATATCTTCGTATCTGCCCGGGGCAACCAAGACACTGCCGCCGTCGCTTTACGAGGCGCAAAGTACAACGAGATAGGTGTACGGTCAGTCTGGAAGCGGTAAGAAGGAGGAGTACCTAGTCATCCAGTTGACCGCATGTGTTCCATAGCATGCTTCTTTTTCTCTACAACATCAAAGTGAACATGAGGCCATACCATGGAGCGAGTAACATTGAAATAAGCCAAACACACCAATCAATACTGGCTCATACTACTTACAACTCTTGCAGAACAACAGAGGCCGGAACTTGTTGATTGGTCCACCAACCAACCCATCTCTCCCAGACCTTGAGTAGGGGGCGTTGCTCTCCAGCCACTGATATATACCTAGGGGGAGCCTCCCACCTGAGAAACGGGCGCTGGCGTGGCACTGCCGCCGACGCCGTGCATGCAGATAATGCACAGTTATTCGTCTCAAGCTTTCTGTAGCAGATATGACTGGACATAACCGCGGCGGCGTGCAGGCTGGCCTTGGCCAGGCTATGGCTGACAAAATCAGCTCGCACGCTTCTGGGCTTACCAGCCACTGGCCCATCCGCCTGTCAGCATTTTGCCACCGGCGAGCTGAGACTAAGACGAGACTAAATATCAAGCTGTAGTAGCTCGTTCTCTCTCGTGTGGAAGGGGTACATACAAGCAGATGTGGGATGTGTCATCGTCAAGGTGATGTTGTCGTGACAGTGCCTGGTTCAAGAGGTGACTGTACATTGTAGAGAATTCAGGCTGAGTTCATGCCCTGTTGCAAATTCCGAAACGACCAAGATCTTTAGGACTGGTTAGCAGCAGCGTTACGAGGCCTCAGCATCGAGGCAACGGAATTGGCTCCGCGATCAACATGCGCAGGCACAGTGCGCAGTTGACACCGATGCCGTCGCGGGCACTATCAGCGCCAGCCACGTTCCGGCTTCTGATAACCGATAACCGATGGAACAAGAGGCTGAGGATTGAATTATGACAAGAGAATCCAATCCATGTATGTGCCTTAACTCGCTGCTTGTCTGTTTTCGTACGTAGTTGTCACTACGGCAGCTGCGGATCGAGGTGGACGCTAGTCTGCCGTGATTATTTTCCTTGTTGGCATGCCTCTAGAAACACGAGAATATGTACCGGTACAGCCTCTCGACATGGAACAAGCTGGATCAAGAGCGGGTTCGTACGTACTCGGCTGTACACGCTTGTGCTCCGTACGCAGGATGCAGCTGACACTATGCTGATCCACCCTTCAGTCAACGGCAATCCATGATGCCATCTATGGGGCTTTTGGAAGACAAGAAACCTGAGAGAACGCACGGAGTACGCCGCCAGGGAGGTACGAGTACCGACCCATGCCATACTTCCATTCTTGTGTGGATTTGATTTTTGCCCACTCGCCCGCTCACCTCACTTGCCACAGGAAAAGAAGCCAAATACTCTGTCTAATATGGGTTTTACATTAATAATAGCACCCACCTAGGTAGCTGCACTGCGAAGACATGAATCGGGATGCTTTATAATAATCCCCCCGTGCCTTCACTTCTGTTCTGGAGGCATGTCATCCGGCAGGTGCCGCGCTGCAGGACTGGCGACGCGGCGCCCAATGACAGGAGTGTGGCGCAGGCAATCCACTGTCCGTCTTTTATTGTCCACCGCCCTTGGCCGCACAACAGAGGCACAAGCACCAGCACCGGCACGCGTGCTGCGCTAAGGCTAAACCTCAACCACCATCTTCTTCCTCCCATCCCCAGCCTGTCATCCAGCCCCAATTCACATCTCCATCTCCATCCATCACCATCACCACCGCCTTCTGCCATCGCCATCGTCTGCCAATTCCGAGACCACGCCGAGCATCCGCCTGCTCCATGCCATTCGTCTGCGCTGCCGCATAATAGTCAGCTTTTCTGTGCAGGCAAGGCTGCCGGAACAAATCCCAGGAGCAAAAATTACCCTAGCTCTCGCCACAATCTCCAGCCACACCTCGAGCAGCCTCGAAATGGTGTCGCTGGTTTAGCTGCCTCGACTTTGCGACTGCATGCCCTCCGTCTCTCTGGACTCGCCGTCGCCTGCTTTCCCCTGGCCATTGCATCTTCATATGGCCTCTCCCGCCGCTGCCATTGCAACCGAACCCCCGCTCTCGTCTGGCCCGACTCCAACCCCTCCCCCAGCTCTCCCTTTGGACGACGTCGCGAGACTGGCCAAGCGCCGTCGCGAATCGGATTCCGAGTCGTCGCGTGCCTTTGCATCCCATCAGCTCGGCTCCCAATCGCCCCCGTCGAAATCTGCCAGGCTGCTGCCGGCAACTGACCAATCACTGGCTCCCCTGTCCGCCGCCACAACTCTGGAAGACGAGCAACGGCGGAAAGAAGCAGACGAGGAGGCTGAGCACGACCAGACAACTGGTCTACGCGCAAACAGCGAGAACCCTAGCCAACGAGCCCTCCTCTCCCTCCTGTCTGCAGGAACCCAAGCTATGAGCCGCCCAGCAGACGCGCCTCAGCTGGCCCCTACGGCCACTATGGAGCCCTCCTCCAAGCTGGCCACGGCTGCCTTGTCCATTTCACAAAACAGCGGCGACCGCATCGAAGAACGGAGCGAAATGACTCCACAAAGCCCAACGAGCATTGCCGGTGCGCAAGTGACCGAGAGCCCGGGGGCCATGGATGTTGATGTCAAAGGAGAATCGCTCGTCTCTCAACAGGTTGCCGTACAAGAAGAGCGGCAGCAGCCCGGGTCCTTGTCATATCCTGGCTCCCTGCAAACCAGCGGCAGCATGCCGGAATCACCGGTCCGTGGGATGACCTTTCCGATGCCTTCCCAAAGCCAGGGCTCTCCACCACCGTCGGCAAACAAGAAACACAAGTGCCCATACTGCAATACCGAGTTTACTCGGCACCATAACCTCAAAAGTCATCTCCTGACCCATAGCCAGGAAAAGCCTTATGTGTGTACTGACTGCCAAATGCGCTTCCGCCGTCTCCACGACTTGAAACGCCATGGTAAGCTTCATACCGGAGAGAAAAACCATGTGTGCCCTAAGTGCGACCGCAAGTTTGCTCGAGGTGATGCTCTTGCCCGCCACAGCAAAGGACTGGGCGGATGTGCTGGCAGACGATCGAGCATGGGTAGCTTTGCCGGCGAAGATGAGCTGGATGGCGGCATTGACGGAGACGAAGCTGTCATGACGGGCATTGCCTACGAGAACCCCGAGGAAGAAGAACTGAGGCGACAAAGCTTGCCTAGCATGACTGCCCAGCATATACCAGGCGGCCAGCCGGATCAGTACAGCAGTCATTCGCGGACGTACCCTCCGGCTGGAGTAAGAACTGCCGCAGCTGCCGGCCTATATGCCCCTAGTGGTGGTCAGGGCCAGACCGTTGGTACCGGCAGCTCGAGCGTGTCAACCAGTATTGGGGGTAGCCACACACCGAACACCAGCATCTCTTCGGTGGCGGTTGGCGGGCCAAATGCCGGTCTCTATGCACAGGCTGGTGTGCCGGAAACCGGGAAGCCACTGAGCCCTGGTGGTGTCCAAGGCCACGACGGCTCTGGTGTCGTACGGCAACGATCGCCTAGCCTGTCTCAGCAGCTACAGCAGCAGCAGATGGGAAGGCGACAGTCAGAGATGCAGTCTCCTCACGGTGGACAAAACAGGCCTAAGTTGCCTGGCTTAACTCACCCTGGATACGCCTCGACGGGCTCTCCAGGATTCTCCCACGGCCGCCCGCCAACCGCAACCGCCACCAGCGGCGATAGCGGCAACATGTTTGCGCAGAGCGACCCAAGCGTATGGGCCTACATCCAGACATTGGAAGAGAGAGTCAAGTCGCTCTCAGATAAGGTGGTTTCGCTCGACCACGAGATGTCTGTCCTCAAAAAGCAACTTGAGAGTCGTGAAGGGGTTCCTGCTGGATGAGAAGTCTGGGCATGAATTCACCTCATTGCAAAGCGCCATGGCGTTTTAGGAGGGCCTAAGTTGATCTACATTAGAATGCGTTTTGCTTCCCTTTTCTCTGGTACGTCTTGTTGGGCTCTTTTCGGATTTGGGCCAGAGTCGTATACAGGGGGGAATTTGGCGTTCAGGTTTGGGAATCTGGGCGGATGGTTGAAACCTTCACGCTAAAAGATGGCGACCGGATATTACGATTGTTCCTTATTATCACGTTTGTAGTATACAGAATTGTGCGATTATCTCTAGCTATGGCATCTCGGAAAGGTTATGTCTTTTGTTTCAGCTTAGTCGTGGTAGAGTACTGCAAAAAATGGAGTGACACTTGTTCTCATGTAAACATTTCATGTCCCCTTTGAGAGATGCTACGTCTTTGAAAGCAATCAATCGTAAAGGCATGTACTGTATAAATGTTAAACATTTCAATGGGTATCTCGTACCATGTCCATGTCCAGTGAAACAACAGGCAGCCGGGGTATGGTCAATCTATTGGGTGAGCATGTGCGTTGCATTGATGTTAATCCTGGGTTGAATTGATACCTAGGTACGTTGGTGCTCCGTGGCGCAATCTCACATGCGCACTGTACGGTGCACTGTAGTTGTTGCACGGTCACGTCACTGTCCAGGGGCAGCACAGCCTGAACCTTGGCGCATCGATGAGGTAATGGGCTCTGGAATGCCGGTATAAGGTGCCTTGTGGCGTGCGCTGGGGCTTGCGCTATCCAAACCTGAAAGCTCACCAAACCTGTTATACGACGCATTCATTGAGCTGACGAGAGGAGACTATCAAGAAGAAAGAGAAAGGAAAGCAATATCGAGAGATAAGAAGAGAGAAAAAATAAGGGAACAAAAAGAGGGATACGAGCAGAGCGACCAACCGCCTTCGCCCGCGCTTCGCCTTTGCACCACCTTTTCGACCATCAAAGCGATTCGCGCGAAACCACCGGGTGAAGCGGCCGAGTCAAGACGAGCGACGACACCTGCCCACGAAGCGAGTCCGACTTGATATCAATGCTCCTTGAGGCTTGAAAACTAGGCGGACGCTAGAGCTCATCGACAACATAGCCTACAGCCTACACAGGAGCCATCGCAAGCTGACCTCGCAATGAAGGCAGCTAGGAAATCTGTGCGGAGTGACGAGAACGGCTCTGCGAAGCCTTCTGGCCTGGTCGTGACTAACGGCGACCATATCCATCTCGACAAAGCCGACACATCGTCGTATCCTGTTCTGCCAGACGATGGAAATCCCCAGAGCCACGAGTACGGCGCCTGGAGGGCGGGAGGCATTCGCTTTGCTCCGCTGCGCATGCCCTTCCCTCGCCGACTACAGACCGCGGCTGTGTTTTATCACTGCATGACCATCGTCGTCTTGATATCCATGTTTTGGTTCACTTGCGCCAACCCTTTGACCTGGCCCATCTTGGTGCCTTATCTGGTGCATCTGACCCTCTCCAACGCGGCCACAAACGGGAAGCTCAGCTATCGATCGGAGTACCTGAGGTCCATGCCCTTGTGGAAGTTCTTTGCGGCGTACTTCCCTATGAGGCTACATAAAACGCACGATCTTCCGGCGGACAGGCGGTACATCTTTGGCTATCATCCACATGGTATCATCTCGCACGGCGCCTGGAGCGCCTTTGGCACGAGTGCCCTTGGCTTCGACGAAAAGTTCCCCGGCATCACCAATACTCTGTTGACGCTCGAATCCAACTTTCGACTTCCTTTTTATCGCGACTATATTTTGGCAATGGGCATGGCTTCGGTGTCCAAAGACTCCATACGGAATATCTTGATGCAGGGTGGCCCCAAGAATGACGGAAAAGGCCGCGCTGTTACCATCGTCATCGGCGGAGCCCGAGAGTCCTTGCAAGCTCAGCCAGGATCTTTGCAGCTTATCCTCCAGGGGCGGAAGGGTTTCGTAAAGATGGCTCTGCGCACGGGAGCTGATCTGGTTCCTGTCCTCGCCTTTGGAGAAAACGACCTATACGACCAACTCAGCCCGAAGACGCACCCGATGGTTCACAAGTTCCAAATGTTTGTCCTCAAGGTGTTCAAGTTCACGCTTCCCGCTCTTCATGGTCGAGGCATCCTCAACTACGATGTTGGCCTTATGCCCTACCGTCGGCCCGTCAACATTGTTGTCGGAAAGCCCATTCGAATCGACGCGGAGCCTTGCGAACAACCGCTACAAGAGGATGTGGATCGTTACCACGAGTTGTATGTCGAGGAGATTCAAAAGATTTGGGATACCTACAAGGACCAATTTGCCAAAGGCCGAACCTCTGACCTTGTTATTTCCGCTTGATTTGACTTCTCCACTGGTATCATCGACTTTTGGTTGCTCGTTTTCTTTTCCTCTCCCTTTCTTCAGTGTGTAGTTTTATATGTTTGGGATAAGCGTAATAGCATGCCGGACTTGAGTGTGCAAAACAGAATGGATACGGCAGATTATAGGTAGTCTTTTATCAATGGAGCGGTAGCTGGCGGATGCTGAATTGCTGGGGACGTCATGAGTTATGAAATAATAAATAGCAAGGCGAGCCTCTGGTTAAGGTGTCTTGGTATCATGGCAGGGTCCTGTCTTTCTCTCCCTTTTCTTGTACTTCCCTTCTCACTTTTGTATTTTCAAAACAGCTTTATGTCACTTATTTTAGCAGTAAGCCTTTGCAGCAGCTCTCAGTGTATCTTTATTTTCTCCACTGTTGTGTGAATTGCCCAGTTTGGGTGTTGCGATCGATGTAAGTGGCGGATTGTGTAAGAGTCAGTCACCTGACCTCGCGTCCGACTTCCGACGCGGTTCTTCCTTGCGCCGCGACGACGTTCACGCATCCATTTCCTTATTTTCAAACACAATTCTGCCTCTCAGTTGATCTTTTGCTTTTCTTTTTGCGTGTATTCATTAGTACCGCTTCATCCGAGCACCCAATACCAGATTGCGCTTTCAGAATGCCCCGTCCTACTAGAGGTAGCCAGAAGGCGGTCAAGCGCGAAGAGGACGACATCGACTCCAAGGATATAAAGCCAATAAAGCCTGTATCCGCGGCGAAACGAAAGGCAGATTCGGTGCCAGATGCTGATAGCAAGGCTCAAGCTCCAAAGGCCGTGAAAAAGCGTAAGGGACAAGCCAAAGGAGACGAAGCCGCAATGCCTTTAGTAGAGAGAACCGCCGTGTCCTCACTGAGCAAAGCCATGTACATTGGCGCCCACATCAGCGCCGCTGGAGGTATTTCACCATGATTCATCCAAGTATATATAATGAGGAGCACTCATCCTGATTTTTTTTGTTCAAATAGGCGTCCAAAACTCCGTAACAAATGCTCTTCACATCGGTGCCAACTCTTTCGCCCTGTTTCTCAAATCTCAGCGCAAATGGAACAACCCTCCTATTACGGCAGAGGCCAAAAACGGCTTCATTAGCCAATGTAAGGAGCATCACTACCACGCCAACGAGCATGTGCTCCCCCACGGGTCATACCTAGTCAACCTTGCGCAGGCAGACGCAGAGAAGGCTCGTCAGGCATACGATAGTTTCGTGGACGACCTCGGCCGGTGTGAGCAACTCGGCATCAAGCTTTACAACTTCCACCCAGGGTCCACTGGAGGCGACACAAAGGCCGCGGCCATCAAGCGTATTGCTACGCAGCTAAACAAGGCGCACAAGGCCACCAAGACAGTAATTACGGTTCTGGAAAATATGGCGGGCGCCGGTAATGTCGTGGGGTCGACTTGGGAAGATCTCAGAGATATCATTGCTCTCGTGGAGGATAAGACACGTGTTGGAGTGTGTATCGACACTTGCCATGCCTTTGCTGCTGGTTATGATCTGCGGACTCCCGAGGCTTTCAAAAAGACGGTCGATTCTTTCAACGAGATTGTCGGCGCAAAGTATCTGAAAGCCTTTCACTGTGAGTCGCCCCCCTCCCTCTCACGCCCTCCCTTGATGTCAGTACTAACCATGACATGGCACGTAGTAAACGACAGCAAAGCACCCTTCAATTCCAACAGAGATCTCCATGCAAATATTGGAACCGGCTTCTTGGGTCTCCGAGCCTTCCATAGCCTAATGAATCACGAGGAGTTTCAGGACAAGCCCATGGTCCTAGAAACACCCATCGATAAGAAGGGTCCCGACGGCAAAACAATCGAAGACAAGCAGGTTTGGGCTGATGAAATTAAGCTGCTAGAGAGCCTCATCGGCATGGATGCGGAGACTGAAGAGTTTGAACAAATGGTGAAGGAATTGCAAGCCGAGGGTGCCGAGGAACGAAAGAAGATTCAAGATCAAGTTGACAAGAAGTCAAAGACTACGGTGAAGAAGGGGAAGGGGGGAAAGAAGGTGAAGAAGGAGGAGACGAGTGACGATGAGAGCGACTAGAAACTACTAACAACGCATCCAAGATACGCTGTCAATATTACCAACACACAACAAAAGACACCGTGCTATAATACTCCGACGAACTGAGAAGAAGTTAATACATGAGTGTTTACAATTGTTCACTCTTCTCTTGACTCAATGCAAAAGCGAAGTGGGACAGGCCATTGAATGGGTGGTCCAGCTCAGAGGATTGATCCATCTTGATACAAGTAGATGGCAAAAACGGCAAAAAGAAAAACATACAACAGCCGGTGTTCGCTGATGGTCACCCACTCAACTACTAATCTGTCTCTCATTAGCTTGACTCTGGGAGAGCGGACGGGATCCCGTATTTTCTAATGGATATGGTCGTATGTGCTTGATCTTAGGGGTAACTGGCTCTAAGTGGGCATGGGAAGGAGATATATCAAAAAGGCAAAAACATACAACAGCCGGTGTTCGCTGATGGTCACCCACTCAACTACTAATCTGCCGGTTAGAGGCTTGTCTATGGGGGAGCAGACGGGACCCCGAATTTTCCTCTACCTATGGTCGTATGTGCTTGGATGGGGCGTTGGTGAGGTTCTTAACCCTTAGTCTCGGTGAGATGTGAACAAGCGTGATGGGTGGGGCCGGACACTTGACGCTTCATGAGTCAGTCCAGACTCTCCTCAATACGACTCGAGATTCGGAGTATAAAATCATGCTTAGCTAGTGATGGTTTAGTTAATATTCGAAATGGCTGCGCTTGTGTTTGAGTGTTTCCGAGTTGAACTGTGGTGGCGGGATCCACCCCTGTGGCATCATGAAGATGATGCTAGCCAGCCCTGCAAGTGTACTAATAAGTGCCATATAAATTTAAACAGAATATAATCTATGGTGTAATATATTTGTGAAATGCAATTATGTCTTACTGCAGGTAAAATGTATGGCTTGAAAGAATATGGGGGACTTTAATCATCAGTGAATAGTGGGAAAAGAAGATCAAGACTCAAGAGAATAATATATGAAACAGAGGAGAAAATCGGCGGCCGAGTCAGTTACTAGAAGTATACAATAGATCCTAACAGCTTCGCTAATTTACAAAGATAGAAAGTACTGCGATTCTCCACTAGCATCTACTCATCATTGCCTTCGTAAGCGTCCAACTGTTCGTTCATCTCTCTGTCAGATTCTATTGCGGCGGATATATAGTTGATCTCAGGAAACGACTCCAAAGATATGAAGCGGCTATCATCGTCATCTCCTTCCTCACGAAACAGGTGCGCGGTCATCTCTGTTTGAATCGGGCTTGTAACAAGAACTTTGACTGGAATCGGTACTGTGTTATCCTTGGAGAGGCTGAGAAGGCACTTGATCACCTTCTGCAGCCCATCTTCAAAGGCGTCGATTTCAAAATGGACCGCTCCATCGATAATACACACCAGTATTAAATCTCTCGGGAGTCGTTTGATTAGCCAAACAAACAGACCACACAGTTGGTCAATGTCCCCATCTTTCAAGAGATCAAGCTTGATATCTTTTTCTATACCTGTCAAATCAAAAGAATGATATTGCTTCAATAGCTGCAAGATCATACTTTTCATTATTGCCACACCTCCAACATCTTCATCGTCATTATCTTGGTCATATTTACCATGACAACCACAGAAGAATACCGCTGATATGTATTCCTCTCTTGTGCGGAAACCCTGAGTCAAAGTGGCGCACAGGAGCGAGAGTGCCGATATGTAATGGCAATCGTCGTACCCAAAGTCGCCCTCCACGAGCAGTTCCTTCGATCCTGCTTTAATCGCCCAGTCTCTGAATTCTGGCGTACTCATAACCTGCTCCGCGCGGACACGATGTCGTAAGGAAATGGCATCCTTCTCATTTGAGACTTGATTGAGATCTTTGTCATCTGAGTATGGAATGTGAAGAACTTCCTGAAGCCAGGTAGAATTTGGAGATACCGCCGGTTGAACTTGGACGCTAGCTTGGGGGTGCCATACAAGCGGCTGCTGGGGAGGATACATGTACGGAGGATACATGTAGTATGGATATTGTTGCGTATATGCTGGAGGGTACCATGGTAATGGTGTTCCTTGTGCTTGTGTTGGTGGTTGCCACGGCCCAAGAAGCATGGGAGCCGGAGCCGGAGCCGGAGATGGAGATGGAGATGGAGATGGAGATGGAGATGGAGTACGCTCCCGAATGAATTCCTTGAATTGGTTCATTGCGGCTTCCACGTATTCACGATCCTGCAACCGCTGTATATTCGCCTCGTCAAGAAGATTCTTGACTTTGTTGTAGAGGAATACAGAATTACTTTCGTTTTGCTCTCTGAGTGCATCGATTTGGACGGTGATTCGAGTTTGGCCTGGAAATGATTAGAAATGATCGGAATAGCCGTATTAGTAGGATTTTGCAACGTTGCTGTCAGAGGTCAGTCACAAAGGAAGTGTTCCCCTCCTCCTCGAACCCGGATAGGGGCGTCTGAGTTCTCAACTAGCAAACCAGGCGGCTGAGGAGACTGAACAAAGGTATAAGAAGGAGGCCACCGGCCTTTGTTTCTAGGGGAGTCAGATGACCCTAGCTGCGTGGTCCGTGATAGTGACCGTGCTGCCTTCACCCCTGACTCTTCCACTATTCCTTTGAGCCGCCGTTCCTGACATTTATAGGGATGAGTATCGCTTTAAACTTGATACATTATTAATTCGCGTACTCTGAGAAATCCATTCATATATAATCCGTAAACCAAGGATAGAAACAGGGCTATGTTACTAGGCAGATCCGACAAACAGACGATTTAACCCCCGAAGTCTTATTGCAATATCTGTCTCTCTGTTCTGGCGCCCCTATCAAAAGGTAAAGGTGATATAGTTATAGATGGAGAGTTCAACCAAGATCAAACTCTTTACACACCCATAAGAATGTAGCTATATCATTTATCTCATGTCTCGTCCGATGGTATCTAGTGCAAGGACTGGACAGAGATTGAGTCCCACAATACCAAAGAAACGTCCAACTTCGAAGAGAGTCCGTAGATCGCCCAATGATACCTGGTGTGAAAGTGGATGCAACCAATGAACCATTGCCGAGGCTTTCTGCTAATTTCAAGCGTCGATGGGATTTGACCACGGACGGCTTCGGTTCCATAGTCTCAAGAAGCCCTACGCTCTACCTGCTGGGCCTGCTGTTGCTGCTGCTTCATCTTATACTGGTCTATTACACTGGCCGCTAACTCCTTAGCCATACCCTCAAGTAAAGCGCGACACTGGTTCAAGTCGGAGGGGCGAATACTGAACACATCCTTCATTACCGTCATTTGTTCGCCATCTACGTGTTGCTTAATAAGACGTAGCCGCTATAATCTAAAGTTAGCATTAGTACTTAAAAAAATGGCATTCTCATTATATGTAATTCACTTACGTAGTTAAAGAACATCTTAGCTCGTGCATCATCTTGTGTAATAAAGTACCAATTAATTAGCCCACGACCAACCTTGCTTATATCTGAGACAAGTCGCTGTACTTTTTGTGCAGTTTCTGTAAGTTCGTCGGGACCCATTGGAATATCTACCATCACTTCTTGACTAAACTGCCTTTGCTCTTCTTGTCCAATGAGTTTAAGACGATTAAGGAGATCGCTGTTTTCTTTTGTGGCTGCCGTTGCTATATGTGCAGGTACTTTGCCGCCATTTTTTAAGACCTCCCCATATCTACCTCTTTTTTCGGGAGTTAAGGATGCTTCCTGCTGAGGTGTGAGCGGTGTAAAGCCGTCTGGGAACCTTTGCGTTAGTCTCTGGGTTGATTGTTGGGTTGGCTGCGATGCAGCCTCGGCCGGTGGGCTAGAGGCATGACGTTTCCTCTGTGTTACAACGTCTGTGTTGTCAGCGCGGTGAAGCCTTCCTGATACCGTGGCCCGTCGGGTGCTTATTCGAGTGATATTTGCAATTCGTTGTATTTTTCCATGGCATTTTGACATATGAACATTAAGAGCGCGAGAAGAAGTTAGCGGTGGGTATTGGCAGTCAGGAACCGTACACATAATTCGTTGGGTATGTGTTCGCTCGTGCTCCGATAATTTCTTCTCGTCAGTGAAGCCTGTGGTTGCACGGGGGCAGTTACGGACACGACAAGTGAATGCGGCCGTTCGAAAATTTCGTTTGAATTTCTCCAACTCCTCGAAAGTAATTCCTGGGAACGAGGGTTTCATCAGCAGATACCGGATGCTGGCTTGGTAGCTAGCTAGCAGGTCCTGGAGATTTCGGGGCGCGAGCTGTATAAGATCAGTAGAATCTGAAGGATAACTGTTAGCTTGGTGACGAATCGTTGATACTATCTTTGAATTGTAACATACGATTATCTTGCTGGGATTGGCCAGAACCAGCTCTTGTGGACCGCTCTCTCAAAGCAAGTCGTAGCATGTCATATACGGCTCCCTGATTTGCGAATGTTTCCAATCGACTATCCAATGCACCTGATTCTTGCTCCGCTGAGATTTCTGAGATTTTCGCTGAGAGGTTCGCTGTGTTTAGTCGGTCTGCCAATGCTTTGGCTGTCGAATACAGAAGGGAGGCAGCCTCGAAGCCGCAGATAGCAGCGTTGCTACATAGCAGGTCTTCAAGCCAGTAATCTGTTGCATAGATGTGAAAACCATGAAGGCCCCTTAGGATTCTCAAATCTCGGTCACTTGAGTCGTATGTTGTATCAAAAATCCGAAAACCGGCAAGGAGGCAGGTGATAGACGCCACACTATGTTCGCATAATGCATCAGCCTCTACCAAAGCCATCGCACTCTCGGCCGATTTGAGATGGCTACAGGTGAAAACACGTTCAGTAGTGATCCAGTTGAAGTGGAGCAGAAACACTTCACTCACTCCTTAACAGAAACATGAATGAATGAGAGAGTTCTATCCTTATTCTCCTGAATAAGCGGCGTGCACATTTCGAAAATATACTGAGGTGGCATCATCGGAGTTTCTATATCTCCTTGACTAAATGCCATGGCCGAGCGACATTCGACTTGTGTTAATGGGCGCCTGGCGAATGCTATCCATCCCAAGATAGATTTCATTCGCCCCATGGATCGAGTGTCCAACCTGGCCATTAGCTGTGATAGAATCCGTTCGTAGCTTTACTCAGTGTTAGTATATATAATTGGAAGGGGTTTCCCTTTTCAGCTCATTCAGGAAATCGCACAATTCACTCAGCTTTCTGGGAAGCATGTTGACTGAATAGAGTACCTCGTCGCGACTGTAGAAGATATTGGATGATATATATTCCAAAACCAGTCGAGCCCATAGAAACATTCCTGCAATTTGTTAGCGCTGTATATGCTTGCCTTGGCTGCGGTTGGAGACAGGGTCCTGATACCGTCAGCTTTTAAGGATATGCTATGAGAGAGCTCCGCAATATCTGTGCCACAAATTCCGAACTCCAAGAATCGATTGCGAAGGAAACCAAGCTTCTGGTTAGCATAAATTTTGATGGCCTCATCAATTCTACTCTTTTCGTCTATAAGTGAAACGGTAGGTCGTTTTCGAAACTTCTTCGATAACAGTGGTGATGGCCGACTAGAAATCAGGACTTTATAAAACATGGAGCTATTCGGGCCTCCCAAAGATATGATCGTCTCCAACAAATTCGTTATTCGCCCTTGTTTCTCAACATCACATTCATCTAACCCATCTAGAATGATATGGATGTATTTCTTCTCGGACGGAACTGGTGAGATAGCTTCGCAACTCGTACGGATCAGCTGAGAGAGCGACTTGATCGTGACGGCTTGTTTGGCCAAGACAAATTTTTCATAAATGTAGGTTATTAGGTCGCCGTTCGAGCGAATTAGTTGAAGGAGTAAAGATCGCAGAATTTGGTCAAATTGGATCGATGATGCATATGAGTAGGTGCAAAAGTGACGAACAACAAGAGACTGACGGCTAGTTTGAAGGAAAATATCAATTTGTGTGGCCAGTACACTTTTGCCCGCTCCTGGATTTCCCTGAAGCCAAAGAAATGGAGTTTCCGGCTGAGTTCTCATCCATGACACGAGAGTGGGTTGCTTGAATATCCAGTCGCAAGTCCCTTCATTCTTTTCTGCTCCTGATACGATTGAGTCAAAGATGACTTGTTGGTCTGTATCATCCATCTTCAACCATCCAATGATGGCCTGATATTGCTTAGTTGAATCCTCATCTTCTTGCTTTGCAACTTCATCAATATTTTCATTTATCTGATTGCGTAGGCTTTCTCTCATCTTAGAGGCTTCCAAGATATTGACAGCATTGGCGGTCTTGTCAATCAATTCTTCATGAGCTTTCATATTAGTGAGAATTGTGTCGAGCCGCCGTTGAAATCGACCCCATGTTGTGAGAAAAAATATCTTCCAGCCTTGGTGCATTTCACTTTGTTAGTGTTCTAAGTCATGGCCGATTCGATATGTTCGAGAGCGACCTACTACTTCTCCGAACAAACATGTACGCGTGGCGGTGGAATTTCAATATATCTGAATAGAAAACGGCCAAGATCTCTTGAAATTCAATTCTTTTACCAAAGGCTTCACCAAGCATTTCGATTCTGGGTAAAGACTCTGCAATTTGTGAATAAGCGGCGACAATTCGTTCAAGAGCTTCGACAAAGTCTGCTGCGATCTATATATTACGTATATTATGCTCTTAATTAAAATAATGAACATCCATAACGTCGATTTCCTAGTGGAGTATTACCGTGAGAATGAGTTTGATAGGAGCCCAAATCCAGGGCAAATATGGCGTGCCATTGCACAGCACTTCAATTGACTGTGAGTAGTGACCTAGTCCTTGGAATAAAGGCATTAAGCGGCGCATATTTCTGAGCATCTTCCTGGCTGCTAGCTGGTTCTCAATATCAAGTGCCGCTTTTTCGACGTCTTCCAAGGTCGTATTCTGGAAGTCTTTCGCCTCCAGCGGTGACACTGTCCGCTGGAGCTCCTCGAAGGCCTCACGAATGATACGTCGACCGGGGAGCGAGACTGGACCAGTCTTAAAAGGCATTTTGTTGATTCTATGAGGAATTGACAACTATTGAAATGCAGAAAGGCATTCTGGATAAGACAAAAGCGCATATTTTAGGAATTGAAATGATCGTGAATGATGATGGAGGCCTGCTTTGAGGCGGTGCTATATCACGTTGGATGCCTAACACCTAACGTGCGCATTCGCCAAGATATGATCCTTATGGACCGAGACACGTGGATGTATTTAAGTGGCCAAAAATAGTTGATTGGGCGTCAAAACGAGGCTGCCGGGTGACAAGGCACTTCGTAGGCGTATTGGTACTTGTACCCACATCAATTGAATGCTGCAAGTCATCATTTAAGGACGTGAGAGCTTTTCTCTATTCTACAATACAGTCTGTTATTTTTTCCTCTTTAAAAAAACTATTGACCGAAGTTGATAATAGGTAAAAGAATGCCTCAAACAGCAACAAAGAGGCGACGTCTAAACCCGCCGGAGGGGCCAGGTGGGAACCAGCACATGCAAGCAGAAGATATCTGGGCGAATTCTATTATCACGCAATCGACGCAGAATACACCTCCAACAAGTTCATCCATTTCAGAGAATAACCCTGAAATTCCTCCCCTCTTACTGCTAGCTGACAAACTGCGCGAACAAACTGTGCCTACCTCACTAAGCTGCAATGCCAGCGATACAGTCGATCCTGAAGCTCAAACTGACGACCCTAGGGCGCAACAAAGCTCATACAGTAGTTCTAAGGAGATAGTTTGCTTTGGCGAGGTAATAAGTGACTGCATTAGTGGATCTCAGCATGAATTTATGTCTAAACATGTCTAAATGCAGATCGTTGGCATCCTCAGCAAATGCGGAAGTAGTCCTTCAGTGCCAAGTGCTGATGGTACCAGTTTTCGAGCAAAATTCAAATCATGTGAAAAGTTTGTTTCCATAGATAATGATGCTATCACTGGGACAATTGATTCAGACTATACACATTTGACCGACTTACTGCAGAATGAGGCGGAACTCGATCTGCAGCTCACCTGCACACTCGATCTCTCTCGGTCGTCAGGCGCTGGAAAGCGAACTTCGTCCAGTTTTTACTTGCACGAAATTCCATGCACCATTTCAATCATCATCTATGGGCCCTTAGAGATGCTCACCGATATCGGTAACTTCTTCCAAACCTGTGAGATCTACTTGCAAGATCCCAGCGATTGCGATAGAAATGTCAGATACTGCAACCCTCATCGTCTATCATCGACCAATAGGAACTCATGCCCCTGGACCTCAGAGCTCAAGACGCATTTAAAAAATCTCATTGAGATGAAGCCAATTTCTCCACTGCCAGAGCTATTAGATGTCCTGGAGTCATCTGAGAAACTTCCAGAAGCGATGCAGCCAGATGCTATACGAACTCCTCTAGAAAGGTAACATGAAGATTTTCGAAGTATATAATCTTTTTCTAACAGTTATATAGACATCAAAGACAGGCATTGACATTTATGCATCAGAGGGAGCTCGGATGGGCTCTTAATGGCAGTCGACCGGACCTTTGGGAGTATATGGGAAATAACCAAAGACATTGGTAGGGTTACCTTTTCTGCATTAAATCAAGGATACGGCTCCTAACTTGGCAGAAGTTTTGTCAACCATGTGTCAAATGCTTATCAAGAAGAAGAACCAGAAGACTTCTCTGGTGGAATTATTGCGGATCCCATGGGGCTTGGGAAGACACTTACCATGATATCCTTGGTAGCAAGTGCTGCTCAGCTTCATAAGTTGGTCATGGATGATGATGATGTTGTAACTTCAGCTACGACTCTTATCATCGTTCCACCACCTTGTAAGTTCAATTGTTGTTGATTGAGGACACCCTCAAACGGCCTTCTATTACTAATGGGCATAGTACTTGGTACCTGGGAAGAGCAGTTATCAGAGTGAGTATATTGCTGCACGAATTCTCTTGAAGGTACAAAGATTTTAACTTTGATGGAGGCATGTTAATCCTGGATCTTTAACTTGGTGCCGACACCACGGGAAAACAAAACTCACAGAAACTGGATCCTATAATGACATCAGCATAGTCTTGACGACATATCATACCGTGTCAGCAGAGTGGAAGTCTCATGGCGAACATTCGCCATCAGTTCTATTCTCGACTCGCTGGCGGCGAGTGATTCTCGATGAAGGTGATACACTTCTTGTTGCAGTTCCGAAGAGCACTTACTTATTGGTTGCGGGGCAGCACATTTTATTCGCAATAGCTCCTCTCAATTGACTGTTGCAACATGCGCCATAGATGCCGCTGCTCGATGGGCAGTAACGGGCACACCAATTCAAAATCGACTCTCAGACTTAACAACATTATTCAGTTTCCTAAGAGTTTATCCCTACTCAAACCGAAAGCAGTTCGACGCTGATATCACTACTTATTGGAAGGAGGGTAATACTGAAGAGGCGCTGAAGAGGCTGAAGAGGCTCGCGTCATTTCTCATCTTGAGGCGGAGGCAGAACACAATACAGCTTCCGTTACGGCGCGATTTACAATGCGCCGTCGAGCTCACGGGGACTGAACGAGCGATGTATGATGAAATTCGGAATAAAACAGTCGCTCGTATTGACGATATCTTGTACGAGAGCAGCGATGATACGCGACCTGTTGAGTACACCAATGTCCTTCAGCAGATCGAAGCCATGCGCATGGTGTGCAACCTAGGATTGTATTACCATGCTCGCCGAGGGCTTAGGGACTTGACGCAAAAAAATTCGGAGAGCTGGGCAAGTATTGCTCAACAAAACTTTGACTTTCAAGGTGAAATGGGCGGCATGCAGTGCCGATACTGTTTTGCTGTTGCAGATACGTCCGCTCGCTTGCTAAACAGCACTCAAAGCCAACAGTCACTACATTTATCAAAATGTCTGCAGCTTATATGTTCCGACTGTATCAGCAAGTCACAACCTATTGATTGCGGACACAGCCCTTCATGCCCTTTTGCACCGGTCTATCTAAATCCGACTAGCTTGGAGGAGACATCCTTATCTTTCAACCATCTTGAATATGTGGCCTCGTTACCCCAAGCCGTGAAGTTTCCACCGAAAATAACGGCTCTTGTGACTCAGCTCAAAGCTCTCCCACCGGGTGTTAAAAGGTATACGTTATCACATTGACTCGCAACCCCTTGCTGGGCTGGTTTAACATACTTTAAGCGTGGTTTTCTCAACTTGGAGAACAACTTTGGATATTGTTGAAGCTGGATTGAACCAAGCTTCCATACAATGCCTTCGCTTTGACGGAACGATCCCGTTGAAGGAAAGACAGGCAGTGATTGACCGATTTCGTCAAGAAGCGACGCCAAGTGTACTTTTATTAACTCTGTCATGCGGCGCAGTTGGGTAAGACAAACATTTTACGCCTTACTTCTGATTACATATATAACATAGTAGCTCATTATTTGCTAAATTCGACAGGTTGACGCTCACTGTGGCTTCATACGCTTTTATAATGGAACCTCACTGGTGAGTTATAGCAGCAAAAAAATTGCTTGCGATTTCTGATGAGCCGGCTGAATTTGGTACTGTGTATTCAGGAATCCAACACTGGAAGACCAGGCTCTGGCTCGTATTTACCGGCTTGGTCAGAGAAACGAAGTTACCACCGTTCGTTTCTATGTGCGAGATTCTTTCGAAGAGGTGAGTCACACATGCGTGAATAACTTAGAATGGTCTAACCGATTATCATCCATCACGATATTTAGCGCGTAATGGATGTCCAAAACTCAAAGAGACAGATGGCAGCTGTTCTCTTCGCATCACAGGATTCAACAGCGGGCCCTAGTTTAACCTTATTGCAGGTATGTTAGTATTTGCATTATAAGTAGTTGCAACTAATCGAACGCGCAGAATCTACGGTCTCTTTTGTGATATTGCGCTAATAAAAGGGGCAAATCTTCTGCCAAGGCGTGCATTTGGAAAGGTGACAAGTAGTATTATCCTGCAGACTTAGTAGACGCTTGGTAATAGATGGTACGGCGCGTTTAGGAGAGATGTATGGCAGGCAATAAAGTTACAACATACTGTCACGACCCGGATCTTGCCGTTTTTCCCGTTGACGCTATCCCGCCTGTCACATTCAAGACTTAGTAATACTGTAATTTTTAACTTTATGAAGGCAATCTTTGAAGACCGCTTTACGGCTGTCCTTGGCGCTCTTGCCGCTATAATTGCGATCAGAGACTCGAGAAGCGTCGTATACCTTGCGCACTGCCCCACGATTTCTCGGGTCCTGAGACGTGGTGCTCTGACGGGCGAGCACCAACGGCTGAAGTTGGTATCTTCTAAAGAGGGAAACCGTAGCTCCTATAGAGTTTTCTGTTAGATCCATAATCTTGTTGATGAGTTCGTGGAACTTTAATTCTTCCTCGGTAATCCGCATGCATCGTGGCCGTGTTACGGTCTGGGCTACGTAACAGTTAGATCCCTTATAAGCAGCTGGTTCCATCACAGTAATTGCTACAAATGCGATTATTGGCCTAATCTTTTGCCCTATTTGGCTTAATAATTCGATGGAATCGTTACAGCCTCCCACGGACTAAGGATAATCGTTGGAATTTAATCGACGACGGAAAAGATATGTAACATTATCCACATTTGTTCTAGTATTCTTAAAAAATCATGCGAAACTATTTAGTTCTTAGACAGTGGTGCCGTTAAGTTAGCCGCAGTACTTGGTATACTGGCTTAAATATAGTAAACTTTAAACTTCCTATAAGTATTAAGGGGTATATATTATTACTATATTGTTATATCCGCTTTACGTTTTATAATTATAAATAACTATTTGTAACGTTTTATTATACCGTTAAGCCAAATAAGGCAAAAAATTTAAGGCTCCTTGTTTTACTGTATTGCCTATAGTAGGCGTGGTTATTACTTAGTGCTGCGACCTGCAACTATTATAGATATATACCCCGGAAAAAGTACGGGTAATGCAGCTAATAAGAGCGCAGCTCTTTATTCTTACTCTAATATATACTGCAGGTATTATAAGAATAACTTTATTCTCACTGAGTATAATAATATAAGTTTAAGTAAGAATAAAAAAACGACTAAATATATAAGTTAACTTTATTACACTTATACAGATAGCTTAGATAGCTAGGCGTTAAGTATTAAAATACTGCATATAAGCTACAACTTCTATTACAGGCTTACGCACTTAGTAACTACGTCTACTTAAAGCTACTTCCTATCCTCACCAGTTTAATATCTTAAGTCCTTGGGAGCCAACTACCCTATACTAGGTATACCGGTAGGGTCGCAACATTATAATTAGATTGTATACTACATATACGATCATGTTACGTTCCGTTATACCGTAGCGCCAACAGGCAAAAGATTAGGCCAATAATCGCAATTGTAGCAATTACTGTAACGGAACCAGCTATTTATAAGGGATCTAGCTGTTACGGCGGACCAGATCGTAACAGATCACACAAGGCTCAAAGTGTCACGACCCAACACTTATAGTCGCAACAACCGGCCTCCCGGGTAGGCAACACCCGGCTCAACCTCGGATGACCCAACCAATCAGGATTAAGTCGTGTACAGTCCAGACGAACTTATAACAACCAAGTCGTCTCCGGTCGACGCGACCATCTCCAGTGCAACTGGATATATAAGTTTACATTCTCTACACTTGTTTAGATAGCTTAGATAGCTAGTTATTATCACAGCATTCCACACAGCCAAATTTCCCTTTCGACGGTCTCAGGAGAGACCTACAGTAACACCTAATTTAACCGTACAAAAAGTCACTTTAGTAATGATACTAAATATTTCACTCGACGAGCTTACGCTTCTGCATCTCAAACAGAAGTGTTAGCACTTCGTTCCGTTTCTTTAATCCTTATACCGTCCACCGCTTATCCACACTTCTCAAGCAGTAGAGTCATTACTTCTCTGCCGCTTACATCATTCGCTGCAGCAGCTTTAAGCACCGCCTCTGTAATCTTCACATCTCCTCCACGCTTCATAAGCAGTAGATCCATCACTTCTTTCCCATTCCCCCTATTCGCTGCAGCAGCCTCAATTACCACGTCAGTTATTTTTACATTCTGTTCAGCATCGAGAAGCGCTGCCAGCACTTCCTGCCCATTTATTTCATTTCCGGCTGCAACTTTAAGCACCGCCTCTGTAATCTTTTCCCTACGCGGTATTACCACGTCTTTTCCAGCCTCTTGGCTACCAACGTCGGCGCCGTTTCCCCCCCAATCCTTGGAGTCCGGGGCATGGGAGACAGCGCTAGCTGGCTGACTGATGCATAGACGCAAGTCCGCATGGATTTTCATAATCCTCAACCCGAAGTTGGATAAAGGCTCCTTAACTTTTGCCTCAAGTTCCTTATTAACTGCTTCCATATCGGGAATATCACCGTTCTGAATTAGAAAAGCCTCACAAGCTGCACAGCGAATGGCGGCCTCGACGATGTAAGAGTTTTCAAGCTTAGCCAACTGTTTAGCAAAAACCTCACCAGCTATACACCAAATAGTAGCCTCAATAATGCTAGAGTTTTCAAGCTCAGCCAACCGTTTGGCATACTTTTCGTAAGCGTAAACCACCACCTTCTCATCATCCGCGCCCGGGACGATAATTGCCTTAACGTAGAGGCAAAGCCGCTTCCCCGAGACCACGACGGGTACTTTAACCGTGACATCGCAAGGTTTAATGCTACGCAAGTGTTAGCCAATTGTGATGTATTGCGATAAATGGAGAAATAATCGGTTGTTGGCCAATATTCAGCCGCAGCCGTTTTAAGTAGTTTGAGTGCTCTGCCAAAGCAAAATAAAGAAATGCAACACTACCTAAAACGTCTGCACCGTTGAAACGGCCAGCACACAATTTTACAATCGCGTATCTTCACAGCGTTACAGCCGTAGCCAGTAATGGCTAGCTTCTCGTCGGGTGCTCTAATTACGATGCGCATTGGGACAGCGCTGGTATGGCTTGGTCAGCTATGGTGAAGTCTGTTGTTAGACTCCGGTGAGTCATGTAGCCAAAAATATAAAATAAATATATAATAAGATAAAACTACGAGCAATTAATCGGGAAGAATAGTTACAATTTTATACATTTGTCCACGGTGAGATGCTGGCTGTTTGTTAAAATTATAAATTGTAATAATGACATAGCTTCCTAATTTGTGACGGATGATGACTTTACTTGACAGCGCCTTGTTGAGTTTGTTGTCGACCTGTGAGTAGAATCATCCGTAGTAAAGTTTGCGATAACTTTAATGTGATATAACCTTCTGTCAAAAAACATGTTCTATAATACTGTCTAATATGAAGAAAATATATTTTGACTTTTGAAGTTATTAGCTAAAAGTATATACCGGTAGAATGCAGGCTAACAGTTACAAAATAACTACCATTGAATCTAAGATTATTAGCTGAAGGTATATGGAATGCAGGCTGAATGCAAAGTGGTATGATCTGTCATACGATCCGTCATACCGTGAGTGCCAAACAGGGCAAAAGATTGGGCCAATAATCGCAATTGTAACATAACAATTACTGACAGTGACAATGAACCAGGTCCTAACAGCAAGCTGATAAAAGTAGATATATGGAATGCAGGCTGATGATAAAGTTATAAGGTAGCCATGGAGACTTAGTGACCAAATCTGTTGACAGTTTGAGATACAGTTTTGCACAAAATTAGAGTCGGGACGTTATTCTGTGCCTTGTGTTGGTGGTAGATTAACAGCTGTTTCAGAGTCTGTAAGTCAGAAACTCGAACGCCTAATTAAGGTCGAGAAAAGCAATAAGTAGCATTAAGATCTTATGATTAAGTAGAATTGGAATGCTTCTTTTTGTAAATGTGGATTAAGTGATTCAGTTATAGGATGAAATTTAACCTCTAAACTTGATATAAATTAAAACTTTCCCGTTTCCCCTTGGGATTGACGAAACTCCCAATTTAAAGTACGCTTATTTCAAACATAAGATCAGAATATTTTCCAACCCCTTCACCCGCAACAAAAAGACTAAATAATCTGTCTATTTATCATGGAATGGAAAGACGGCCCCCTTGGGTACTACAAGTCTGAGTCCGTCATCGGATGGGTGGCATCTTTCTTCACGGTCGCTGGTGTAATATACGGCGTCTGGGCCGCTCAGTGGGTGCTCCGTCTTCGCCGCTCAACTGCACACCTAGGATCTGTCTGCCAAGATGAGGAGGAAATGGGATGTTTTGTCGCCGATATCCCGGGTGAAAGACGAAGGCTGTGGCCTTTTTTCATCGGAAAGACACCAAAACCTCGTCTCCCGACAGTCTCCAGTATCATGAGAGCTGGAGATTATGGTGTGTTTACTTCGGCCATGTTTGAGTGGGTTCCATATAATCGCCGACATGTTACATGGAGACCTCTTTATGAAGCCTTTTTCGAGGAATGTATATGGGCTCAAGAATGGCCAGTTAAGAGTTGTACTCCGCAATGGAACTTGGAAGGTTTGGATCTACGGTCTATAAGATATGTCACACAAATTCTAGACGCCGCCAAGGAAAAGGTATGGAGCAAAATGTACCGACCTAAGTTCCAGTGCATTGCACACGTACGTAACAAAATACCAAAGCTGCCCTCTTCAGTATCATGGTCCTAATGTGGTATAGATACAATTCCGGTTGTTTAGTTTTCTTTCTGCTGTTGGATTATCAAAACTTTATCCGCATCGCATTACACTTAAGGAGGATGAAGTTCAAACGATCGATCGACACCTCCTATATTATCCGTGGACGCTCATAAAAAATGGCAAAGGTTATACAAACAGAATAGGAAGCTTTAAACCTGTCGGTCCTATTTTAATTAGCAGCCACATTGAGCTTGAGACTCTTGAAATTAACGGAGCTACTCGACATTTTCCTGAGATTCGGGCGAATGAATTTGAACCCGTGAGAATTCACGCTGGCAAACCCTGCATCGAAGTGTCCGAAGAGGAGATTTCGGCGTTGTCTATTGGACTCGGACTGGAACTCGAGGAGACGGAGCACTTCTTACCTCACGGAATAGGCGCTTTCGGAACTCTCTTATCCTCAGAGGCAGACGACTGTTGGACGAAGCTCAAGCTCACTTACCATCGACGCCAACTCACACAACTAATTGCGGGTGGCGGATATTCAATGCTGTTTGCAAAACACATGGCTTGCGGGTGCTTACCATTTGCGTTCCGTGGTGACGAAGTCCAAACTATCTTCATTACGGAGGATGTCCTAGCATGCCTCAGAGAAGGGTCATCAATCCATGACAATCCTCCGAAGCCTATCCCCAATGAGACTTACATCCATCGATTGCCTGGCCACTTAAAGATTAACTACTATTATGGTAAGGGCACTGTATCTGACTCTGACACTGGCGACATTCAAATACATAGTTGGACTCTCGAGGAAACTAGCCTTGAGCGAAAAGTTGCCGGGAGCTGGTGCGAAGCAGTTACGCGAATCGCCTTCGGAGGGCTTGTACCTATGGCAACTTCCCCACTAATCAGGGCGGTGGCATTCACAGTTGGCCAGGCACCCCAAGCCACTGACACAGATTGGGAGAAATTAATAGAGTTATTCAATATGCTTATGAATAAGGTCATGGAACAGTGGGACAAAACTATTAAAGGAGATGTACCCCTTTTCGGAAGCAAGCAAAGAAGACTCCATCAATTGATGCAAGAACAACGGAGCATTGATTTCAGCAACTTGGGCCTCCGCACTAGAGAGATTGTGATACAATTAGCTAAGCTTACAACACTTTTGGAATCTCTGCTAGCGCTAGGAGGTGCCGTCTATCACTGGTCTGTTACAACCTCGGACACCAGACGCAAGGAGGTCTTTGACGCATGCGTGATTAGAGTAAGGGCAACTTACTCGAACAGCCTCCAACGCCAAAAGCAGCAGTGTACCTCTTCACCATGCCCGACATATTTGATGCCAACTCCTAATGTCCTAGCTATTCTTGAAGACGCTATTGAAGAACTTGACGAGACAAGGGCATGTTCCGTTGAAACATGTGCAGACGTGGCTATGTGCGTTATCATCGTCTGGACAGGACTTGTGAAGAGAGTCCACTGGGAGAAAGTGGAAAAATTAAGTGGGTCGGGTAAAGGGACCGATATAATTAGCCGTGACAACGTACAAACGGCGGCGAGTTGTCAGTGTGGGTGCACTGATGGAAGAGGCAAGAATCCGCAGGACAGTGAAGCTAATATTTATACGCCAGTCCGTATGGAATCACTCCCAGATGTCGCAGTCTGGGAGTGAATGGCGTTACTTATAGTTTGCTTAGGGGCTTTAAAGGGGCTAGGACTCCAGCTCGCCCGGCCGAGTAAACGGTAGCCATAACACAATAGCTTGATTTAATTTTGTTGAAATCTCTAGTAGTCGCTTCCGAGCGCGATCGCTTCTATGTCGTTAATCAAGCTCCTCCGGGACGGCCTGCTCTTCTATCAATTGTCAGGAGACCCCGTCGAGCAACCAGGGCCACTATATGTCGCTGTTATATTGGTTGAGATTTACACCGGCCCTTGTACTGGAGGGGTGTAAGCCTAATAGCTTGCCATGCCCGTAAATGTCGGGAAGCACGAACACCACCGATGTCGGAACTGCTGCCGTGTGTAAAAACGGTCAGTGTAATCACGGTTTTTTAGGTTGGGTCAGGTGACTTGATAGTGATAAATTTCTCAGCGCGGGGTTCATTGTCCTCCAAAAACGGAATCATGTAACTCCAAATCTGGAGTCTCGGGATGCAAAAAATGGAAGACATCACACTCAAGAGAAGTGCTTGACGGGACCCCGAATTTTCCACTACCTGTGGTCGTATGTGATCGATTCAGGCGGGTAATTGTCCTAAGAGTAGGCATCGTCAATGACAGACAAAGAGTTGAGGGGAGAGAAATCATGCATACAAATTTGGTGTTGACCAAGAGGCTCACCAGTTCATTGCATTGGCTATTACTGTATGCCTAATTACCAGCTGGGATTCACACCCAACTACGGAGCACATCTGTTCATGCCCTGCAAATACGATGATCTGGATACCAATGCGGCCCTGCCCCGTAAATGATCGTTTTCCCTCTCTCGGCAGTCTCCAAAGATAACATATGCAGAGGCGTCGTATTTTGATGCCGTACACAATATGAGAAATCACGCACCAATAGCAGTCGGCATAAAGTTGGGACTGCCATCGGGGTTACATTCAACGGTTTTACTGGGTTGCACATTTGATCTACATAAACTGCTTTGGTTTCGGGCAATGGGCTGCTAAACATTGCCAAACATTGCATTACTACATTATCTTGACTCATCTATATCAGCTTGAAACCATCTGAATCATGTCGGCGGATCCACCCTAAAGATCCCAACAGCCGCAATTCGTACAAGATTGCGTAGATCAGTGCCCTGCCCCATGAACAAACCACTGCACTCGCCATGCTGGATTATTTGCATGCGGGACCCCACGACTTCACTCAGTCTCCCACGACTTCACTCAGTCTCCCACGGACAGCAATTCATTTTCTTAAGGCGATGACAACTCCTTCAACATAGTTCATTGCCGCGCTTCCTGCTGGTGAACATGGAACTGCCTCTGCTGCTGGTACTGCCGTCACGACGTTGTCAGCTTTTCCCCATAACATAACACCGGTCTCCGTCTGGGTAAAGGCCTGACAGAAAAGACGTGAGAACGAACGCTCAAAGGGGTTCATCAATGTAAACTCTCCTTATGTTGTAACATCATAATACCGAGAATGAATGGTACGGTTTTACTTTGGCAGAACAAGTGAAAGAAGCCTTTAACAGAAATCCCTCCACATTTCGAGACGACCTGATCGGCGCCATTGCATACATTGGTAGCACCATATGCAACTGGAGAGCAGATGAAAACAGCGTCATTGCTCAGTTCTGCGAGACGGCTTGAATTTGTCTGTCGAAACTATAGGGTTTGGGGTGGTATCAATGAGTTTTGGTATGTTTTTCCGCTTTGGCGTGTTACTGCTGAGTTTGTGGACCTGGAGTAGCACAATTTTTGTTTTACATTGGAGCACATTAATCCCACTACTTATACTTCATAATCTTAGAACTTTGCATTACCTACTTTAGATCATATAGATACTTTGGTACTCATATCTACCCAAGGGCAACGAGGCTTAGAGTTCCCAACTTTGGAAAATGGAGGCGCTTTGATCTGCCTTGAAGGAATTTTATGCATTGTAACTGCCCAGGTTTGTATCCTCGTGTGTCCCGCCTTAGTACAATGGCCTCTATCACGTAGATTAGTATATATACTATACAGCTACCTGTTTATGAATGTTTATAGATGCCCTAGGTAGATATATACCTAGGCAGGTATTCTATTCCTCTAATTCTGTGAGTATATGTACCTACCCAAGAAGCCACCCCATTTATGAACTACATACCGACATGAAGGTACCTAAAACTCTATAACCCCATCTCATTTTGCCTTTAATCCTATGAATCCGATCCTAAAGAAGGTTTCGAATATCGAGTTCTGGGTTGCCTCGGGGCAAATCGGCCCACACCCGATATTATAAATACATACCATATCAGCCCCAATCGAATCCTCCACCTCCTCTTCCCAAATATTCTCTCTTAAGAGACAGAAAAGAAAAAGAAAAGAAAACGTTCTGCCATGAACATCGTCAAATACCTTACCGGCCTCGTATGGCGCGCGCCTGAGTGCCAATCTCAGAACAGCCCTATACTTCAGCTGCCAGTCGAACTGCTTCTTAACATATTTCATTTCCTTCCTCCTTACAGTCGACTACTCGTCTACCAAACCTGTCGGGCCCTACGAGCAATCGTTCATCGAAACTTCGTTGCCGGGAGGGGAGTGATCCTGGTTACAATGGAGCACAGACTGATCTATCTCACTCATCTCGCCAGGTCTCTGCCTGATCGATGGGTTTGTGCCAAATGTTGCAAACTTCATCCAACTAACAGGTGGGATACGCCATCATCTTGGTTATATAGACCAAGATGTGGAGATGGCTACGATTGGAGTTCCGATGAACACAGCGAATCCCGCATATTTTTTAATTATCAACATTCTGCATCGCATAGACACATTGAACTCACGCTCAAGTACGCTCGATTGAATAGCTCAAAGAGAGCACATCAGAAACATCTCAAAAGACTTCTTACAGCACATCACGCCATCAGTATTCGCGTAGCTGAAGGCATTCAACTCAAACGCTCTTTTTACCCTAAGGTTGTAGATGGAAGATATTTACTTCTTACCGTCCAGACTTATCTTGGGGTTGGAAGTAATCTTATATCACAACAGTCTATAGATTGGATTCAAATTTGTCCTCATCTGACTGCCCTGGGTGTATTTTCCTTGTCGAGAGATCATAGGATGCATCTAGGGAAGATTATATACTTGGCTTTCGCAGCGCCAGCGAATACTCCAATTTTTGAATCCTGCTCTTCTTGTGGAACAGATTTCTCTGTACAGGCATCACCAAAGCGAGCTACTGTATGCATATGGCAAGATTTAGGTCCGGAAGGATCAGTATATGATTCAGAGTGGGCGGCGATAGTACGCGAGACGACAAAAATCTATCACCGGCCTGGAAGCATTCGGGAGCTATATGGCCAGCATGAGCACAATGGTGAACTCTTACAGATAGTCCCCAAGCCAGTTGTCTTCTAGTGCTTTTTTTCGGGAGCAGTTATTCAGCCACCCAAGTTTGTTATCCAGTATCCCATGTCTTATATGAAAGCTATACGGACTAAAGAATAACCTCAGATACTAGAGAAAAACTGCAATAGCAGCAGATACTAGAAGAATATATTTATAATGGTAGATACTAGAAGAAAGTAGCGGTAGTAGCACAAAGTAGTAATAGTAGCAGAAAGTAGTGATAGTAGTATAAAGGTAGCTTTTATTCATATTCTTTTTACATCCTATTCTAATACTTAAATTCCACGCAGTCGCTAGGGTGTTGGATAACGAATTTAGGATGCTAGATAACATTTCCCTTTTTTTTTCTGAATTAGCGTCATTACGCAAGTTCATGGGTCTTGGAAAAACGGAAACCAGAGACTTGCTTTTTAGAACCCTGGGGCGCAATAAACAGAAGACATTAAACTGCAGTAAAGAACTTAACGGGACCCCGAATTCTCCACTACCTATGGTCGTATGTGCCTGTTAATGTAATGGATCAGTTTATAAGGGGCATGTTGTTGAAGCTAAAAGACCAAGAATGCACAAAACATATAAACAGCCATTGCTCAGAGGTGGTCATCTATCTAACTAGATGTACTAATATGCTAGTAATGGCTTATTTATCTCGTTAAAGGTGTTTTCAATTTGAGTATTTTCCCCAATCAAACAAGTAAAGCAGGAATCTATACTTTACTCAGGCCATCTATCGGCTTCTTAAAGACGCTCCGTAGCGTTGACTGACCAGTCCCCGTCCCATGAGAGGCTCCCTCTAACCATAACTCCCGGATACTACCATGAGGATAATCCAGATAAGGGCCTAGGTCAAGCCAATATGCGTGTTGATCTCTCACATGTGCCTTCCAACTAATATCCATAGGTGACCCTTCTATCCCAAAATCGTGCCAAGCCCGGATTGTTCCCTCTCGCTCATCTGTAGAAATCATAACTGCGATATCTGTAGCACAGTGCAGACAAGAATTGAATATCCACTGGCCTGGGGATTCGCAAGCTGAAGCAATGCCTTCCTCAAGCAAAGTAACTTCTTTAAGCAGGACGTGCTCCTCGAGCTGCCGCATACCCATCTGACGAATAGACGATTCCTTCCGAAAGCGAGACCTCGCAGGCCCGCCATACAACATGTCCATGTGCGGGCAGACTGAGGGAAATAAGTCGTGTTCGTCCGGGAAAATTGGTATAGCACTACTGGTATTATTGCGAAACTTCCACTCTTCACGTAGGATAAAGCGTTTATTGATAATCCTGGGCTCTGCGGTATAAGACTCTGCAAGTGGCGGTATGGGTGATTTCCTCGTACACGTATAAGGTTTCATCAGTGCCTTGAGATATCTCCGGTGTATATTGCCCAGGCGAGAGAGCTTGAGGGCAAACTGTACATGGTAGTGCTGGACAGAGTACGCTTCGATTTCAACTCCTCGAGACATGTCAACGGTGCAAGGGACATCCCTAGCACTAATGGCCCAGTAGGCTCGTGGCACATCTGAGGTATCAATAGGATGCAGCTGACAGCATTTCAGACAGGCCCAGCGGTTTGGTAAACTGTAGGCCAGCCCTGCCCAAAACCCAATCTGATCTTCAAAGGAGAGTCGCGAGACCTCGATAGCCCAGTCTTGACATGTAACCTGCCGAAGTGTTTTACAGGTGTGTGAAAGGAGGAATTTATCATGTAAAGCCAGTTGATCAGTAATAAGGAGGAGAAGGTCTAGCGGAAGCTGGAGAATAACTGCGTTGGGGTTATCTTGGTCGTGGTCCCTGTGATGGTGGCGGCCTTTGCCTAGCAGTCGACATAGAAACCGTAAGCAATGCATTTTGAAATACCTGAAACTTGTCTGAGAAGTGGTAACTTGAAATGTAAAGGGATCGGTCCTTTTTATACTTTGATATGCTCTATGAAAGCTACGTAATTGTGCGCTGATGGCGTTCTCTACTGACGGGACGAGTGGGTTTTCCTTCTTTCTTTTATCTTCACCAAAAAAATCTTCATCCAAAAAATCACCAAATGACTAGAAAACGCCATGGCGCGCTTATAATAACATACTTTCAAACCTTGATTGTAAAGGCCAATTACCATCAATTCTCCCTTTACTGAACCCCTGAGAGGCTCTCCGGTAGCTGCGTCGGCTTCTTAATCATCATAGTATAAATATAAGAACAAAGACTGGGTTGTTCACCCTTTTTATCTACGGCTCGCTTTGACCAAAGTTTGCAGCGTATAAAGTGCCAGCATCTTTCGAATACATGCCGGGGCACGCTTGAAGATGCATCTACTCCGCACTTATTACAACCCCGCTTTCTTCACCAAAGCTACATGTACATGTACGCTCAGGCACCCAGACAAATAGATGAGACGTTTATAGCACATTAGCTTAATGCGGTTTCGATCTAAATGAGCAATCTCGTTCTTAATCTTATGACCTAGTCAAAGCTACACATACTTTATACATTTGTTTGCAGCCCGCTCTCGCCATAACTATGACTTCTCCAACTTCCGGCCGCATCGAGAGTGCGAATGACTTCCAACGAGCTCAAGACGCATATTACGCCGCATTTGGGACTTTCCCACAAAGCAAGGATGACATTGTAAGAACGAAACTCTTGTCGTTTATTATAGGGGCAAGCGAACAAGATTTGAGCACAATACAGAAACTTCTCGAGACCTGTAAGTCTGTCTGTCGCTAGACTAGAAAGCAGCCATCAGCTAAATTTCGTTTTAAGTGAACAATACTGAGGACAGGACAGGTGGATTGACAAGTCAGAACAAGATCGTCTCAGCATCTAACGATCACACCTTACGGGTGTGGGACGCTACCACTGGCAAAGAAGAATATACACTCGTCGGCCATTCAGAAGCCGTTACCAGCGTCGCGATCTCACCTGATCGCAAGACGATTGCCTCCGGTTCAACTGATCAGATCGTGCGGCTATGGGACACGACAACGGGCCGGCAAACGCGGTTGCTCACCGGCCATTCCAGTGCAATCAAAAGCGTTGCCTTCTCCTACGATGGGACTAAGCTTGCTTCTGGGTCCGATGACGGTACGGTCCTGGTGTGGGATCTGGCAACAGGCCAGCAGGAGTGTATACTTTCGCACTCTACCGCCAGCGCTGCCTATGGGTACTACGGCTCCCGGGCCCACACGATTAATCACGCTGTTACTTGTGTTGCCTTCTCTCTCGATGGCAAGAGAATCATAGCTGGAACTAGGGATAATGGGATATGGATGTCGGATATAGCGACCAGCACACAAGAAGCCCTTTCCGGCCCCTCCAATGCCATCACCAGCCTCGTCTTCTCCTTGAACGGCCGCCAGATGGCATCGGGAAGTACTGATGGTACTGTACAAGTCTGGGATGCTACAACTAGCCAGGCCAAGTCGATTATTTCGGGTCATTCTGGCGCCATCAACAGCATTGCCTTTTCGCCAGACGGAAGCAAGATTGCAACGGGGTCCACTGATTGTACTGTGCGTCTGTGGGATGCGGAAAGCGCCAAGGAAGAGCGTGTGCCCATATGCCAACCCAGCAATGTCAAGAGCGTAGCCTTTTCATCCGACGGTAGGAAGATTGTGGCCGGTTTGACTGATCACACATTGAGGCTGTACGATGTGGTAACCGGCCTCGAGGAGTGTGCGTTGACAGGCCATTCTGGCGATGTTACCGGTAGTGCGTTTTTCTAACTTCATACTGCCGACAGATTGTGTTACATAGCACCACTTATACCAACTATTAATATATTTTCGCTGTAACAGGCTAATCAAAAGAAATGGATAGAGATGAATGGTCACATGATTGAGAAATATTTTCACGAGAGGCCGAGAGCCTCGAGGATCACTATGTCAAACTGCCATCATCCCGCCGTATAAATTTGACAGTTCATCAGCCGATAAACGGATGAAAATAACCCGTCCTGATGCAGTTCTAATAGCAACGGTAGACCCTGATATAGCAGAGCCAGAATCATGAAATTCGGCTGGTAACCTGAGGATATCATAATTATTCCACATAATCCAGCCGCGATCGTTATTAATGCCGAGGCCGACCAAATGAGGCGGACGTGGAATCCATTCAATAGAGCCTTCAGTGCCGTCGATAGCCACGACACCAATACTAGTAAGGATTTCTAACTTGTCCTTTGCGAATGACAGATTCCTGGAATACCAATGGAGGACGCAATCGAGGTCGACGCATTGCACGAGGTCGCCCGTGTCGATGCGCCAGACTGCGATGGTGTTACTACTAGTATCTGTCAATGCAGCCACCAACGCTGAGTCATGCGAGATGGTGACCGACTCCAGCATATCATTCGGGTTTCGAAGCGTTTGTATGCATTCGCCCGAAGCAACGCTCCAGATTTTAAGCTCCTCCCCTGCAATTGCCGCTAGGAGCGATGAGTCACGGGAGAAAACAATTGACTGGATTGCAACGTCAATGTTGCTTTGTAGCTCTTGCACAAGGTCGCCTGTAGTAGTGCACCACAGTCGAACATTCTCAGTCTCCAAGTGTAGTGACGCGATAAGGGAGGAGTCATGCGAGAAGACAAAAGGATCTTCACCGGGTATCTCAAATAAGAATTTGCCGTCGACGACACTCCAGAGTTGGATACTGCCGTTGTCCAGAGGGCCTGCTGCTATAACAGCAGAATTATGTGAGAACGCAACTGAGCCAAATGACCCCTTCCTGGATCTATTAAGGCGTGATAGCTTCAGCATGCAGTCGCCTGTATCAGTGCACCACAGCCTGGCACTGCCATCTCTTGAAAATGATGCTATAAGTGCCGTGTCATGCGAGAATGCAATTGACACAACCTCCTCGCTATGGCCCTTGAGCTCCTGCGTACATCTGCCTGTATGAGGGCACCAGAGCGAGATGATCTTTCCCGAGACAGATGCCACGAGTGTCGAGTCGTTTGAGAAGACAAATAATGTGCTTTCAGATATAATGACCGCCGGGTCTTCCTGTTGAAAGCCATTTGTGTCAACGCGCCAAAGTCGGGTTGTTTTATCTTCTGAAGCCGACGCTATAAGCTTCGAGTCGTGCGAGAAGGCAACTGATAAGATGTCATTGCCATGGCCTTTAAGCCTTTGCACAAAATTGCCTGTATCAACAGACCAGATGCAAATTGTATTATCCACCGACGCAGATGCTATAAGTTTGGAGTCATGTGAAAAGGCAACCGCCGTGTCCTTATTGTTAGGTCCCTGTAGCTCATGTACACACTTGCCTGTAACAGTGTGCCAGATTTGCGGTGTTTCGTAATATATTGAAACTGCTATAAGGTTTGCGTCATGAGAGAAGGCAGCACTCCTGAGAGAATTCGCCGTTCCTATACGTAAATGATTGGCCGTATCAACGTCCCAAAGACGGGTATCAGAATCAGCTAAAACTATAGGTGCCGAGTCATGCGAATAAGCAACCGATGGGACTCCATGATCATCGCCTGTGGTAGTGCGCCATAGCTGAATGATTCCACGGACTGAGCATGATGCCACCAACGCCGAATCAGGTGAAAAGGCGAGTGCGATTGTGAATTCGCCTTTAGCCTTAAAATCCCGTATGCAATCGCCTGTAGAAGTACTCCAGAGCCGAATTGTTTTATCAATTGAGCCTGATGCTATGAGCGCCGAGTCATGGGAGAAGGCAACTGATGTGATTGGTTTTTCATGGCCCATGAGCACTCGCAAACAGTTGCCTGTACTAGTGCACCAGAGTCGGATTGTTCTATCCCACGAGCCTGATACTATGAGTTTCGACTCATGAGAGAAGGCAACTGATGTGATTCTGTCTTTATGGCCCTCAAGCTCTCGCACACAGTCGCCTGCACTAGTACGCCAGATTTGAATTGAGCCGTTCCACGAGCCCGATACTATGAGTGCCGAGTCATGGGAGAAGGCGACCAAATGACTGTCACTTTCAAGCGTGTGATGCAAATAGGCGTGCCAGCGCTTCTCCATAATTGGTTTCGTAAGGATCCATTCCGGTTCTTCGGCCACAAAGAGCTGTCTCACCCTACTATGTGAAGGACTAAAGACAAGCGCAGATGCATACACTTGCAATGGAGCAGACTCTATCGCTTGTCTATGCAAACGGATGAATTGATTCGCATCTTCAAGCAGCTCTGTAAGCTGTGGCATCTGTAATTTTTGCTTGGAGATATTAGAGCTTTATACGGAATATTTGGTTAGGATCCACACTTACCAGCTTCTGCATTGCCAGTACGCCTTCTGACATACTTCGTAGTAAACTGAGAGCTTCCAACCAGTATAGGTATTTTCTCTCAAAGAATGTGTTGATCATGTCTTCGCTTCTAGGCATATTTCCATGAGTTAGTTCCCGCGTATGTTCCGAGGCAAGGAGGTGGTCGATCCAGTAGATGCAAGAATAGCGGATTGGAGCCAAGGGATCAGGATCAGGTGAAGAAACATGTTCGATGGAGAAGCCTGAGAAACCCAGAATGTAGATATCACGATGTAGTAAATTAATTAGCTGATTCAACGATCTGGAGAAGATAGTATGGTGCTGGTGTTCAATGCCCAAGGCCAGAATTTGATCGGGCACCTTCTCAAGCAAAAAGTCTTTAGCCGACTGATGTATAAAGTAAATCGTTTCTTCTCGAATAGTCAAGAATGAGCCACAAAACCCAATGATCTCTTTCAGTTCGTCGTCGTCGTTATCAATATGTGACTCCATGAGACAGCTCAGCTCAGATAACGTAATTGGGCGGTATACGACTGAAGTGATAGCCAAGATCTGTCGGCAAATTTCCGCGTCAAGTGAATCATAAATATTCTCCATCATACGCTTATATAAAGGATCAAGTCCTGAGGGGTATGACTTCAGCTTCTGGAGCGTATGCCGTTTTCGGACTCTAGGATCTGCTAACTCTTGGCAGACAAGAGCTACCCAAAGAAACGTGCCATGAGCGTTGGACATTAGATACTGTTCGATTTCAATTTGCGTATCTTTATCGTAGCTCTTCTTCTTGGTTAGATGCTGCACCTTGTATCGGATAAAGGATTGGACAGCAGCAGAAACTAAACTCTCGTTTAACTCAAGGCATAGCTTTACTCCATGCATGGCATCCTCAAGACTCTCCTCAATAATCGGCCAGTTACGGCTTGAAACAATCCATTTGGCGCGACTTGAACAAGAAGCTTCGTTGATGAAATCGAGAAGATGCGACAATCCTTTAACACACTCATCGAGTGCATCAATGATTAGAATTGCATCAGTCAAGCTTGGGTCGTTTAGTATTGCCAATAGAGTCTTTGACAATGCTTCCCAGTTATTGCCGTCTTCAAAAAGCTTCTTACCTGAATGGTCATACTTCTTTCGCACATGTGAGATAAGCGCTGGGCGTTGCATAAGGATCATGTATATGAGGCCCCGCAATACCGCCGTTGCGTTACTGAGCTGTAGTTCGGTAGCCTGGCAAAAGAAGTAGGATAGACATTGTGTAGTGGTAGATTCCTCTATCTCATCGATAATGCCGCACAGAAGCATAGTCTTTCCCTTCCCAGGGTCTCCTTTGATCCAAAGCAGACTATATTGGGAGTCATATCGCCATTTCTTGAAGTCGGTGTGGTCGAGTATCCAACGATATGATTCTCTAAGCAAGTGACCTTTGGTACGCTGAATGCGCGTCTTGTCATCGCGGGGGTCTGTTTGGCGTAGATCGTGAAGGCATTTATTACTTTCTTTATTTTCCATCAATTCCTTCATCTGCTGTTCAATCTGGGCCCTGAATGTCTTGTCTGTTTTTGGATATTGTTCCACCAGAGCTTTAGCGACACACGCGGCCGTTGCAGCTGCGAAATCCTGCCAATGTTTGTTCCCGTGGCCGTCTGCGTAATTACTGACGCCCTTGACAATGATGCATGGAAGCTCATCCCAGACTCCAGCCGCCTCCGTTTCAAACGCCAGGACATCGTAATGCTTGGCGATCTCATCACGGTGCTTGCCCGATTTGACCACTCTATTACTTGAGCCGACTCGTCCAATGAAGATGGACGGTGTCTGAAATTCTTCCCCAAAGCTTTGCTGTTTGGACGCTCGATTCGTCTCAAGACGCTTTCGCTTGATCATATGTTGATCATCGCACCCCACTACATCGCACGCCAAGTCTCGAGATCCCTCGCAGACAGCATCTTCCATTTCGTGGCACTTCGCGCAGATGCATTGTGACGAAAAATAATGCTTATGGCGGTAGTTCGCCTCGAACAACCTATCGCTGCGAGTTCCGGGATATTTGTAGATATCTGCTCGCCACCGACTCCCTTTGGGAGGAAGATCCTGAATCTGTTTGAGGAAGTCGGTAGCTCGTGTCTCAAGTCGCTCTCGTGCACGCTCCGTCTCAAGGAAGGTGATAAGACTACGGATATCCTTGTTCGGCCGACCTAAGCTATCCTCTGTGGTGTCTCTTGTTTTGAAGTTATCGGGATACTGTCTGCCGTAGTCATATTGGATCACAGTTCTGCTGATGATCACATCACCAAGAAGAATCTCATCTCCCGTGCCTGAAAAAGGCACCCCCCCACAGATTCCAGTTAAAATGACAAGCCTTAAACCCGGGTAGCTTGACCGGAGGCTTGCCGTCGCACTAGCCGCACTGACGTTCCCCGTATTTGGTAAAAGAACAAGGACGACGTCGAAGTTGCCGAAGCGTCCAGTGGTGTAAGTGTTTAGGTCTCCAATAGCCCTTCCATACCGATCATCGTCTTCATCCCAGAACTCGTCGAAGAGCAATGAGATGGCATTGTATTCAAGCGGCAATGCACAAACCAAGGCAACCCCGAATTCGTCGCGGCTAGAGGGCCGAGTAGCCATCATGAGATGTGTGGCTGGAAAGCCGATGGGGTTAGAAAGAATTCGGATGGTTCTCCTATTACGTTGTATTGTAGGTAGGAGGAGTTTTATTCTGTTATTAAGAATGACCCAAATGATCAGGTTGAATGAGGGGTTATCAATTTCCGGGATTTAACTAAAGCTACCAGGTAGGGATGCGTTTAAGGCAGGGAAAGTACAAGGCAGAATGCGGAATATTCCGCGAATATCTCATCACATTATCCCATAGGTACGTATCTAAACTGTTGGTTCAGTTGCTTCCGAAAAGGGAATCATCTAACTCCAAATTTGGACCCTTGGGATACATAAACTGGAAGATATTAATCTCGAGAAGAGTGCTTCACGGGACCCCAAATCTTCTACTACCTATGGCATTATGTGCTTCAGTTTATAATATTATCGTTTATATGGTTTTGTCTATGAGGCCAGAAATGCACCACTGTACCATTATACGTATATCTACAAATCTACAAAACACATCACCTTGTTCTTTCCTCTCTTTCTTTTTACAACTAAAAGCTGTTTTGCCATGGCAATCTCATGTTGCCAATGCATCAATAGTAGCCACATCGCTTCCTGGCCTAATATAGGGCAGGATATCAACCGAGATGACATGTATATCCTCTTCATCAGGAGATGTACTATCCACGCTCTACATGGGCAGCATATTATATAATATCGAAATACCGTGGCTCGCTTTCAAGTTTCGTCCACGTTCTGCTCTCCAAATAGCACTCTCCAACAAGTCGAAACCGACTGGTCCCCTGCTGCTTAGAACCGCTGTCGACCTCTCGGAGCACGAACGGTATCTTGGCTCCGACACTTGCATAAACGTCGTCTCCAATTTGAGTCTCCTCCGGACCCAATCCCATAAACCCAGTGTCGGTAACGAAGAAGCGGCGCGAGTGGCAATGTTGCAAGACTCTCTGAACATAGATCCGATAGGTCGGCGGCAAAAGAACCCCCGCTTGACGGAACGGGATATCTCGCAAAGACAAAGCGCTGTTGTTGCCCGATGGGCTCCCATCCGCTCTTTTACGCAATAATGCGCGGCAAACGAGAGCTTCCCAGCTTGATCCCTGTTTGCCTTTTGCAGACTCTTTTTCCCCTTCCACAAATTGATGAATGGCCAAAGGCTCAGCAAAACCGGCAGCGCATATGACGGCGTAGAAACCCTCAACGGCGTAAGAAGCCTCGTCCGGGTCAGCATCTAGAGATTGTGTAGGCTCCTTGTCCAATAAGGCCTTCCATTCATCCAGAGGAAAATGGGCCTTGACCGGCAAGGTATGCAGATCCCACTTTCATTACCTTGCCGCATGAATAGCCTGCCATGTGTAGCACTGGCTCTGGTGTTGATAAAGTCAACCGCATGGAGTATCCCGAGACATCGTTAGAAGCCCAAGCGCTGTGATGTGGAATGTCATCATTCTCTCCAATAATCGTTCGTTTGGGCTCACTTCTCCAATCTGGCACCCAAGACGGCAGGTCGTTGCGATCCGATCCGCCTTGTACGGCACACAACACCAAATCAAACCGCTCCTGCGTCATCAGAACTGCTGCACAATCTGTGTAGACTTTAGCTACCGAGTCTTCATATTGCGGCGTGAGATTGAGCTCTTGGTCAAAAGCCTGCAGAAGCGGCAGCAAGCCATATATCTTATCGCGCGGGTCCGTTGCCGCGCAGTATCTTGTTTCAATGAGAGCCTGTAGCATCGTCCTTTCAGGCCTCGATTTGGTCAGAGATGCTCTTGAAGAGGTTACGACGAATGGGAGCCTCCCCAACCATTTCTGGCTCGCGTTCCATTGTTGGAAGCTTCTTACTGCAGACCAAGGAAACACCTTGTCACCGCAGTAGATTGTAGCTCTGTTTGAGAGTGTAGCCTCTTGGATCACCCACACTCTGCTGAACCACGGCCGGTTGAAGAAGCTTCTCAGGGCCAAAAGTAATGGCTCGGACCTGGGATAACTGAGCGATGTCGTTGTCTCTAGATCCGGATTGTCCAGTTCAGTGATGAATTCAATTGCCAAATCACAATTGTCCTCGGATTCGCCGAGGTAGATGATGACTTCCGCTGCTCCAGAGTAAATCTGGGACATGAGAGTAACCTGATGGTTTCTTTCAGGGAAGTTATGCTGGTCAATGCTCACTGCGTCGATCCAAAGAATGCGCGGTCGATCGGCCAGTCGTAGGCATCGTAGAGCGGAGAAACAGTTTGATGTGACCTGGAATTCCGTTGCGTCTCCAAATTCTTTCGTCTTGATATATATACTTCGGCAGTCCAGAGGGTTGCCCCAGGTATACGATAAAGCTTCGTAGTGGGGAGCTGAATCCAGGTCCGCCGTGATGAGCTCACAAATAATCGCATCATTGCTACCAGGAAGCAACGATACCAGGCGAATGTGCCTTGAAGTTGGTAGAGACGGCGCTGGATATTGTTGGCTAAGAGAGGCTCCATGGTGAGACGGGCCCATGGTTGTGCAATATATCAGTGGATAGCAGAAAGCAGGCTATTCTAATACAGACTCTTCAAAGCGAAGCAGTCTCCAAGGTACAAGAGCCTATCGTAAGTTAGGTATATAGGTAGATGTATTTTCAGGTGTAGGATGCAAATTCGAACGGCATCATAAGACCCATCACAGCCCATTTAAATCCAAGGTCGCGATTGAGCCTACCTTAGGCTCCGAGGTTGCATTAGCTGCCTACATGTACCTATATATAGGTGCCTTGGCGGGAATTAGTAGTGCTCTGCAACCCTAGTAGAATAGATAGGCTTGCAAATAATTAAGCACATATCGTCGAGGTCTTCAAATTGACTCCCCACTGGCGTTTATCAAAGTGTAAGCAAACCACATCACTCGCACAAGATAAATTATTGAATGAGGTAATATTCAACTCTATGTAGAAAACTGAGACGGCATACCGCTGTATAAGGGATTATTCAGTTCATGTTTCTTTGCTACATATTCTTCATATGAAATGGTTGCTAGTTTCGACACAGGTAGTTGAAACAAGGTGGGCATAACTAAACCGTCGAATGACCAAACAGGCTCGTATTTCACATGTCCTTCTATCAGAGAAATTATTTCTCGGGGCCATATGTACCAGAAAAGGCCATGAGAAAAGCTAGCATTAAACAATATATACCCAACATTACGGGGATAACATAACCATACTTCGTGAATAGGGGCTAACAAAGCCACAAAAGACATGCTAAACAAAGAGAGAGAGAGAAAAGGGGAAATCTATAGACTGATCAAACCAAATTTACTTGCGATTCCTCACCAACGCCTCCACCCTGCTCATCGTAGCCTTGAGCCCTGCTCCCCTTTCGCAGTTAGCCATCAGCCATGCCTCCATGCGTTCACGGATGCTCCTCATCGACTTGAACACGGGCATCCTGCCGCCATCCTCAAAGGCGAGGAACGAAGCCGGATTCAGCAGCACCTCGAAGCAGTCCGACCAAATGTCCGTCTGCCAGTACCGCTTCAGGTTCTCACGAATCTTGTACTTTCGACCGCCTCGGCCGAACCCCCCTTGATCAGCGCGCACCGTCTCAATGTATTTTCCGAAAAGCAGGCAGTGAATAACACCAGCGAGCCCGTAGTAGTCAATCTGCCATGTCCAAGGCCGTCCCTCTCGCATTTCGGGGCAATCCTGCGCTGTCGTCTTCCAATCGGCGATGAACTCCACGTCGGGGGTAAACGCCTTCATGTCGATGCCGCGCCCAAAGTCGATAAGAACGATGCCCCGCGAATCCCATCCGCCGCGCCCATCGGCATACCATTGGCTGGAAAGAGCCTGGTCAGAGAAGGCAGGTGATGACTTGGAGTCAAGGCGGAGGAGGCAGTTGTCTGGCTTCAAATCGCCATGAAGGACATTTTTTGAGTGAAGCGCTTCGACAGTGCGGAATAGTTCGATGGAAAAGAACATGGCAAGCTGTTCATCCATGGCGCCTGAAGGCTCTGCTCGAAAGAGGTTGATTACGTCGAGCAACGTACCATGAGGATGGAATGGCAGGAAGAGGAACGCTTCGTCTTGGTAGAGGTGCATTTCATGAGCAAACGATAATGATGCCGTAGCTCGATGCTGAGGGCCCAAACGAGAATGAGCAGTACGCATGATGTAAAACTCCCACGGCGTCGGAGGCGATTCCATTTTCAGGGCTTCTATTGTCGCTCGTCGGTTTACGGCGAATGTCCCCTTACCCATCCTAGCTCCAACATCGTGGCCATCTTCTTCTCGATCCGGGTTCGAGTTTTCCACCAAGTACACCGGTGCAAAAGCGCCAGCGCCAAGTTCCCTCCTCACAGCGTATCTAGTCTCACAGTCAATGAATTGGATGATCGCAGGGAGGTTTCCTGGTCCGGGTTTGTCTGGATTCGCTCTGCCTAACCTGACAGCCTTGGCATATCTTCGAATCTCTGCGCCACGCTCATATTTCTGGTTGTGGTGATCGTAGAAGCCGGGATACATGGCCAGCGGAGGCTGTATGCTTGTCAAGATATGTCGCCGAATGTTGTCGTCGATGGGGCTGCATTGCGCTTCTTTAACGATGGGGCCCTTGACAGGTACACCTCTATTGGGGCCACTCTTACTTGGTGCTCTAGCAGCCTTGGACCCTAGAGGTGTTCGACCATTGATGGACAGTCTCCCTTCTGGGAAATATTCTTTCAGAGAGCTGCTCTCGGATTCCGAGTCTGATGCCTCCTCGACTGGTGCCGCTCTACCGTCAAGCTTACTAGGCGTCTTGAACTGGTATGCCCGGTCTATGGTGACATCCAACGATGGCTCGGTTCTCTCGGTGATGGGCGTCATGAAAGGTAGTCGATTGTTAGCCATCTCCGCCGGATCCCTATACGGGCGTGTTGGTGGCTCATAGTCTTCTGGTGGGACGGGAATGAAGATGGTGCGCGTTCTAGGTTGCTCTGGCTCTTCATCCTCAAAGTCGTCCTCCAGGCGTTGTGATATCTCATCTATATTGAAGAGAAATTAGACTCTGGAACTTTCTTCGCAATTCACCCTTTATTTTTCGAAACTCCTGATATCTGATGCTTCATCGCCTACTTGCTTACCTTCGGGTAGCTGCCTCGTAGCGCCGGTGCTCTCAGCATCGCTTGCATAGTCGCCGTCAGTCATATCGTCATCTTCATTGTCATCGTCGTCGGAGGAGTCGGAGTCGGAGTCTTCATCGTCATCATCGTTTTCTTCCACAAGTGCGGGTTTGAGCGGTGCGTTGAAAATGTCGTAAATATCATCTGTGGCTGCTCTTGTGTGAAGAGTCATAGTGGGCTCCGCTACTTTCTTCTTCTTGAGCTTCGGTCCTGAGGGAGAGTCCAATTTCGTTTTGACTAGTTACGCGTTAGGGGCTTATGAAAAGATTGATTGGGGGTTTGGAGACGTCATCACTCACTGATCTGCGTCTCATTGACCTCCATTGTCTTCTTTTTCCTTCCTGAACGAGATTCTCGAGGCTTCTCGTTTACTACGCCATTCTCATCCAAGTCCATTGGATCTCCGTCAATAATCATCTTGTCGGCTGTGTCTTGTGTCAAATTGTCTACCTCACGCAGAGGCACCGTGCGGTCTCGGCGGCTATAGTCAGTGTCCCACAGGCGGTCGAGCCAGCCTCGATGCGCAGCAATGACTTCCTCGAAGCTTAGTTCTGTACCGGGTTCCTCGGGTGTTGGGTAAACGGCCGCTAGGTCAACAAAGATGCGCTCTCTCTTTCCTGTTTGCGGATGAGTCGTTACTTGATGCTTGGATGGGACAACAATGATATTTTGTATTTGAGCAAGGGACTGAATTACATAACACCACAAACAGAAATACATTAGTCCTATTCTTATCAACAGCTGAATACATCACGATCAAGGGGGGGTTACATACCGGATCCCTGAATACCGCCAGCTTAGTCCCACCAGATCCAGGCTTCTTGCCACCTGCCCTGAGCGTCTCTCCAGACCATGGCTTTGGTTCCATCGAATTTTCCTTTTTTCGATCTGCCAGAGATCCAATGCTATCCCAGCCCTTGGATCCAGCATCTCTTGACGACATGGCAGGTTGTTGGGCATCCGCATCGGAGAAGATGGATATTTTGGACTTTCCAGATCGGGATGAGCTGGCCCCGACACCGCTTGTTTGTCGTTGGGCCTGAGGGTCCGCTGGCTGTGATGAAACGCCAAAGGGGTCTGATTTACTGGCCAGCGCGGGACGGACGGTGGGCAAAGCTGGTGAAGATGGTCCCTCCAATGCGTCTGGCTGCCGAGCAAGCCTTGCCTCAAACTCCTTGAACTTGCGCAACAGCCTCTGAGCTGGCCGGGCGTCTCGCTCAATCCCAAGCTTGTATACCTCCTCTGCTTGTGCCCACCGGCCTGCTCCTTCTAACCATGCGGCGTACTCCTCGTAAAACAATGCGAGGCTCTCGCCAATTCCCTGTCGTGAGAGGAAAAGGAATGTCTCGCGCGGTGAGTCGGAAAACAGTTGGATGTAGTACATCCATAGCTTGAGGTATCTGGGATCGTTCTTGTATTGAGATGAGGTGACAAACGTCTTCGTCGCGCGTTCGAGGATCGTGTGGAGCTGTGATTCGGCCGTCGCTTGTGCTGACGGATACGCGTCTATTACCCAGCGCACATATCTGTCAAACACATCTAAAGGATCATCGGATTCGGAGATGTTTGCGATTTCCGCTTCGTATTCTGCGCGGATGCAGTCGTTGACATTTTTTGTGTCGGTCGGTGTTGGGGTGGAATATTTGTGTAGAGGAGATGGAGAGAAAAGACTAGCTAGCTTCCTTGCTGAGCGGCCTCCGGGCAGGGACTGGATGTTCTCCTTCTGATCTTCAATCATATCGAAGTCGGTGATATCCTCTGAGCCCGCCATGGTGCCAGACCGTGAATGACGGTAACTCTGTGGCTTTCGAGGCGATATAAACAGGTATTACAGCCTCTGGTATCCGTTAGAACGAGGCACCCTGTATGAAGCCGAATACGAAATGCAATACCAGATGTCAGCTGAGGGATGGTTTCGACAATTGCAATATTTGATATTTTTCTCCTAATGTTGATAAACGGACTACGTGATCTAGTTTAGTGTAGTGGCATGTGTTTTCGACCCCGCGTTGCTCTGGTGATTGTTTTTAGCACATTCTTATGTACTTGGTACCCTGCACTAAACACCTTAGTACCTGCCCCTCTGCGGTCTACTAATAGTAAATGCTTGTTTTGAAATGCCCTTTTCGTCGCGATTTTAGTATCAGATACTTTGGCACTAACTGCTCCATTCAACCTTGCTGTAGAAAGTCATAATCGGAGCCTGCGCCTTTTTGCAGGGAATTCGGAACATTAATAAGCTGTTCCCATCGACTCTAAGATAGACCCTGGCAGACGAAACTGCGCGAACCATCAAGGTATGTGTACTGAGAAGCTGGAGGAACATCCTTCACAAGCCTTCACGAACGTGCCCATGTTGGATTATTCATCATTCAATTCATTTTCTTGCGCCATATGGGCGTTTCTTTATAGTCATTATTTTATTTTATCCACCCATGGCAATCCATTCTTCGGGTAGTCTGTCTTTTTATATCATGTCCGTGGCCACCTTGTTGTCATTTACAGGTTAACAGCGTTGCGGAACTTGGCACCGGCGTAGACGGCAAGGTCACCGAGCTCCTCCTCAATGCGGAGGATCTGGTTAAGCTTGGCCAGACGCTCAGATCGGGCGGGAGCACCAGTCTTGATCTCACCGGCACGGATACCGACGGAGATGTCAGCAATGGTAACATCCTCAGTCTCACCAGATCGGTGAGAGACCATGACACCCCAGCCATCGGCATAGGAGTCCTTGGCGGCCTGGATAGACTCGGTCAAAGTACCGATCTGGTTGACCTTGAGGAGAAGGGCATTGCAGGCCTTGAGCTCGATAGCCTTCTTGATGCGGACGGGGTTGGTGACGGTCAAGTCATCACCGACAATCTGGATGTCCTGGGTCTTGTAGAAGTAGCTCCAGGCCTCCCAGTCATCCTCAGCAAAGGGATCCTCAATGCTGACGATGGGGTACTTCTTGCAGAGGTCAGAGTACAGGGCGGCGAGCTCCTCGTAGGTGATCCACTTCTCGGGGTCGCTGTCGGGGTTCTTGAAGTCGAGGTCGTACTTCTTGGCGTCCTCCTTGTAGAACTCGCTGGAGGCGACGTCCATGGCAATGTTCATCTTGCCAGTGTAGCCGGCCTGCTCAATGGCGTCGGTGATGAGCTCAAGAGCCTCATCGGCGGTCTGGATATCGGGGGCAACACCACCCTCGTCACCGACGTTGCCAGCGGACTGGCCGTACTTCTTCTTGGCCAAGGTCTTCAGCTTCTGGTAGACCTCAGAACCCTGGCGAAGGGCCTCAGAAAAGCTGGGAGCATCTCTGTTTTTGGTTAGGAGAAGCTACCAATGTAGAAGTGGATAACTTTTTGGCGACTTACGAGGGGACAATCATGAACTCCTGGAAAGCCAGACGGCCACCGGCGTGGGAACTGATTAAAGTTAGAGACTGAAACTGGCTGAAAGTTTACGGCATGGAGAATGGGCATACCCGCCGTTGAGGACGTTCATGAAGGGAACGGGAAGAACGTAGGGCTTCTTGGTTCCGGCGAGGTCGGAAATGTGGGCGTACAGGGGGACGTTCTGGTTGTGGTAAGCCTCTGCTCATTACTCGTCACCTCTGGTAGTGGGATTTACCTTCTCAGCGGCACCAGCCTTGGCAACAGCCAAGCTGACACCGAGGATGGCGTTGGCACCGAGCTTGCCCTTGTTGGGGGTGCCGTCAAGGCTGTTCAGGAACTCGTCGACCTTGGACTGGTCCTTGACATCAAGGTTCTCCTTGAGCAGGGCGGGGCCAATGATGGTGTTGACGTTCTCAACGGCCTTGGTGACACCCTTGCCACCCCACTTGGCCTTGTCGCCATCTCGAAGCTCAACAGCCTCGTGCTGGCCTATGATTCCAGTTATTTTCTGTAGCTGTATGACACGCAGTGAGATCGGGGAGACGAACCGGTGGAGGCACCGGAGGGGACGATGGCGCGGTGCAGACCAGTCTCAGTGACGAGATCGACCTCCACGGTGGGGTTACCACGGGAGTCGTAGACAGAGCGAGCGTGGATCTTGGTAATGGCCATTTTCAAAGCTGCTGGGTGAAGCAATGCCTGTTAGCAAGTATTTTTTTGGAAGCTTGGGACCTAAGGCGGTCGTGACGTCGACAATGGAACCCAGAAGAGGAGAGAGCTAGGCGACTTCATCACATGTTGCTTCTGGCGAAAGCGATTCCTCGTGGTTGGAATCATCCGGCCAAGAGAGTGAGAAAAGTAGTGAAATATGCCTCACAACGGCCGCTTGACGTCGTTGCTTCAGCTCCTTTGCACCTAATGGAGGGGTAGCTGGGAGGGCTGAAATGGGAAAGAGGGGCAAAGCTTGAATGACAGACTCGAAGCTCTGTTCTTGATGGAAAAAAAGCAGGATAAAATACCGTACCTGTACTTCGAAGGTCGATTGGGTTTCTCAAGTGTTTCTTGCGAGACTGGAAGAGTCAAGATTCGTTGGGAAAGAAAAGGAAGATGCTGGTGTTTTGTTGTAGAAGATAGAAGAAAATGGAGGGGTGGCAGGTGGGGCGTCTCCTGCTGCTAAGATAAGTTACCTAAGGTAAGGAGCTCCTGCTGCGCAAGCTGGTGTGCTTGTGAGGTAATAATTGGGCCACTACTTACGTTAATCAGTAGACAGCAAGAAACCCGAAGTACAGGCGCTAGTATTTCTCCGACCTCTCAGAGCGAAAAAGTTTCCGTCTCACGCCTCCCGCTTGGCCCTTTCTGGGCACCATGTAGCCAGTCATTCCTCTCGTCTAATCTAATTTCTTTTACCATTTGCATTGCCAGCTATCAGCCTCAGACATGGATGTGTCACATCATTATGATGCCGATGTCGCCTCTGCGGTATTTCGCAACCTGCAAGACCAGCACCAATGGGCCTCGCTGCAAATCCAGGGTCTCCCAGGGCTGCCACGACCAATGATTCGAGGTCTTCCACCACGCCTGCTATATCTCCACCCAGACGACCAGATAGCAGCCCTTGCATATGAAAAGTCAACAGGCACAAGGGCGCAACACGACGCTGAGATTGAATGGGTGTTGCCCGTCCATCTCGCCGAGAAATGGACGCTCTCCAACTTTGCCGCCGTCATGGACGCTCTTCCAGATGCTCGCAAGGGGGCCAAGCGGATTGTGCTGGCTGCCTTGCATAATGACTCTACTGTGGTCTATTACATTGTACAAGAGGGAATGATCAAGCCTCGTCAAAACTAGAAACCTCCGAAGCACAGTTGGTGGTCACTTTTTTGTGCTTGTGACAGCAGCTTCCGAAGCAGGAGTATTTCTATCGGGCCGTTTGGCATCACGGAGTTGGCCGTCTAGCACGGAGTACGATACTACAAGATTTTTTTCGGACCATGATACCCCCTACTGATAGTTGGTTTAAAAAAAGCCTTTCTTTTTCAAATTCGCTTGCCACTTGTTGAGGCGCGTGAATTACATACACTCTATTCCCCCCTTCTTGGGCTGCATCATTCAGCAAGTCCATCATGCTGGGGTGAAATGCCATTTCAAAAAAGTTATGCAGAAAAACAATTCCGACATATATAGACCACCAAATCCGCCAAAAGACATGAATCATGATTATTCCCCCAACCGAACGCCAAGAGTACCGCAGATGCTTGTCCAACCAACTTAGAAACGCTCCTTCATTCTGGCAGCAACAGTTCTCAGATTGCCGTAAACCTTGCCGGGTGGCTTTCCGAGAATCAAGCTGACAACGGATTCACGAGCCATGTGAATATTCTTGAAACCTCCCAGGATGTGAATCTTTGAATCAGCTAGCACAATTCTTGTCCGGCTGGCGTTCTCAATAGCGAACTTCGTCTTTCCCTGGTGGCCAGCGATTCGGCCGATAGCACGGCTCTGGCTATCTCCATGGACCGTCTTCACATCCTTGATTTCAAAGGTCTCGATATAAAGGTCGTCCAGTCGCAAGAGAGCAATGGCATCATCGACGTCGAATCCAAGAGTAAAGGCCTTGACAAAGTCCTCGCCCTTCTGCAGCGCACCGGAATCCGTGGTGGATTTGGAAGTCCTCAGCTCGACTGATTTCCGCGCAATGTTCATACGGCACTGTAGTTTCAGGTGCTCCACAATGGGAGGATAGATAGAAGGCCATGCCTGTTTTAATGGTGTCATCCGGTGTGGTGGGATGGGGATTTTTCGTGTTTCGACTCTCATCATGGGGTCCTAAGTAGATATCAGTAAATGTACCCATTGCAGACTCAAAGGAATTAATCTCGTCATACGATATCTTTGGATGGCGCAAAGCGAGGCCGTCCCTCTTCATCAATAGCCATGCTATTCTCTGCGTCCACAGCTTCGGGTACCATGACTTCGGCTTCGGCCGATGCAGCGTCTGCTGCGTCTAGGAGGAACTCCTGATCATTGTCTATGCACGAGTAAGCCTTGAAAATTCTGCCTGAGAAATCTTCACACAGCATTTCTTACCCTGCGCTGGTGATGGCACATCTGCGACAAGCGGGGTGCTTTCCGCCTTCTTGAGGGCCGTGGGTGCCGGCATGATGCTGGAGAGAGACACGGGCTTTTATTGTTCGTTCGGATCCTTGATGAGTCTGATCAAATACTTGATAAATGAGAGCAGCAGGTGACCGGTATGGTTGGATGTAAACGTCGTTCGTTTTGTCGCAAACTCTTTGGAGGAAAAAAAAGTTGCGGCGCTGGGTTCGCATAGGCAAGCCACAGGCCGTTTCGACCTGGCGATCAAAAAATTTGTGGATGGGCTATCGCAGCTTATCGATTGGCTGAGCGCCGCCCACAATGCACAACGTGAGTGGCGCGTCATGCAATTACTTTTGCTTCGCCTACTTTTTGTACAACTACCGAGCATCTAGGGAAATCTTGTATTCCCAAGCTTCAACCTCAAATCCAAAGGCATCGTTCATACCATCTTCTTTTGGCGCACCGCCTCCAGATTGCTGGTCGCCATGAACCTTAAGAATGTCTAAGGGCATCTCATCATGGCTGATTGTCCGCCGTCAGCTAACATGCCGCTTTCAAACCCCTCCAACATGGCGAACTCCACATGCTGCAACATTGTCGAATCGATCAGCAGCTCTCTCGGCGTTTCACACGCAAGACGTAAAGCCTCAGTATGCAAAGGCAGGGCCAGTTTCAACTCTAGGACATCAGAAGCATGGCTACCGCTCGCCAACATCAATCGGGCTGGGCAGTCAGCTGCCTCCCCATGGTAGTCATCGGTGCTTCGCTCCTTTGAACATTCTGGAAAGGCATCGAGCATCCCTCAATGCCTCTCAAAATGCTGCGCGGTGGTTACTTCAAAGTGACCAGTATAGCAGCGATAGCGCAAACAGAAAAAAAGACGTTCAGGGGAGTGGCGTAGGCCAACCGGATGGCCACAAGCCAGCCGCAGGTCTCGATCAAAGCCCAGGAGCTGCACCCAAGAAACCTCTCGAGCAACCTGGAACCGAGGCAAAAGACCATGAGCAGGAATCTATAGCGGCATCCATGTCCAAATACCTGAATCTACCCATGATGCCTCACCGTCCGACGAAAGAAGAGCTGTTAGCGGCCGCGAATGGGGTTTGGGAGAGGTTCAAGGTCAGGTTCAAATGGATTTCCATTCGAAGTATGAGACCTTGGAATATCGATGAATGGGGTGCTTTTGTTTCTTGGTTCATGTTGGGTCATATCGTCTGGATCTTGGTGGGCACCACGACATTCTTCTCCATCCTCATCTTCTCGATCAACACTGTCTTTGCTCAGGGTATGTCGATGATTGTGCCCCTACCATATTAAAGTTATCGCCGACAAAGCTGACATATCTTCAGAAACGCTCGCGCAGTGGATTGGAGATTACCTGACTCAATCTGCCGGTGTTACGGTTGTCTTCGAATCAGCCATCGTGCCCAAGTGGAAGAATGGTGTTATCGCATTTCGCAATGTGTTTATTTCAAGGAGACCCGGTCAGATCGAATCATCCGTCAGCAAGGGATCATCTGATGCCGCTGCTGTTGCTGCCGCAGGGCGCCAGGTTCAGCATAACGGCACTGTTACCGAAGACGATGGCAACTATACGCAATTCGACGTAACGATCGCAAATGTTAATGTCACGCTTTCATTCCTCAACTGGTGGAATGGTAGGGGGCTTCTCAAAGACGTGGAAGTAAATGGCGTTAGAGGAATCGTCGACCGCACTTCTGTCCGTTGGCCACTGCAGCAAATCGATCCGTTTTCTTACCGTCACAAACACCAACCGGGCGATTTCGAGATTGAATCTTTCAAATTGGAAGATCTTCTACTCACCATTCGCCAACCTGACGGCTTCCGCCCCTTTTCAGTGAGCATATACTCTTGCGAACTCCCTCGATTGAGAAAACAATGGCTCTTTTATGATTTCCTATCTGCCAGCCATATGTCTGGGTCATTTGATGGCTCTCTCTTCACGATCCATCCGCGACAAGTTCACGGTACAGTCTCAAGTCGATACCAGGGAGTCATGATGGGGTTAGAGGAATCCAAATCGTGGAAAAAATTCAATCGGCTACGGATTGATGGCTTGAAGATTGACCATCTGAACCGTGGAGTGGAAGGCCCATTTGGCTGGATATATGAAGGAAACGTCGACATTGTTGCTGATGTCATGTTTCCTGAGGATATGGACGACAGTATTACAAAGGTCGTAACGGATTTCTATGACCAGCTGGAAGGCACAGTTATTGCTAATCGTTATCGCTTTCTGCCTCGAGCCCCTACGCCCGAGAATCTCTCAGAGAGCGAGCGCGCAACGAGCGAGAAGAAGGCTCAGAAACAAGCTAACGAGTCTGAGGAGGATAGACGGCTTGTCATCATGGACTTGCGTATTCACCTCAATGACGTCAAGGCTGCCGTACCTTTATTCACCCCTGATCTATCATATGTCAACCAGGCGCTTGTTCGCCCCATTGTGGCCTATATCAACGCGAAGAAGACGTACATTCCCATCTCTAGCCGCATCATCAAGCCGCTAGGCGACTTTGACGGAAGCTGGACAGTCTTTGACTGTGGGCTCTTGGATGATGCATCTGCCGAGACGTATGAGGCTTTTGCAAAAGATGTCGAAGATCAGCAAAGCCGCGTCAGGCGATTCCGAAAGGTTGGATTCTGGACCTTGTCGCTGGCCATTCATGCTCTATTTATGGGTATGGCTGGAAATATGGTCTAAGAAGAGAAGACAGGGAGAAGAACAAGAAAACGGGTGTTGTCAAGACCGAGAGAGGCGGTGGATTCCTGTAGAATTGCTGTATATTTACAATGACATGATGGGACGGGCGGTACATGACGGGATTTTTATGATGGCGTTGCGTTGTTACACGGGTATCACTCCGGGCATTTCTTGGCGATTTGGGGGTTTTTATGGATCTTTATGAGAAATACTTGACGCTTCAGGAGAGGCTATCTATATCTGATACCCTGACCTCTTGTCTACTGAAGCAGTGCAATACAAAACAAAACCACTCTAAAAAAAACATGTGCCAGCGTATATAGATATAAGAAGAAAAGCCGGCATCTTTTTATCCTAGCCATAACTTTTGATGGTAATGCCCGGAATCCGATAGGACTGTTAGGCTTCGTGCCTTGGACCTAGCGCGCTTTGAAACATAAAAGGGCAAGCTGATTTCACATTATGCCATTTTAAACTCCCGCAATTCCCCTTCCTCTAAGAATGTCCATTAAATCGTCCAATTTCAATGTATGCGTCGAATAGTCGTCAGCCTGCGCCCACGCCAAGACGGTGAAAAGGCCATGCATGGTTTAGGGGGTTGCAGTCCAGGAAATCAAGAGTTGTCGCGCTTCCATCGATTGATAGGGAGAGTAACACGCTGGGAATACCAATATAACGCTTATTCTAGCAGTCTCTTTCTTCTTCTTCTTCTTTTGCCGTGTGTTGACTTGAATAAGTTGCTCACATAAAGTCGTCACTACAAAGGAGGAAGAAAAAGTTAGCACAATCCCCACAAAACAATGATAAAGCGTGTGATGAAATGCTGCTGGTTCTGTAGAGCAATCATCAGGATCTACTTACTCTCCAAAAGCGTCGTCATCATAGGCGGCCGTATCAGCTGCGTTAGCACGGCTAGTGACAAGAGAGGTCTTTGTCTTAGCAGCCTTGGTCTTCTTCTTATCACCCGCTTTCTCCTCCTTCAGCTTCTCGTTACTTGCGCGGGTAAGAGCGCTAGCAATCTTCTTGATCTGATCGCTGTTCAACTCCTTGACCAGCTCCTTGGAGAACTCTTCAAGGAAGAGACCATAATGAGCCTTCTTGGTGTTTGCGGTGATCAGGGGCGTGAGGAGAGTTCGCATCTTCTCAAACTGCAGCTTTGTCTGGGGGTTGAAAACTGCGACGTTTGCGAGGTTGATGAGGTTCGTAGGGTTGTTGGGGTCGGCGACCATAGTGCCAGAAGGGTTGGACTTTCGCCCGGCGCTGATGCCAATGCTGCCAAACAGGTCCTCGGCATGCTTAAGGTCGGCCTCTTGCTCGGTGCGGCGAAGTCGCTCACGGCGCTCTGCTTCCGTCTCGTCGTCACTCTCTTCGTCGCTCTCGGCGGCAATACGGGCACGCTCAGCGATGTGCTCGGCGACACGCTGTGACTTGGGCTTCTTAGCAGCGGCGGCGGCAGCAGCGGCCTTTTCCTTAGCAGCGGCAGCCTTGGCCGCCTTCTCACGCTCTACTTCAGAGTCCTCGGCAGCATCCCAAGAGTCAAGAACCTGTATATATTCGATGGTAAGTCAGAAACGGAATCGAAGAGGTCGCCGGCGCAGTGCGTGATGTTGTTGATACTCACATCGCCGTCATCTTCCTCGTCATCAAACTTTCGGCGAGCACCACCAACAGGCGCGATTTCGGGGGCAGAGTCGCTGCCTTCGCTCTCTTCTTCGTCTATTTATCAACATTGTCAGCCAAAGATCCTCAGAGTAGAGCCATGGCACTCGTTTTTGGCGCGTCGCAAACGCAGGATTTGGCGGGATTTGACCGCAAAGTGTGCAGGCTGCGCTTTCAGTGACTCACCCCACTTCTTAGGAGGCATGATTGCAGATCGTCAGACAAAAATAAGCTGAAGAGTATATAGAAGTTCGAATCGTTGTATCAATATGTCGCAATAAGGAATGCGTTTGGCTGCGACCGTGGTCGGGCTGAATCGTGTGATCAATCTAAGATACGTAAACAGGAGCGATCATGTACGATTAGGCTGGCCTGGAGATTTTTATGGCGGGGTTTGTTGGCGAGGCGAGGGGCAAAAACTTTTGTCGGCATTAGTGCCTGGCCAAAAAAATAAAAAATTCAGGGCTGCCTAGCCAAACTACGGGCGCCTGTCAAGATTTTACATGTGGCTGGCACTTTGTTACCTTGACTTTGATCGCCCGGTACGCACTTGTGGCGTTGATATAATCTTTCATGGCTGACAGATACGCATGGGAATAAATTTACAATATATTTGAATGCGTTTTTCATCATGTCGAAGTGGGCAAACAGCATTCTTGATTTATTGTTAGATGAGGGGCACATTTTGGTCGTATTTACCTCTTCAATGGAACATAAAACTCAAGAGACCATCAAGTGCAGCCTTGACCTGGACACTACATATACAGTTTGATTGCTCTATAAGTATTTATACAGCACTTCAGGACATCTGGGCAGTTAACAATGGGAGATGCATTCTATTATTGACTTGGGCACACTCACACTCTCCACATTAGGTAAGACGTCAAGCACCAAAGCTGCCCCTCCAACGTGATAAATTTTGGTGGTTCAATCATATTATAAGATACATGGAAGCTGTTATTCAGCCAGGGAACTGAGTTTCATCATTGCCTGTAAATAGTATACCCTTAAAAAGTATTGTAAACACTCTCAGCATATCATCAATTACGTCACTTTGCCTCGCCGTGGCTGTTAAATGAAAAGAAGGACTGAATTTTTATACGTCAACTTGCAGCGTGCGGTTGAAATGCGGCAGAACCCCCACCAGGCGACTCACAGGCCTAACATTCCTCTTGTGGTGGGGAAGCGTTTGTGCTTAACTTCCTGCTAGGACCAAAATTGAGTCACAGGTACAAAGCCCCAAAAACTCACCTCTCTCATTCATGACGGTTTGCCGGGCTTCTCTCAGTCGAAAGAGTCATCGTATATTAACCCTCGTTTCTCCGTGGATTGCGAGACGTGCTCTTCAGCAACCACTGACCATCTCACCCAGGCCTTTTACGTCCTTGAGTGAGCCAAAACACCCCACCTCGAGTATTCAGCAGACGACCTGCAGGGCTTCTTTGCGCAATACTTCTTTCACTGCTTCTCGCAAAAGAGCCATCTCAGACATGGCTAAACCAGCAGGCATCGACAAGCTCACCAGCTTGGTGAATGGCTTGACGCTTGACTCCGTCACCGAGAAATACCCCCAGGCTCACCCCGAAATCAACCCTCTTGACCTCTACAGGGCACACCTTAGCAATGTATTGGCAGGAATCTCTGGCGTAGACGCTCAAATCGTATATCCCGCCATCAACTGGACAACCGGTCTCGACAAGGGTGACTTTGTACTGGCTGTTCCGGCGTTGAGGATCAAGGGCGAGAAGCCAGATGCCCTCGCTACCAAGTGGGCTGGAGAGGTATGGTGTTTCCCTTATTGTTATAATATATAAAATTAACGATAATTTGTACCAGTTTCCCGAGGATGATGCTTTGTTTGGCAAGCCTACAACCAGCGGTCCTTTCATGTCATTCTTCGTCAAGGGAGGCCCACTCTCCAACTCATTGATCCCATTGATTCGGAATCTTGGCGAGGAATATGGTATGCTAATTCTTATACGACATGGACTGTTGCAAACATACTTACCTTTATATCGTTAGGTCGTAACCGATTCAACGGCTTGAGGGATCCCAAGGACCCAAGCCAGGGCAAAAAGCGCATTGTAATTTCATGGCTACCCAAGATTTGAAGACTAGCTGCTAATTGTATATCAGATCGTTGAGTTCAGCTCCCCCAATGTTGCCAAGCCTTTCCATGCCGGCCATCTTCGATCAACCATTATCGGAAGTTTCTTGGCCAACCTCTATGAAGGTAGCGGCTGGGAAGTGGTGCGAATGAACTGTGAGTGCTCGTATCTCATAGTGGAGACAAATCATCAACCCATATCATGCTAACATTGTCTTACAGATCTGGGAGACTGGGGTAAGCAGTACGGTCTGCTGGCTCTCGCATACGAGAAATACGGCAACGAGGAGGCGCTTAAGAAAGACCCCATTAACCACCTGTTTAACCTCTACGTGCAAATCAATGCCGAGATGACTGCCGAGAAGGAGTCTATCGAGGCTCAGAAGAAGGAGGGCAAAGATGTCACCGAACTTGAAGCCAAGAGCCTTGATGAGCAAGCTCGTCGATACTTCAAGCGTATGGTAAGTCGTTGGCATATTCTAATTTTAACCTTCGGTTACTGATATTCCTCTCTTAGACTGATAGGGAAGAGGACGTGCTCGCACAGTGGCAGATCTTCCGTGATTTGAGTATTGCTCGATACAAGGGTAAGACTATATCGCTTAGCGAGTATATCGTGTCCTTCGTTCTGGATTTGTTGAACTCACACTTGGTATAGAGACGTATGCCCGACTTAACATCGCCTTTGACAAGTATAGCGGTAAGAGCCAATTCACGTAACGAAAGGGGGAAGAGATCTAACTTATGTGTGTAGGTGAGAGTCAGGTTTCCGAGGAGGCCATGGCAAAGGTCGCCGTAGAGATGGAAGAGAAGGGCATTTCTCGAGTAGACAACGGCGCAACCCTCGTTGACTTCACCAAACTGCTTCCTGGTAAAGAAGGAAAGCGACTTGGTGTCACCGTCATTCGGTAAGTTCTGGCGATGTCTTCTTTTCTCCAACAGCATGGTGATCTAAAACTTTGAACTATAGAAAGAAGGACGGTACCGCCCTGTACCTCACCCGTGACATCTGCGAGTTGCTCGGCCGAGTAAGTCAACTTCATCTCCGGGCTTTTACCAGTATGCCGTCCACTGACAGCCGTACAGTACGAAACCTACAAATTTGACCACATGATTTATGTCGTGGCAAGTGCGCAGGATCTCCACCTCAAGCAGCTTTTCGAGATCGTTCAGCAGCTTGGCTACAAGGACATTGCGAAGCGCTGCCAGCACATTAACTTTGGCCTGGTTCTGG